ACTGATCCGAATCCTAACCAATGAGCCAGCCAGACCCTGGTACCAGCCCTACCATTCATCTAACCAATTAGCCAGACCTGTATACGAGCCCTACCTCTACTCCAACTAACCAGCCATCCACTCACTGACACTAGCTCATCGAGTAACCGTCCCACTTACGCGAACCCAACCCATTAGATCGCGTAAGAATAAATGTGTCGTTAAACCCGCCACCACCCGACACAGCCAATTAGTAAGGTTTGTCACGTCAACAAAACATGGCAATTTGTTACTAGCACAGCACACCGGTGTGTTGGAGAGCAAATCCACAACATTTACAATCTGAGTACAATCTCACCCGCGGCACTTTTCACCTTCGCGGGTTGATAGTCAGTGGCTGCCGCTGGGAGCGTCACCTGCACGAAGCGCGCACTGCCCACGGGCGATGCGCAGCCTGGCCGCCACGAGTCCCCTGTGCGAGGAATTCAATCCCCACCCCCGTCCAATCTCCCCCTCCCCCCCACCTTTGTGAAGCCCAGCACCTGAGCCCCCCTCTGGCCCGTTGCGCCGTCTGTCCGCACACTCAACAGCTCTGCTACCCCCGCCCATGGGCAGTGAGCGTGTTTGTTGACAACCTGGTGCATCTGTGAAAAAAATGAATTTATAGCTCATCGGATTCCTCCGGTAATAATAAAGATTCTGATTCTGAGCCTAATTATGTGTCGTTGTATATCGCATGATGGGCCGACAGTTGTATAAGCATAACTAATTTCTGCCCATCGCGCAAATTAATGTTTAGAATTTCCCATCAGCGGGGAGCGGCTTTTATATCAGCATTTGTTTGAGCAAAACAACACTCTGGATTGGTTTATACTTTCTGGGTCTCATCATCAGCAGAGTCCAGCTTTCACTGGTCATTGCTCAGGCTGCCTTGCCCTGCTTGTCCCCGTGTGCTTTGTGGCTCCGGACAGCGGAGACAAATCACTGTGCAGAGCGGCTCCCACACTCACGTCTATCGATCAGCCATGAGCCTTCACTTACAAGCTGTCGCGCCAGTCGATTACGGGAGCCTCCATTTTGTTGGCGATTACCTTGCTACGAAAATGGCTCAGAAACATGGACATTGATCAAGAAAATTAAAATAACGTATGAATGCACAAAGTCTCGTGGAGAAAATGCGTATTTGGGATTACAATGAGAGAAAGGCAGAGGAACCCATGGATTAGAGAACATGCCACAGGTTAGAGGCACATTTATAACTTTTTTTAAGAACAGTAAGTGGGCTTCGGCAGGACAGGTCGCTCGGAGGGGAAATACGGATGGTGGGAGACAATAACAACAGAGGTGGCAGTCAAGGGAGGGCTTCAACCGCGGAGATGGAGCGTCGACATCGGCTTGTGTGAGCGTGCCCGATGGATTGTTGAGAGCTGGCAATGGGTTCGAGAGGCCATCATCCATCGGTGGATATGTTGTTGCTGTTGAAGATGACGACATGCCTGTCGACCCCTTATCAGTGCCCCTACCTTGTTACAGACAAACTCAGACCTTATTGGTCACCCCGTGCCCCTTGTAAATGTTAAAGTTCATCCTACAAAGTCCCGTACGGCTGTACACAGTATGGATATGAAAACTTAATTTCTCTGTACAAGAACACGGGGTAAACCGTATGGGGTGACAGGTTTGGTGTGATGATGACGGCACTACAATGTATTATGCTAACGCTCGTGCACTAACCGCACAGGTAACGCTATTCTGTCAGAGTGTATATTATATTCTTCTGTCAGAGTGTATTTTCTACTCTATTCTGCAAGAGTGTATCTTCTATTCTGTCAGAGTGTATATTCTATTCTGTCAGATTGTATATTCTATTCTGCCAGAGTGTATCTTCTATTATGTCAGAGTGTATATATTCTATTCTATCAGTGTATATATTCTATTCTATCAGAATGTATATTCTATTCTGCCAGAGTGTATATTAAAAGTGCTTTGTTAAAGAATTTCGGTGTCAATCAGTCACTTCCTGACCTTGTTGAAAAAACTAATTACGGGTAAAAACAAATACATGTAAATCAATCTCGCTGAAAACTATACAAATAGAGACGTTCGCTCAGCTGTGCGGTGGTAAATCATCATTATGACAATGTTAACAGTTTCTAAGCTATCAACCCAGCGGTGTTTGTTTAACAAGCTGAACTGGCGATGAGACCGAATCCTGCCCAGAGTTTTCTCGCTTAAACAAAACGCTGCCGGATAACATTGGCACAGAAAGCCAATGGGCCAATGGACTGAAAAATTATATAATAGAATAATTACAATTAGAGGGGTCCGTTCGTCGGGGAGATGGAGCGATGAACTCAGTTCATGTGCGGAGGCACTGGATGGATTGTTGCATCACGAGATCGTGAGATGTGTCGGCAGTTTGGGGAGTCGTTCATCCAGCGGTGGTGTGATCACGGCTCATGATGGCGATGATGTTGACTTGGAGACCCAAAGCGAGGGTCTTGCTGGGTAGCGTAGCGGGCAGCGTGGTGGCCAAAGCTACGGGTTGGGGTGCCCTTGACGACCACCATGGGATATATTTTCAACAACAGTGTCAGAGAACAAAAAATTATTTAAAACGCGGTTTTGATTGTTATTTTCACGAAAAGGCTTTCATTTACGTTCTCAAGTTTGATTTTAATTTAATTAGAGCAGTCCCGTTTGGCTTCCGCAACATTTGTGCATCGCAATATTCGTTTCCATGTTGTTATCACGTAGACTTCGACACCGCGAGCGTAACGATGATGCGCTTCGGGCAAGAGGAGCCCTCTGGGTACCACCGCGCGAGTCCAAATCAAATATTGTGGCCCCACCCGACCGATCGCAGGGAGCTGATAACGTCGTTACTGCGCCACTGGTCCTGCCTGAATATTTGATAATGAAACACGACGATACATCAGCTGCCGACCATCGCAAAATGATACGTGGCCTGTCAGCTCCCCCTGAAGGCATCGCTCTGTCTGCGTGGTGCGCGAATTTGTGTCGCGGGACTGCGAGCGCAGTGCGCTGCAGACGCGGCCACCCGAGTTGGATTCCCGCTCGTGGCCCATAACAGTGACGATTATTTGAACCGGTCCTGGGTCTCCCCTAAGTCGACTCAGCCTCAAATGAGTACCTGGTGCGGTATGTGAACATCGCCACAATAGGCACTCGCAAACAGCACTTGCCCCAACGGCATGTTAAGTCATTCCGGTGTATCTGTGCCTTTGATATATGAATGTATATATATAATGGCTGTTATGTAGAGAGCGGTAGTGCAATGGTTTGCATACCTGCATTACGAACCCGCCAAACTGAGTTCAATTCCCGGCCACGGCCGAGTAGAAGGTGAACCGGTACCCACTTGGGGAGTCAAACTCAATGGGAGACGAAAGACAGCCAGGCGCCATACACCGCCAGACGACTCGCGCGCGTCAATAGGTGCTCGCGTCAATAGGTGCTCGCAAACAGCAGCGCTCACGCCGCCTGCAGCGTGTGCCAAAACTACCGAGCGCTCAATCATCGCGCGTCCTCGTTACGTCTGAGTCTGCACATCTCGTCAGCCGTACACAGCCCCCCCCCCCACCTCTAGACCAGCAGTGTTGGTTCAACACGAGCAAACTCCCGGCTCGGTTTTCACATTCGTTGTGTCATCGGCAGTCAGGCTTCCATACATCGACGGCGAGTGATGAACTTACCGAATGTTTATAGGCATGGATGCAAGTCTGCGTGGCTGCACGGGCATCTGTGTCTGTACGTTACGATGGAATAAACGCATTCCGACCGAAAGACTGAGCCTCATTCTCGAACAAATAGTACAGTACTTGCTGTTAACAAAAAGACGGACACTCTTTGGGTTATAAACATCGCACATGCGCCAATAGTGCTGTAATATACCCGGTGTAATTATCAGCCTGCTGATCGTGGGAGCGAACGGCGACTCTCTTGTGCGTGTGCATGCCGGACGATTCATTTAAAGATGCCCCACTAATACCGTAGCGATACATTACGACGTTATCGAGAACAAACAGCACGTTTGAGTTCCAAACCTCCACGTATCTCCCACCAATCTCAGTACGCGTTTAAAAAAAATCTTCAAACAATCTCCACTGCAACAAATGGAGCCATCGCTTTCACGGTATGCACGACATTCACATCACCTGTTTGAGACGAAAGAGGGGGGGGGGGGAGTCATGCGAAATGAGCAGGGTATCTATTCGTGGATCACCCCGTGTTGGATACCATCCCCAAAAGGTGTTCGCTACCAAAAGCACTTGTCCACCCCAGCAGCGTGTGATGCCGTCAACACGGGGCAATCTCGCTCTCTGTGTTGGGTCAAATCTGCTTAGCTCATAACATCCCCATCATGTCTACGCACGCCAGTTACTATAGTTACAGCCCGTGTCGTGCTCTACAGCCCCTTGTCAATCCACTGCTGGATGGATGAGGACCTCCCTATGCGGGTTGGTGAAGGCGGGGAGCCGTAGACGTCGGAGTAGAGTACAACATTGGGGATGTTCCCGCACCACCGTCTGCTGTCAAGATCAGGGTGCCCGCTCGCAGCGCGGTGACCACCCATCCAAGCCCTCGCCAGGATCAACACAACCTGCTGAGATTCTCAGCTCTGGCGACAATCGTGCGCAATTCGTGCGGTTGTTTCGCATGCAAATCAATAGCAGAAGTCATAACAATCACAGTCACTACAAGGTGTGCAATAGCCCCTGGCCATCTCGGCAATTCATTTAGCATTAAGACCACAAACCTTGCGTGGCCAACGCAAATCATGGCTTTGGCAATGTACAGATATCGATTATAATACGACAGCAAGACGCCTGCGGCTATTACAAGTGATGTGCATACACACACGCACGCACACACACAAGTGTACTCGCAGAGAGTATAGCAGCTATTGCGAGCGCTGTGCACGCACACACGTGCGCGCAGCACACACACACGCGCACACGCGCACACACACACGCGCACACACACACTGGTGTACTCACACAGGGTAGTAGGATAAGCCATCGGAGCCCGAGTCGTGGAACCCCTCCGGCTGCACGCTACAGTCCCCGTTTTGATGCAAGCGGCTTGCCGAGGCATCCATCACACTCGCTTGGCTTCTTGAATCACTCGGGGGGTTTTGGGGATGGCGCTGGAAGAAAGCGTTCGGCTGGGCTGCGTTGCGAGTGAGGCTTGGAGTCACAGTCGAATGCCACGTGCCCACGACCGGCATCCGCGTCTCTCGCGTTGCGCCTCGGAGCGGAGTGCTCTCTGCATGCCGACGACGGCGTGCTCGTGTCCATCTGCATGCCGGCTGACGTCACGCGTCTCCTTTATTGAGCCGCTCCTCCTCCTCCTCTCTCTCCGAATCAGCTCGTCGACACGCTCGCATTCGCGGGTAACCTTCAGTTTCATGCATTCGGTATAACCCTGTGAGCCATGCGGCTCTTGACTCGGGTGTCCGCCCGTAATTGTGCCGCCCGCACGAATCGTCTCTTGATGAATATTCATGCAACCGACCATTATTGGGTGCCCGTGGGCAATACACACCAGCATGGGCTTGCGGTGAATATTACAGACATAGTCAAGCGACACACGCGGGATTCTGTCGCGGTGTAAAGGGCAGTGCACTGGACTTGCAACCCAGAGGGTCGCCGCTTCGATCCGCCGGCAAAGCAGTTGCAAGACGGAGCGCGATACTGAACTCCCCTCGCCTCTCTCCAACTCCGCAGTTATAAATGAATGAGCGGTCGATCGGCAAGTGGTGGTGGGATCTTCTTGTCCGCGCTCACACTTCTCTCAATTCGTCTGGGCAGCGTGGAAGAGAAGCCCTCCCCCCCCCCCATGTGGGAAGAGCTCTATGGAGCTCCCTCGAGTGAAGGTCCTTCACCAGCAGTGCCATCAATAGGACATTGCAGTGCTGCACCTTGCCAGACGCACGCCACGTGCATCCTCTCCACGTGCAAGCAGAGTTTTAGTAACCATCCTGTGGGGCTTGTGGGTGCATTTTCAGCGGCATTTTGTTTAAGCAGGAACAATCTGTGGTCGGGTTTCCCTGTTTCAGTTTCATCAGCATAGTCTTGCCTGAAAAACAACTGCTGCTAGGTCACGTGATGCTTAAAGGGCAAGATATCTTCACTAACATAGCAATGAAAATGTTTACTTTGTCAATGCGTTGCTGGATGAAGGCCTCACCACACCACGTCTGTTGTTGTGTTGATCATTCTGCGGTTGTTTTGACCATACTTCACCAGTGCGGGTCGGTGAAGGTGATTCACCTTCATTGCAGTCTCGAGGTAAATCCCGACACAGTAATAATGCAAATTTGGTTGCAAGTCATGAACCTTTCAGCCATCGTGCATAAGCAATTCTTCACGTATAAATTGTCTGCCATGCAACCATCATCTGTGGCTTTCGAGAACACACTTCCCGTGGCTTGCTGACAAATGTCAAGGCCCAGCACGCAGCAGAACAATGAAACGGACTGCACCGTTATGCTCTCTTGAAATATTTATTTTTTAAAATAGTAAATCACATCCCTCTGTAAATCCACCGCTGTATTGTGGCCCTTACCCACGCCGCGTCGATTTACGGCGGTTATTTGAGCCGACCCGATCAATAATGTTTGAAGGTAGGGGACGGAAACGGGAGAGCAGTGGTCCACGACTGATTCAAATGTCGCTCACCGTCATCACGCGCCGTGCGCTCAACACAGCGCTACGTTCAACACCACCTGCGTACATCAGCAGCATGCACGCACACGCAAGCTTGTGTCGAGTGTAGAGCTTGATACTCATTGCTTTCCATTGATGTTTGCGTATTTTATACTGCGCGCGTTTCGGACCCTTACATGCATATTATTTAAGAAACTTGTTTTTTAAAATTATTTCTTTATTCAAATAACGCACCGTATACAACGTCTTTAGTTCTAGTCCCATTTAAAGAGTTAAACACGAAATAACTCCGCAATTCACTTGCAGAGAGAAGTGTCCATTGCCATGCATGGTCTTGTACCGGGGGAAACGAATGGAATAAGCATAAGGCTGGAATGATGCATATTCGCTCATTAACAGTGACTGTGATTTTTCGATTTAAAGCTTTCGTGACTGCAGGGATTCATCTTCTTGGTTCTTTCGGTAAAGTCACGTAGAAGGGAAATAATAAAATAATAAAAATAAAACATAATAAAATAATTCTCACGACGTTTCGGCCACAACGCAAGCAGCCGTCCTCAGGTGAAGAAACAGGTCTGTCGGAAAGACAGTGAGAATTATTTTATTATGTTTTATTTTTATTATTTTATTATTTCCCTTCTACGTGACTTTACCGAAAGAACCGAGAAGAAGTGACTGTGATTTTGAGATATGCGTGGGTTTCGTTGTTGATATAGTGCACCGATATATGTTTTATTCGGCGCTTTTACTAATGTCTACAGCATGCGCACGTGGCCAATTTGCACCATGAACTCGTGAGCGTAGCCGCCGTTGCTCCAGTGTACATAAATTGTACGGGAAAAGCGTCTGCTGTGCGCCGTTTGGTCTTCAGAGATAAACGAGGCGTGATTGGGAGTGAGGAGAAGGGGTATGGGTTGGGCAGTAGCCAAGCGTGGGTGCAGTTCGGAATGTTAAGTTGACCCCACACGCAGCTACACTGCCGTCCGTGTGCGCGTGTGATGATTTCCGCTCACGGCCGCCAACACCAGTGACGATTATCTGAACCGGGTCCTGAGCCTCCCCGTAGGTCGACTCAGCCTCAAATGAGTACCTGGTGCGGTGTGTAAACATTGCCACTAGGGAGACAAAGGCGGCCGGGTGTGGTGCTGGAGGCTATACGGGGGATCATTGTCTTTAGCATATAGCTGGAATGCATTGTTAGTCACAGATCGTTTGAATTTAGAATTGTCTCTCTCCCCGTGCAGACACCAGCCACTCTTCACCACACATTACTATACACGTGACAGTGCTGGGATTTGACACACAGAATCAGAATATTTATTCTGGAGGAATTGTTTTCGCAGATGTCTAGTCGGGGTGGGTCACAATGTTACAACAACAAAAAATACAACAACACGCTAGGACTGAAAAACACGCTAAGTATAGGAAATGTTGGCAAATCACTAAAAAATATATACAAATTTAACTAAACTATTTGTTTTAATTTAACAGGATAAATACAACTGAGGTATGAGCTTCTTTTGCAGACGCAACCTGGCCACAAATGAGTTGCTGATCATGTGGAAATTGATATCAGACAAATAATCTAAATAATATAATCTAAACGCATGTTTCTAAAATCTGGAGGGAAAAACTGGAGGACCTGGAGAAAAAATCTACACAACCAAAAAATCCACACTTGAAGAGCACACGTGACGTGGGGCTGTTCAAGGACCCCAATCCCATGACACTTCAAAAACGTATTTCAATATATATTACTGCTATCGTATGCATTTGTGATTTTTTTTTAAATCTCATTGCCATTTCTTGAAAGTGTGTCGTTTGGATCAATTGTTCTGCGATGATGAGACGCATGTTTATTTTATTTTCAGTTTCGTGTAGTATGTACCTAAATGCACAATGTAGTGTAGCTTTAGAAGAGCTTGGCTATAACATCAGACAACCCAACTAATTTTGTCTCACAGGCTTTCTTTATATCCCCACTTCTCTCACTTTTGCAGGATCTTTTACCTTCATCGCTGTCATAAAGCTGCCACAATTCCTTTCCTATTCTGCTGCCGAGACGATATTTCATTCTTTTGTATTGCATTATGTGACTTACCGTAACTCTCGCCTCTACGGACTCTACTAAGTTTAAAATTCTGCCGCTAGACTTCTAACTCGTACCCATAAGCGAGATCACATACGATCAATTTACAAATCTCTTCACCAATTCGAGCTAAAATCAGTTAAACAATCACCCTCACTGTTTCCATAATTCTCAATTGTCCCACGCTGGCCTATCGCTCTCGTCTCATGTAACTAAAGCCTCCTGTTCATACACTTTGCCCGAGCAACCCAGGCTTCTTGGTCAAACTCAAAATAAACTTACAATCTGTGGGAGGTCCTTTGCTGCCTCTTATGATTGTAATTCCCTCCCTCTGGATGTAGGCACTGTTAGTACCCACCCCCTCTTTAAGCCCAGACTTGGCAAATGTCCTCTCTGCACTCCTTAACTAATATCCTCATAACAATCTCCCTAAAATGTCTCACCCCTTTGCGCCTCCATCGCCATATAAATCATCACGCCTGCCATTCTCCCCCTGCCTGATTGCTTAAGGGAGAGATGTAGTCGCCTCAATCACCACACATCACACTGCAATACACCATTTGTGTGGCTCATGGTGTGTCGCAACACTGCTCAATCTGTCCAATTTGTGTTTTCATATTCCTTTTATTGTCTGAATGTTTAGCGTATACATACAACTTATTCTGACGCTTACGAATGTATACATTAAAATTATTATTAACAATCTAGATTTGAAGTTTTCATGACTGCAGGGATCCATACTCTACGTGACTTTACCGAAAGAACCAAAGAGTATTATTAACAATTACAGAATGTGCGTGTTTCAATAAATTGTTCTATAAAACTTTGGTATAGAAGGCCCATAGGCAGATGGACTGATGTTTTTTTGTCAACTGTTAACATGATCATATATATTTGGAACTTCCTCCTGTTCATCTGAGGGATGGGAATGACTTGGGAAGGTCTTAAATCCAGTTGTGGATTGATCATGAATAAAACTATGGAAGAAAGACGGTCACTGCATCGCGCACTTTCAGATACACTCCTGCGGCCGTCTGGAACGCTCTTCCTTCCAATATTATGAAGCCACTGAAGCTATGCACTTTTAAACCTAGATTGAAAACTAATTTGTTGAGAGCTGATTTTGGTGTTAAGTTTTGTTGTGCTTCCCCGCACCTCCGATTAGCATGGTTGGCTATATGTACGATGCGAAATAAGTTCAACATACACAAAAAGTATGGTTAAATAACCATCATGACTGACGTGGCACTTAGAAGCGTGCATCCAAATGGCTGTACAGGATTTCGTATTATGATTCGTGTGTACTGTATTTTTCTTGACGGTACCATAGTATTTTTAGTTCTCGAATTAAAATCTTATGAAAAATTTCAGAACATCAATGGTAGTATGTTGATGAAAACCATGATCTGTTAATAAATAACAATATTGTATGAGTTGAGAAGTATCGGCTTCTGTCTCGTTTGCTGTCGTATCAAAACATTCGCCTGAAGGAACCCGTTCGGCCCAATAGAATATAACGGAAACCCCGAATAACGATTCTATACGTGCGGTGTGATCGTAGGAATCGATGTTTAAAAATATATATGTCTAAATCGACTAATCCAGGGGTCGACAAATTGCGGCTCCGTAAGGATTGCAGCTGCGGCTCTTGACATTCGAATATAATAGCTCTTGTGAGAATAGGGTTCCCCCTTTTTTCTGGCAACAAAACAGGTGTTAAGATGTTCAAACACCAAACTGAAACCTTTTACAAGGAATCATGTCTGCATTAACCACAACACATTCTGACCACACGTATTGTGGTTAATGCAGACATGATTCCCTGTAAAAGGTTTCAGTTTGGTGTTTTAACATCTTAACACCTGTTTTGTTGACAGAAAAAAGGGGAAAACCTATTCTCATATTTGGGTACTGGCAAAGGAGGTCCCATGATATTTTGGTTGCAGACCCCTGACCAAGAAAGTACAGTTTACCATGGGAGTACAGTTCACCATAGGAGTTAAGTTTACCATGGGAGTCCAATTCACCATGGAAGTGAATTTTACCATGGAAGTCCAGTTCACCATGGAAGTGAAGTTCACCATGGGAGTCCAGTTCACCCTGGAAGTGAATTTTACCATGGGAGTCCAGTTCACCATAGAAGTGAAGTTCACCATGGGAGTGAATTTTACCATGGGAGTCCAGTTCACCATGGAAGTGAATTTTACCATGGGAGTCCAGTTCACCATGGAAGTGAATTTTACCATGGGAGTCCAGTTCACCATGGGCATGCGGCTCGCCAGGGCTGTTTCGTGACAGTATTTATTGAGCACCACCACCAACAGCAACCACCGTCTCGCCTTGACACGCATTGCGGCTCCTGAAATAGTTTTTTATTCTCCTCTCACTACCGAATTACGACAAAAGCCGTCTCTCCTTGCTGTGTGGGTGACCGACTCGCGGGCTAATCGACGTTTCGCAACCGCCCAAAGGTCGCAACTCAAGATCGTAAATGTTGTGGCTTTGCTCTCCAGCACACAACCAGTGTCGCTGTACTAGTAACGAATTGGCAACGTGCTGTTTACGTGACGAACCTTACGAATTGGCTGTGTCGGGTGGTGGTGGCGGGTTTAATGAGACACATTTATATTTTTACGCGAGATAACCCCAACAAACAACCCCACGTCGTGTTACGAACCGCCCAATGTTTACCAAAATAATCACCAAACCCCGTCAGCTGCCGCGTTAGTTTCCCTACAACGCACAAGCGGCGCTCTTCATTTCCTCGTCTTTGATTGGCTCGCGCGTCGTTAAACGGGTCCGCTGTGGCCAATCACGACGCGCGACCGCCCCGGCGCTGCCTATGCGTGGGAGCAAATCGAATGAGCCTTGACGGGGATCGTGTAGACGGGGTAAGGGAACTCCCAAGACCCGCTCGGCTCGAGTCGCTCCCGCTCCAAGGCGCCTTTACACCATGGAAGCCGCCGCGTCTAATCGCGCATAGAACCTACGGACGTCCCCAGAGTTGCTGCCGAGGTAAGAGGGCGTTCGATCGGGCGACCGGGTTGGCGGGTGAGTTTGGGGCCTACACCGCTGTGGGCTAGCCGGCCTCTACCGGGCACGGCGCGTCCTCCCCGGTAGGGCGGCCGGGGTGGCATGGGGTCTGGGGGTCACTCAACTACCTCCACTGTGGCTTTACAGTCGTTAATTCTGGTCTTTTTGTTTATTTTGTTTGATTATTGAGTTGTTATCGCGTTGCTGCGTGCTGTGCAGGAGATTGTGTGTGTCTGTGGTGTAGCGAACGGCAGAGGCACGCCCGAGTAGGTGGAACTTGGAAATCCTCTGCTTGCGTTTTCGGTACAGTGATATAATTTATGAATGTAATACTGTTTATAAATTAAATATTCAGTAGCGCTCGATGTTATTTTGACAATCAGGGTTCTAGGATTTACACGTTTGCCGTATTATTTTGTAAGGCGTTTTCCGCATATTTAGTTTGTGCAACTTACAGCCCCAGGTACTGCCGCATGCACTGTTACATAATGACGTGCGGTGTTTTTGCTTGTCAAACAATTACCTTTTCGCCGTAGCTGCGTGTGTAGAGTTTATTTTTTTGGGCAGTCGGCCACTGTGATTGTCGAAACTCGACAGGGTGCATCCGGATGACCGACCGTTCGCAGAGGGCAGCAATTGTGATTGACAGAATCGGACACTTTGTCTCGGAGTTGAAGGAGTTGCTACGTCAAAACAAACATTTCAGATGCTCCGCTCGCTTGGTCTTCAACAACAATTCTTGGACTCGTGATCACAACTGCCTGCTCCGGTTCGTCTGAAGTGGGGCTCGTACACAGCACATCGGGCATTATTTGTGCCAACATCTCGTGTGAAAAAGAGGAACACCGCTTTTTGATGATGATGATGATGTCAAATTAGAGCACTGCACTGTATTGTCTTGGCAAAAGAAAAGTGCCTCTGAATTGTTTTAAAACCAGTGTTGCTCATGATGCCCGGTACTGTGAATATGACACGTAATTTATGGTGTATGTCTGTCTGTCACTTAAGTTATTGAAAAGGCTCGTGAATGCAGAAATCCAGTTTACAATGGGGGAAAGATGTGGTTACCTTCCTGGTACGAGTGAACATAGGGGGAAAATGGTAATTGTTTCACAACAATAACTACATACTCTTTGGTTCTTTCGGTAAAGTCACGTAGGTAGAAAATAAAATAAATCGCGACGTTTCGGTCGCAACACAAGCGTCCATCATCAGGTGGGATGATGGATTCCTGCAGTCACGAAAGTTTCAAATCAATAACTGCAATAAACCAGCTTAAATATACGCTGCCAAGCTTGGCGGTGTTCATTTCCGACAGACCTGTTCTTCACCTGAGGACGGCTGCTTGTGTTGTGGCCGAAACGTCGAGAGAATTTTTATTTTATTATGTTTTATTTTTATTATTTTATTACTTCCCTTCTACATGACTTTACCGAAAGAACCAAGAAGATGAATCCCTGCAGTCACGAAAGCTTTAAATCGAAATCAACAAATAACATTTTTTTGTATGACCCGTGATGACAATTTGACGACGATGGAGAGGTGGTGGTGAGGAATTCAGGAGGATGACTCCTGAATTCCTCTGGGGAGTACCCACCACAACACTTCCCCTGCTATGCATTCGCGTCCTTTTCATGGACCTCACAGTCGACTTGTTTATTGCAAAATGTATAAACGCGTCGACTGTGTATGTAAAAAGTGGAAAGGCACAAAGCGAGTATAGAGTGGGATTACTGCGAGACTGAGGACTAAGCGGGCAGCTGAATATTCTGGATTTGAAGCTTTCGTGACTGCAAGGATTCATACTCTTTGGTTTTTTCGGTAAAGTCACGTTGGTAAAAAATACATAAAAATAAATAAAAACAATTAAATTTAATTTGGGCAGCTGAATCTTCGCAGTTTCAAATGTAAAATTCTGCGCGCACCTCCCCTGTGTCGGTGGCCCGTGGTCTCTACGTACACGAATATTGGAGTCTGCTGGGTCGCGAATAGAGGATCGGTATATTTAGTCTCTCGCGAAACTCGCAAATCCAAAACTCACGCATAGCGAGGGTTTACTGTATTCACCTAATTTACAAGTACAGCTAGTTATGACAATGACCAACTTTTTACTGGTAGTAACCTCCTGGTTACACCAGCCCACAGGGGATTATTGTGTCTGTCCGTTGTGCAGGGAGGGGCTGGTTGGGGAGGGAGGGGCTGGGTGGGGAGGGAGGGGCTGGGTGGGGAGGGGAGGGTGGGGAGGGCTGGGTGGGGAGGGGCTGGGTGAGGAGGGTAGAGGAGGGGTTGGGTGGGGAGGGTGGGGGTGGGAGGGGTGGGCTGGGTGGGGAGGGGCTGGTCACCCCGTGGTGCCCTTATACAACTCAACGTTTAATCTACTCACACCGGCTTGTGCCCACCCACAGTCGGGCATATTTGAGGAATACACCACGCCGCCGTTGACCCTGGCCATTGACCGAGAAACCCAACGTTCCTACCAGCTCCCTCCACAGGAATGTGTTTGTTAACACTTTTGGTCATATTTTTACAATTATCATTCAAACTCAGATGTCATTCTTGCTTAACAAAGCCATTGAACCACAATGTTGGTATCGATCGCAATTGATGGACAAAACTGTCAATGGCACTTTAAGCCAAGAGAGACGACATGCTTGGAGGTATGATTTGGTGAATGTGTTGGCATCGTGAGGATTGGTTCAACAGAGAATAGCTGCTGCTGCTGCTGGTGATGGAGATATTCGATCAATGTGGGTTCCTCTTTTTCACTTTCATATTCACTCAGCAGCACCGAGGTAATGAGTATACCGTGCCATTTTTGTCATAAATGAGCTCTTACTTGCATGGGTACCAGTTGATATTCAAAATGCTGATGGCAGTTGTAACTTAGAGGCCAGACACGTGTACTCATTAAATTAATGTAGTGGCATCAGCTTGAGGATTCCTTCATCCAGCAGTGAGCCATGAATGGTTGCTGATGCTGCTGCTACTGATTGTTATGATTGGGCATCTAACACATATATCTGTTGCATTTTGTTGCTATACATTTTCACATGATAAGCCACTTCATCGACCTATTATTTGTGGTCCGGTCACTTCTGAAATAACAGCTAAGAGCTCAGTAGGCCTTACCCGATAAGAGACAAACTAGTTAGTTTTATTTGTATTGATATTCTTTACCTTTTCTATACTTTGCGCTTCTATTGTTTGTTGTTGTATTGTTTGTTGTTGTATTGTTGTTGTATTGTTTGTTGTTGTAATGTTCTGACTTAGCCCCTTGTGGATATCTGTGAAAAATGAGCTTTATAGCTCATGGGATTCCTCCAGTGTAAATAAATATTTTGATTCTGTACTTTTTTTTTGCAGGACTGAGGCCGTGATTGACCATGACGTCTTTTGCTGTGGACGTGCCGTACAAAAATGACACCATCGTACCCAGCATTGGCGAGCTGGACGACTATCTTACAGAGCACAACTCCAATGTCGGCTGGCTGCTTGCTGGTAAGAGCCGCGTACTTCCCCACCTAAGGGAGCACTGCTGGAGACATTTGAACCAAATCCTCTGGGGTCATCTGTCAAGCTTCAATCGGAGTGGGCCCAGTGATCTATCTCAGATATATTTTAACAAAAATAGAAAAATTATTCTTGCCATGTTTGTATGGCTGGCAGAAATAGAACAAAATAATTGTATTCAACTCGGTAACCTGCAACCGGCGTGAGGAATTTAATTTATTTCGCTGCTGTGCATTTTTCCCGTGTGAAGTACAGTGTATATACTATACACGCTTTGAGATATACATATAAGTGTGTTTTGCAAAGCTTGTGTGGCCATTGCCCATGGGAGAGATGATAACATTGATCCCAACATATTTTAGATTTGTGATGATATGGCCTTGGAAAAGGAGTCCTTTAGAGACATCTTGCTGTTCGATTGTCATGAATGTGTTGGCCTTCCACGTATTCAGTTGGCTTTTCTCCGCCACTACACCGTATAAATATGTGCAATTATGTTCATTGTGCATATGCAGTGCTTTTGGTTTTATATATATATATAGCGCTAAGGCATGGGCAAAAAGGGCTTTTTATGAATTCTGCATTTGAAGTTAAAGGCTACGCTGCAGGTCTTTGGTTCACATGTGTGCTGCCACCGGTCATGTAAGCAGTGTGCATCCAAATGATGGAAGCATTGATGCGGCGCATTGAATTAAGCCACCGTTATGTGCCGCATCGCGTTTGGTTTATCGGCCTGATATTGCGAAGAGAGAATTTCAGTGATTGCTGATCACTGTCGGGTTTGATCCGTTGGCTGTCCTGTGATGTGAACACTTTAGAAAGCCTGCACAGTTTCATATTTGCTAAAAAAAATTTGTGTTCAGAAACAAACCTTTACTGCAAACCATTTTTCTCTGACAATTTAGTCTTAGGTGTCTGCTTATGATTGCTTTCTATCTAATTTGTACCACCTAGGGATTGAACGTTTCACTTCGCCTGCATGGAGATTAAACCACTTGGGGGCTGAACTTTTCACCTGTGTGTATTTGTTTACACAGGCACTTTAGTGCCATTATCTGATAAAACAAAATGACAATCATTACATTATTTGTAGCCAGTATTCAGTTCCTATAACACAATTCTACTTATCATTTAGGGCCAAAAACGTTAGGGACGGAAAGCATGGGTTTAATACCACCTGTTGTAGATTCAATAACTAATTGAAATTGTAATTGTAATCAGTAATATGAAAGTATCCTTTTAAATATTGGTAATATGCAAAGAGAGCTGAGTAGTGGTGCAGTGGTGAGCGCACTGCGAGATTAATTCGGTGACCTGAGTTTTATTACGAGCCACGGTTAACATTGTCGGTGAATGATTTCTGAATCAATTTTGGTTCCGCTATTTCACCAATCCTATTTGATCAGCTTGGCCAAGTACGGCTAATCAACCAGGCATGGGGTGGCCTTTATCCACCTGTGTCTCTTGTCAAAAGAAGTGTAAATGATTATTATATAAGATACTAAAGCATTCTATGATTATTTAAAAGCGCGACACAACTGCGACAGTGGTAGCTAACAAGCAGCCTGTTGTCTTGCTCCCAGACACCCGCGCGTTCCAGGTTTAATGGCTGTGTTGGCTCTGGGTTAGATGTGAGGCGTTATCTCCCATTTGTTTCCAGTTACTGCATCCCTCTCCCCAACGTAATGCGCACACACACGCACACACACGCTTGTGTCTGTAAGTGCCCAAAATTGGTTTTAACTGGCAAATGGATGCAGTAATAAAAAAAAACTAATAATTTGCTCATGTTTTTGTGATGAAACTATGCTGATGGATATATGAGATTTTATGACGAAAGAATATTTCTGAGAAGTCGGTTACCATAGAAGAGTTAGTTTTGCATTGTGGTTATGACATCTATTTTTTGAAAAAAGAATACATTTTATTTACACTCACTTGTTGCCATTAAGAATGGGCGCATCTCATTCTTTCTTTGAGCCTGATATCCGTCTCGAATGCCATCCTGATGCGCAGTCACATCATTCCATCTCCACCTAATTTTAATAGACACTTAAAGTCCGATGTCCTTTCCCTGGCTTTCACGTGACACTGAGTTTGGCTGCAAGCCTCAGAGCCACGGTCATTTATGTCCATTAAATATTGTGTGCTTTATAAATTGTATTATTATAATTATTGGTGAAATGCTGCAATGAATTCACACTGTTTTGCTTCTAAAAACTGACTAACATTATTAAGAAACAGTGTGTTGTCAAACATGTTTATTGAACTTATTTGACTGCACACATCATGAACATATCCTTTAAAATTACTATTAAATTGACTTAATATTGCTGTACGTCACGCTACTACTGCCTTTATGAAATTACTCTTACACAATGTCACACTCCCATAGCTTCTAAAGAGATAAATTTCCATTTTGTAAGCTTCGTAAATGCTGTGACCAAACAGGTTGCGATGCAATAGAGTATAAAAGGCATAGCTAGCGGTCTTAGCAATAATAGCCAAGCTTTGGCACGCAGTCAAGCAATGCCTTGCACAGATCTTGGCTGACCTCCGAAATGTATAATTGCATTGTTGAGAGTGAAATTTGAACTTATAATCAGCTACTGAAGATGGATTTGACACTCATAAGTATAAGTACATAATGTTCTCCACGCTGATGGCATTGTACATTTTTATGTACCAGGGATTACCAAATCCTGTGTTGAATCGGACGACTAACAGATATATTTTTACAGTATGTGCATTTATTTGTTTTGGGGAATTACAAAGAAGATTGTCAGTCATTCAAAGCCTCGGTGTTATCTTCTCACTCTGACCTCCAGCTGATGCCCGGCTGATGAACACAACCCACGCATCCGGTGTGGTTACGTGACTAGCACGTGAGACACATGAAATAACATTTGCTTTACATCACAGCTGGTCTCATGAGATCTCGGAAGCTAAGCAGGCTTGCACTGGTTTCTTATTGGATCGGCAACTACTGTGCCTGAAACAGTTGTTGTAGGCTGCTGCGGGCAAACGTTGTTAATAGAGGGCAGTGCAGCAAATACCAGTCATGTACTGTGTACTATGTTCTAACGTCTGTACTCCCCGCTTTCACTAAGCTGCACTGACCAGCGTGGTGAAGTACGGTTAGTAAACCCCATGACTAGTATGGCATGGAGGGGTCTTCAGCCAGAAGTAGATTGACAATAGGGCTGGACATGTATTTGACAACTTGCAGCTCGGCACACGGCAAATGCCTGCGCAGCGCGACTCACGACCTCCTCTTGATACCAAGATCCAGGATGGTCATGTCTTTGCGCTGCTTCTCGGTGGCAGCCCCAACAGTCTGGAACGCCATCATCCCTCTGCACATTCGCAGCATCACCTCAATCGCCTCCTTCAAGAGAGACTTAAAAACTCACCTCTACAATCATGCTTTCGAGCGACCCTGAGCTTGGCTCCGCGCCTCTGAGTTGCGGCTGTTATGTCCGCAAATTTGCGCGCGTTATAAATTGCATTATTATTAATAAAAACATGATGATTCTCATCATTGCTAGCCTGGAATCACGAGTAAAATACAATTCCGAGTAGGATCATAGGATTTGGTGGACTTTTGGAACTGTCAGGGATCTGAGCTCTGCGTAACGTGGCATGGCATTAATGGGTATTTTACCGTGCAATTCTTCAGCTTTCAAAGAATTCCATTCCCCTCAATGACTGTTCCGCGACTGTTCTTTTTGTCGTCAGAATCCCATTGAAGTGAATGGAGATTTTAACCATGGAGGATTAACTATTGCTGCAGGAGTCTTCCGCAGTGGTATTGCGCCGTTTGGACGCGATTCCTGTAGGAATTTTCTAGCACTCGACTGTACATCATTTTGCTCACTGCAATATATTGGGCCATATTGAAGTGCAATTGATAAATTGCGTCTTACCTGTGGAAACATTTGTGCACAAACAGCGTCGCGCTTAATAATATTTAGCCACCGGTGGCGGAGGTTTGGTTTATTACCGTCGGATGTGTTCCGAGGTCAAGTCGGATGGTGACTTTTAATGGTACCAATCATGGCGCTTCACGAGAGAGGATTTGCTCATTCTCTTGTGGTACATGATGAAGTTTAATTTCAAATGTGTACAGTGTGAGAGATATAATGCATGACTTGTTATACAGGCTACCATTATATGCACGTACTGTGATTACAAAATAAATAGTTCACCTAATGCAGCATTCCATGGCAAATTCATTCAGCGTGTGCACCAAATGTAAATGTCATAATGCTTGTATTGCAAGGGTGGGATTTTGCATAAATTTGTCGGAGCCTCATTAACAGTAAATACATGTATTATAGTATTCCTGTATAGGATTTTGCTTTTAGCACATAATCCAACCCCCCATTTATTTAAACGTGTTGATTCTTTCAGTGGAACAGTAATCGGTAATTAATCACCATTGGAACCTCCTTTGCCAGTAGCAAAATATGAAAAAAAAAATTTACCCTTTTATCTGGCAACAAAACTGACACCTTTTTTTTTTACAAGGAGTCATGTTTGCATTGACCACAATACCTGCGGTCGGAATGCAAACAAGGTGTAAATGCTTACCCTGAGCTCTTATATTTTGATGGTGCATTGTCTTTTGGTGTCTTTTGGCGTCAACTGGTCCAACACAATGTGAGACTAGGCTCTAAGAAAAGCTGTCTCGGGTGTGGACCAATCAACTTCAAGGACAGTGCATACATTATCAGAGTTGTGTTTTTTGTTTGCATTATGACTGCAGGTATTGTGGTCAATGCAAACATGACTCCTTGTAAAAAAAAAGGTGTCAGTTTTGTTGTCAGATACAAGGGTAAAAAACCAATGATCATTATCGGTAATTAATCGTGTGTGTGTTTGTGTCTTTCCCCTGTGTGCTGCCAGCAACGATCCTGTCATGCGGATGGATCATCTACTTGACCTACTATAACTCGCGTAATATGGGCTTTGTCCTCACCATCTTGTTAAACCGCTTTTATAAATATGGACACATCCACTTTGGTGAGTAACATGATCAATGGCAAAATAATTCCGCGGTGTATGTGTGCGTGTTTTACCCGTGTTATAAAAAAAAGATACAATATTTATTCTTTTCGATTTAAAGCTTTCGTGACTGCAGGGATTCATCTTCTTGGTTCTTTCGGTAAAGTCACGTAGAAGGGAAGTAATAAAATAATAAAAATTAAACATAATAAAATAATAAAACATAATAAAAATTATTTTATTATGTTTTCTTTTTATTATTTTATTATTTTATTACTTCCCTTCTACGTGACTTTACCAAAAGAACCAAGAATATGAATATGTATTCTCTTGAAATACAATTATAGATTCATTCTTTGATTGTTTTTACTTTGGTGTACTTAGATTATGTCATGAATATATTATATTGTGTGTTGAGGTGGTACAGATGAGATCCCAGGTAAAGAGAGTTGATGCTCACAGTCCAGTCACCAATGACTATTGAAAAACGTACGTTACGTTTGGTTTGTCACTTAATTTCAGCATGATTTTTCAAATGTAACAAGGAACAAACTCTTCTGAAATTGTATTTACGAAACAAATGATGCAATTGGAACTAATTCTTCCGACTTAATGTTAATCAATACCTTCCTTTTCTGGATAGTATTCAGACAAAATGTATGCTGTTCGGCATTATTCCGATCGATGTGCATTTCATGCTGATTTCACATGGGTTCACTGAATTTGTTTCAGGGGAGCGTATGTTTGCCGAGGTGTACACACTTCCCCTAACGCTCAGAAATGTTCGTCTTATTGCTATGCCATGTAAGGCGGATGTTCACTTCCATTCACCTCCAGGTGTTGCTCAATAAAGCTAAGGTCGAAACTAAATTATTTATTTTATGACCTTTGATTCGTGCTCGTTTTTTGGGTTGCAAACCACTTGGCTACACGGAGGCTGCTTCTCGTACTGTTGGGATGAATTAAAATGTTTGTATGTAATTTCAACTGTGACACTTGCACCCAATGTTCCACTTATTTTCTGATAATGCCGGCACATAGAGTGAAAGGACAGTCCCCTTTTCAACTGATATTTTTTGTTGTTAGCATTTTATCTGTTGGCCTTGGGTTTTGTTCTATTAAAGCTCCATGAAATAATGCAGACAGGCTTGAAAGGTTGCAGATAAATCGGCCACACTCACAACATTTGTCGTGAATGTTTTGTGAAACCATGGAAGATGTGTTTTTAGTTGTTTGTACAACATAACCTAACGCCCAGTGGGGGAAACACTCAGTGGGAACCACGATCATTGAATTAAGGGCCCTTCTTGGTGAGTTTTATAAAAATTAATGTTTTTTTTTCACAAAACTGTTCACGTCATTGCATTGTGTACTAATACAATTAAGCATTGTATACCAGACTCTTTGGGTCTTTCGGTAAAGTCACGTAGATAGAAAATAATATAAAATCACGACGTTTCGATCACAACACAAGTAATCGTCCTCGGGTGAAATTTTTTAGTATTTTTCAATCTACGTAACTTTACCTAAAGACCCAAAGAGAGTGAATTGCTGCAGTCACGAAAGCTTTAAGTCAAGACTGTTTACCAAGTTGTTTGTTCCCTCTGGCAAGAGGATGGGGGTTTGTTCTACATCTTGTCGTTAATGCTTACCACTCGCCGATTCTAATTCTGTTCCAACCCAAAACAAGTGCCCTTATGGATAAATGCAAATGCGGTCAATGAAATGACCTTTCGGTAAAGTCACGTAGATAGGTTTAAAGAAAATGACAAAAAAGAACAAAAACTACGACGTTTCGATCGCAACACAGGCGGTCGAATTCAAGATCGAAACGTCGTAGTTTTTAGTAATTTTTTATTATTTTGTTATTTTCATTGAACCTATCTACGTGACTTTACCGAAAGATCCAAGAATACGAATTCCTGCAGTCACGAAAGCTTTAAGTCAAGAATGACCTTCGGTTTAACCAACTTCCGCTTATATTCATTTGCAAGTTTTTTTGTCCAAGATACCTTCAAAAAATAAATTGCCAGTGGGAACCGTGATCACTGAATTCAGGGACATTCTTATGACTGTTGTAAACACGAATGCATATTTTACAAAAACTAACTTTGCTAAGAGAATTGAGCGTCGTTTGCCAAGTGGTTTTACGTGTTTCTCCGTGTCCCTTGCAGGCTCTTTCACTTTCTCGGTGTTGTCTGGAAAAGTCATGTTCCGTGATGTTCACTTTGTCAACAAAGACATGTCTATCCGGTGAGTCAATATCAATGGGACATTTTTAGTAAATTATTTTTAAATTATACTTTTAATATAAATTTGTTTATTCAGTAATATTTTATTATTAAAGGGTTTGTCTGTTACACAATAGCTACTGCTAGGGAACTATTAACCCTTTCCCATTCTGAGACGTCTGCAAGTTGCGGGGTGAATCTCGGAGCGCGCAAGCGGTTAGAGTAAATTTTATTTAGAGAGGTATGGTGCCGTTGTTTTTAAAGACATTGCATGCACCACAGAGAACTGTAGCGACGCGACCGCACTCTATGATTAGTTGGGGCCAAACTGTGACACATGCCTTCCCGCATGGCCTTGTGGGAACCTCGGTACAGATAAAGTTATTTTCCATCATCTGCTGATGTACACGGACGCCATCAGAACAAGAAAGGGTTAATATGCCCAGTAAAAAAATTGGTTTTCACAAACCATAAAATAAAGAATGTTCCTCAGTGTAAAGTGAAGTCTCCAACACTTATCGTCCAGCCTCTCTGCCTGTGGCTTCCCTATGTATGAGCTTTATAAAATGGTCTTTGCCCGAAACGTCGCCTATCATATAAATATTTATTATTTTGAGGCCACACCGTGTTATTGAATGATGTGTTGAGTTTTTGGTTAATTGTGCTTGTGCACCACTGTCAATGCAGCAGCCTCACCAGATAATTTGTTCAATTACACATAGCACATTATACCGATACAATGAATGAGATTTTATTATTTGCTTTACACGTATACGTTCAGTCTTGCTAATTGCCTTGAAAAATGTTTCTAACTTTGTGCCAGAATTTCATATATATTTTTTAAAGACTTAAGTATATCAGCCATATCCGTAAGCAATGGGCCCGACCTGCGTCGGCAATGATTATAGAAGAAATTACATTACTCATAAGGATAAAAGTTGTCGCCTTCCATCCATATATATTCAGCGTTTCCTTTTTGTGTACTCAGGATACAGGACGGATTGCTTATCTTCAGATGGTGGCGAATATACAACCCAAAACAAAAGCACAACGGTGAGTAGTACACTTGCTGGCATGAACCCTTGCTGAAATGTCCAAACCTACTGCGCGTGACAAATCCATTGCGCGTGTGTGCACTTGGCTGCACTACTAATGAATAAGCGTCACGCTGTTGTTTGCGCGCATTGTCTGTGCAATTTAGGGTTGTTGATCCATTATCGATTTTTCAGGAATCGATTTCAGAAGTTGAAATGAAATTTATAATCGAATCCAGTTCAACTTTAACGATTGAATAGATTGGGCCACGTGGATGATAACGGCTCAGCCCATTCTAAATGGATAGGTCAGCAGTAACCATCATAAGGGACCAAGAGGCGCTTGTGCCAGGCTAGGTGCACCTTGAGGCCACTTGAAGTGTCGAAGGCTTGTTTGCTGGCAAGAGGTCACGGGACAGACCCAGGTTTTATGGGTTGGTTGAGATGACTGGCAGATGCACCACCTGTGCTCCCCTCTGTGCCAGACACAAAACAAAGATCTCCTGTATAGCCTTAACAGACTTTTGGGGCAAGTGCTGTTAGCAAGCCCCTATGAAGGCAGGCGCGGCACACGAGGGGGTGGGTGCCCAGCACCATGTCCAACTGCCTTTATCTCCCAAGTGGTGATATTTACACAATGCACCAGGTCCTCATTTGAGGCTAAGTAGACCTAGGAGAGGCCCAAAACTGGTGAAAATAATCATCACTGGGTTCGTAGCGCAGCGTACTATCACGCAAGGCTGGACTTTTGTTTTTATTGCTAGAGATTTCAATTTGTGAGGCAAACTGAAATGTGTATGTTTCTAACAATTTGTTTTGCTATTTGAGGATCAGAAAGGGTCAATAAACTAAACAAATTAGCAACCCAAGTGCAATTGTATCTCAGGCAGTTGCAGTGCGTAATTATTGTGACATCGAGTGCCGTGGTGAGCTGATGTCCGCGTTGGGATCATTTCTGAGCCATCGATACAAACAGCAGCACGCTCCGAGCTCTCGTTTCTGTTTACTTCCTGAGTTTGGTCGTCATCCTGCAGCCAGAGGCCGGCAGTAATTGAGTTTGCGTGGCTTAATTTAATCTGTTGTCTCGTCGAGTGGAAACCCAACGGTGCGAGTTGGTTGCGTTCTTTCACCGGTGAGTTATTGCCATCTGGAATCAAGGCACCGTGCCTTCTGACCCCATGCATATTTAGTGATTCTTATTCGAACTTCAACTCAAATGCCACATGAATGCATTACGAATATAAATGTGTAACGCACTATGTGCGTTCAATCTTACGTTCTAGCCTAATTTGCTCAAAATATGACAACATTTACATAAATTCTAGATTTGAAGTTTTCGTGACTGCAAGGATTCATACTCTTTGGTTTTTTCAGTAAAGTCACGTAGGTAAAAATTTTAAATAAATTAAATCATGACGTTTCGGGCGCATCACAAGGACGCTTGTGTTGAGCCCGAAATGTCGTGATTTAATTTATTTTAATTTAATTTATTTTTATTTTTTCAAATAAATTAAATCATGACGTTTCTGGCGCAGCACAAGGACGCTTGTGTTGAGCCCGAAATGTCGTGATTTAATTTATTTAAATTTTTTACCTACGTGACTTTACTGAAAAAACCAAAGAGTATTTACATAAATGTAGTAGCTGCTCGTGTTGCCATATTTTGGAAGTAAAATCTGAATAGTGAAAAAGAGAGAATTGCCCAAGGAAACTAATCTGCCAATGGACAATGCTCATCACCATTATCATAGTAAATTCCAGGTGGTGGCTTGTTCTTGCCTCTGTTGCTGTCAACCATATTATATTCCACACCCTGTCTTTTTTAATAACATAAGGATTTACATTGGAAAGCTTAATCAAATAACGATATTGAGAATATGACTACAAAACACGGAATGTATGCAAATAATCAATGTGTGTGTGTACATATTTAGGAAGAAGAGCAGAATAAATATGTATAGTGCGTACCCCCCAGCAATTCTATGAATTGTCACTTTTCGGGATCATAATTTGGTCTTCTTCGTCGTGTTCATATTTTACGTCCTGCGTCGCTTGTACAGTTGCGTTTGCTCCTTGGCACTTAAAATGTAGCAGTTGGCAGTATCTTTGGTCACGGTCTGTCCACTGCCGGACGATGCCTCCTCGCGCCGGCGCCATCCTGCAGCAGCACCACCGTCTCGCTCACGCCTCTGTGTACTCAGGTTCGCTGTCATTCCATCGCCGGGGTTATCCATCAGCCATCGTCCCTTCCAGCGACGTGTCCTGCCTAAGCCCACTCGCCGCTTGTTTTTTTTTACAGTCGATACGAAGCGTCTGGTTTGTGTTTTGTTCCCTGATCCTCGTATTGCTCTTCGTATTTCGCTGTAATTCCAAGCGTGCGTCTCGCTGTCATTTTTGTGCACTTTTCAGCCTTGGTTCAGTTTTCTTTGCCATTGTCCACGTTTCTGATCAATGCATCATAGATCAAAATCGGTTGTATTTAAGCACACTGTCCAATTTTATTTTTGCAGTTGTACCCCCTATTTTGTCTTATTCACTTTCTTTATTTTCAAATAATATCTAATATATTTTTTGTTGATGAAATTAATCAATGTAAAGTGTCATATAATTTGCATATCATTTGTATGCATTGTAAATAATAAATTCAAACCACAATTTTGTCAAATTATAAGAATTTGCTTTAATCAGTGTCAAATACGCACAGTTAAAACGGAAAACATACTGTATATGCACGTACGTATACACGCATGCGTACATGTTTGTGCATATTTATTGAGCCTCAGTGATTTTGTTTGTGCAGAAGGACGCTCTTTGGGGAATTATCAGGGGAGTTTTCTGTCACAGTGGACTGCTCTGCATATGCGTTATGTTTACACAAATTAGTTCTGTCAGCATTCAAGTTGCCGCTGCTTGCTGAATGATAAATTCTATTACACTTCGTTATTTCGTAAATGGGTTATGTTGCACGTGAAAGGATTCTATGATGACGAATCAAAAAAGGGCATTGTGACAGCAGATGTGTTCTGGTGTGCTTGATTGGAGGTGACCTCTGGGGGCCCTCTGTTCTGCAATTTATTTCTTTGGTTTTGTTCACTTCACCACCACGTGCCTATGACCACATCACCCAGAGTGTGCACCTGATCCGTGTTCCTGGATGTTAAGCAGGGCTGAGCCCTGATGGTGCTTGGATGGGTAAACAACGTCCACCAGCAGGTTGCCATCAGGCTGTGGGGCTCCACGTGGTGGGCAGTGCAGGGCAGTGAAATCCACGGTTGTTCTGTACATCCACACCCCTGTATGTCTATGCTGCCCGCACGTACACCAGCCTGCACTGACCAGTGTGAAATCAAATCAAAGTAACGACGTATTTATACTTAGACGATCTAATCCAAAAAAACATTATTGTGAATAATATTGGTCGCGAAAGCCTACGTGTCAAACTCAAGAAACCTGCGTTATCTGGACGGTTTAGGGAGGCCCTTATCCAGCAGTGGGTTGACGAAAAGGCCTGCACATTCATGTCTCTGTGGCGAGTCATTGACCGCAGTAGTTCACCCGTGTACTTGCTGTTCTTGTCTGCGTATTACTGTACGTGTGTGCGTGGATGCGTGTGTGCTTAACATGCACACCATGTCAATTGTACAATGGGGCGAATTGCAGTGTAATTTATAAATAGGTTTTCCCCTAGTCTCAAACAGTGTTAGTCAAGAGGACGCCAAAAGGTGTACAGCACAAAGACAAGCATTATCAGAGTAATGAGGGCTTGAGGTGAGCATCTACATCATGGGACCTCCTTTGCCATTACCAAAATATGAGAACAGGTTTTCCCCTTTTTTCTGGCAACAAAACAGGTGTTAAGATGTTAAAACACCAAACTTGAAACCTTTTACAAGGAATCGTGGTATTTGCGTGTGGCTGTATATCAATGTAAAATTATACAGAAATTATAATGATGGTATTTGCTTGTGGCTGTATGTTGTTTGGCAAAATTGGTATGTCAGATTTCCTTTTATCATACATATTCCATTTTAAGCTGCACCAATGTGAACCCTATTTCTAATGTTGAGTAGTTTTCAGTAAACCAAGTACTGGAAATATATAAAAAACAGATAATGCCTTAATCGCTTACCTTTTATAGGCACTAATGTACCCACTGTTGTGAACTTAAGGGACTGGGTTTGTCCTTGTGCTCTAAGAATGATCAGCATGGGAAGAACAGATGGAAAAATGCAAATAATCGGACACGCCACCATCTGCAAGTGTTGAAATCACAATTTCACCAATTTTCTTTGGAGAAATTAGAAGGATCTGAATGTATGCATCATACATGTTTGGTGATTCACTGCCCTCTTCCCCCAATAGGCAATTTAATTAATCATTGCTATTCAAAATAGCAACTCAATTGAACGAGTATTGTTCAGTATTGTTCATTGAGTTATTTCTATATCTTTTGTACAGCTTTGTTTGAATGTAATATGAGTAATTAATGTGCACATTTTTGTTGCATACATTAAAAGACATTGATGTTAATTGATGAGCCCATGCATTATTATTACATTGTGTAATTAAAAATTTCACCTCGAAGATCATGCCAGGCTAATTCCTCACATTGGAGAAATGTCAGCTTCTCAAAACGCTCTTTTACCGAGTGTCATTTTGAAGGCGTATTACATTATGAATTGCACCTTGAGATACCTCCATTCCTTCCGATATTTTGCTTTGAACGAGCCACACTAAGCTCCCATTGCGCCTCATGCATCATGCGCATCCCAATCGCTGTCGGGGTCGAGACGTCTTGACCCATGAAGACCACCAGCAATTATTGAACTGAATGGATGCGAGCCGTCTGGACGTGACCTGACTGGCCCCCCTCTGCCACGTGCAGCTGAGTTTAAAAGATTGACTGACGAAGATCCACCTTGACCCTTGACCTCGTGTGCCCTGCTGTGTCCCCCCCCCCCCCCCTCCCCCCCCTGTGCTTGACCGTGTCGTGCGGCTGGCAACAAATTTTCCGCCGTCAGATCCCCGGGCAGGAGACGCGGCTGCACGGCACTCTTAATGGCTTCGAGCTGCACGTGTACAACCGCTCGTCGCTGTACGCGCACGTGGAGGAGGTGTTCGGCCTGGAGCCGACCGTCATCCTGCCCCCCAAGGACAAGCCCCCGTGCAAGGCCGCTCCGAAGCCTGACAGGTGCGCTCCGGGTCTAGCCCGTTGTGAAGCACAGGCCGCGAAGCGCAGTCTGTGACACGCGCCTGAAATTAATGGCAGTTTTGCCCGCCATCTGTGAGCTGTTTACTTGTTTATCTAGCTGTCTTTCTTCCGGTTTGTTTAGCATGAGGGTGCAGTGATAGGGAGAAAGAGATAAAACCTATTCTCTGTGTGGTTTATAATGCACATGGCATGGTTGGAGAAGAAATCATCGGTAGAGCACAGCAGATCTCTTATGTATTCCGGACCTGTGTTTCACTGCTACTTTCATATGCCTGTCCACCTTTTCACTTATCTGTGCATCTTGTCATTTGGCTGATTGTTCCATTCATTTTTACACCAACCATTCATCCTCGTACCTGCCAATCATTCTATATTATAGTATTTTATTGTGTCATTCTTATTTTTTTAGCTCACCATTGATTTCATCTGTCCGTTCTTGGGGCGCTTTATTCAACGTTCTCATGCCATATCAGTTCAGTGTCGTGTACGTGGCATGTCGTGTGTGTTTTACATTCAGGTGCTTGCTAATATTTCTAACCCCCAAAGCCTATGTTGTGGCAGTCACATTACCTGACGGGAGCTACCTGGCAGCAGTGTGTCCGCTGCTTGCTGCAGAGGTTCACGGTTCGAATTCAGCGGCTGCCCTGGTTATTGCCGCGGTGTGTAATGACCGAACGTTAAAGATCCCCTGACGTCATTCGCAGGAGTAACGCATTGTGTGCAGGTGTCGGGGTCCAAATTTGTGAATGAAAAGCAGGCTGGTACGTTATTTAATTGAGATTATACGAGCAATCATCACCCTGTTACTGGCACCACTAATGCCCCAAGTCACTCTTGTAATTGACACTAACCTGGTCTCTTTGAGTTTTCACCTGCTTAAACAAAATAAACTTGAACACGGGGGACTTTTATAATTTTAACGCTCTCCTACTAAGCTTTATCGTATTTATGCCCACGCTCTGTCCGTCTAGATTTGTCTTTCCGTAACCGGAGGGCACGATAACTCCCACAAATGAGATTAATTTTACGTGCTATGAAGAAGGGCCATTGCTCGAAATTTTGCCTACTTTATATTTTTCTGTTTGAAGCGGTGTTATTGACCAACATCTTGAGTTTGTTTGTTATTTGTGTGGCTTAAGGATTTACTTAATTGAAAACTGGCCAAGTTGACAAAAGGGTTATCCATACTTGGAGACAAAACCAGCGCTAAGCTGACGGTTTTGCACGCCGCTTTACCCTCACAGCTACCAGTTGGCTTCCACATTGCAAACGGATATTTCTTATGGCATGTTGGAGAATGTTGCAGTAAACCAAGATTTCTCTTCGTTGTTTTGCGTTACAGTACGCAAGCTAAAAAGCCCGAGACTGAAGACCCAGCATCGTCGTGGAGGTCTCTGATTCCTGTCATTAAGCTGGACATTCATTCCGTAAGCCGTTGAGCGTCTGTGCCTGCACCACGTGGCGTGTCTTGCGTACCAACACACGTGGCAGACATTGCTTAGAAACTCTTCATTGTGGAGCTATCATTATTTTTATCGAGTGGCTCACCCATCTCCACCACCTACCACCACTTTCCCTCCACCCAGCCCACTTTGATGAGACATCAGCTATTCAGCGAACTGATTAAAAATGTGATTGTATACATTGGCACAGAAACGTTAATTGTTTTTCATGCTAAATATGTCACTGATTATCTGGTGTTTACACATGATTACATGTGCATGGGTGATTACTCCAGTTTGCAAATCAGTGTTATGGCAGACTTCTGGGTTAAAGCGTACAGCTCATGAAATGTATGAGTGTCGATTTCGTTTGTACACGTCTCTTTGTACATTCACCTGTAATTTTGGTGCATTATTACAGATTTGATTTATAATCCCGCCAGCATTGCGACCTCATGACTGAAACTACTCGCTTGATACTAAAAGGATGCTAGCGAACGTCACTGTTGCACCTGAGGAACAGGCGAACTGCATTCGTTTGCAAGCCAAATTAGTAGCCACAGGTGCACTCCATTAATTTGTGATGCGCACCACACGATGCTTCGTCTGTTGAGACCAGAATGTTGTCTCTCATCGTTTCGGTGACATCTCCAACCGATTTGGGAACATATCTTGGCAATAAGAACAAAAGCAGCCCGTGTAAAAATTTGTGTCGTCCGACAACCATCCAGGGACAAGGAATGGCAGTAAAAGTGCATCTTGTGGTGAAATTAAACAACTACTCGGAGGCGTGAAATATGTTGTACAAAAAGAAAGCGGCCCAGTGCCTTGTCGAGTAATAAGTTATGCAAATTTCACACGTGTAAATACAGCATTATGGAAATATTTGTCAGCTTTTGTAAAATCCAAGGCTGAACCTCCATCATCATGAACAAATAATGGTTTTGTTTAATATAAAAATGTATTACTTCATAAGTGAATGCGTCGGTTAAGAGTTCTTATCCAAGTATAAAAGGAAGACTAACATAGGTAGTGAATCCAAAATCCACGTGTGATCGCCTCTACAGTACAGTAGTTGTATATCTTTACAACGGTGGGCAGAGTTTGATGGCTTTTGATTGGCGTGTGGCTCTGTTATCCACTTAGTAGGCAGAGTCTTCTGCATGGGAGAAGGAAAGTGTTATCACTGAGCACATGCATCGATCAGTCGATTCTTGACTACAATTTATTATTTTGTTCATTAACAAACTCAATCTTATTAACTTAAACATAAATTTTCCCCATATTAGTGCTTATTGGCATAGAGATCCTCGGAAAATTGATATTTTTGAATGATCCGCGATGTTAAATTATCCAATGACCTTTCCCCCCAGTCATTAGCGCAGATAATCGAAAGTCTCCTGCACATGATATTGCTCCTATTGGGGAAAAAAGGGATCTCTTCACCTGTCAGAATAACCACTCCAATCGAATTCCTGGAAAAACAAAAGAACAATTGCATGAACGCACTGGAGAGCGTGAAAAGGGGAAGGGAGTCATTGGGAGAAAGACATTTTGTGTTGAAGCAGAGATGTAACCACTACTTCTGCCAATGGAAGAGTCCCAACACCACAAGGGGGAGAAAACAATAGCAAACCTTTGTCTAACTGGAAGGAGAAATTTTCTCTTGTAGTGAAAGTCCCAAGATACGGTTGTATTTGCTGATTTCCCCTTGGATGAAATAGATTTTCTAGAACTAAATGTTTTAGATTTTCTTTCTTTAACCTGATATCGTGGTCTGCTTGCCACTTCTATTCTTGAGGTATGGTAAGTTCAACCATGATAAAACACATCTGGAGCAACAGTCCCTGATATTTAATCAGCATTGCATGAAATGGAAGGCCTATAATACTAAAATTCCATGGCGCAGGGTTAACAGATGCAGAAAAAGCACTTGGTTGAAGGGTCCAACAATGGCTAAATATAGACAGTGAACATCTGGGCATGACCATAAAACATGTTGGAATGTTTGCGGACCCGAGTGGGAGCATCCGTGTCAACCTGGAGGCAAGGCAAGGTGTGAACCGGGCGCGGTGTTAAATTGTTGAAGCCTCGCTGGAGCCGATCCAATACCTGAAAATTAGGCTTTCTAGATGAGAGGCCATTCTTTTTCTTAGAATCCGTCGGGTAGAAATCCCCCCCCATTAAGATGTAATATAAGGTCTGTGCGGAGACGTCTGGTCCTGGAGAAATGAGTTTACCCCAGAGGTCTTGTTATTGCCCGTCGGTCTACAAAGTCGTCCCTCGAGAGGTATTGGAAAAGGTAATGAAGAGGACAATACTGTATCGTGGGTTTCATTTGAAACTGATTGGGGTCACTCACAGCAGTTTCATGGTGTGCCTCTAGGAACGTGTTGTTATTTGTTTCAGCGTACTGGTGAATGTAGCACCTCCCAGTGGATGTCAGGGATCGGAGAACCAATTCAACATCTAATCATCACCAAGTGCATGATGCTAATTCTAATCCTGTAGAAATGAGAAGTGAAACCAGTAGCGAATCACTTTGTGGATTGTGTGAGAACTGTTAATTAGGAAAGATATCTAATTTGTATTCTTATCAGGCCCCATGGTAAACATGCTGTCTTCAACACTACCTAGGACATACATACCTCAGACATTTATTGAAAGTGGACAACATCTAATTTATTAAATAAATAGGCGTGTCAGATCAGGTTGGAGTGTTTTTGGAAAACAACTTGATAATGAAAATCAACATACCAAGGTTCCTAAAGAATAGCGTGTTAGTCACTGCTCTTACATATGGATAGGCAACAGACTGACAAAGGCCTTGGCAGAGTGACTCATCGCCCCCTGAATAGACGCTCTACGTTTCATCATAAGCCTTATTCAGCCTCGGCAGCAATCCATCCAACACCTGCACACATTGCTTCATCTCTCATAGTGCATGTCCTCGTACTATAGTTCATACATCACTGTGCGTCACACCAGTGTTAATTTATTCAGCATTTCATAAATTAGAGTCTTGTCAATGGGAACCTGTGAACTTTAGTTTGGGTATTAATCTGGATTACGTGGAGTCATTCTCACTCTGGTTGACGAAAGCAGTCAAAAATCTCATCCACTCCTTGTTATGTATGTGTGTTGAACTTCTTTTGCACTGTACATAGCCAAACGTGCTAATCGGAGGTGGTTATTGATGTTGGTGTGAAGAGCCTGCAAATCCTCCACCCCCTCAGTATTATCAGGTCAAGATGTTAGCCAATCTTTGCAAACAAATATAACTAATTACCCTTCTGTAATATCTTTACTAAGCAATTTTCGTCTGCATCTTCACTCAGGCTAGTTAGCTTCCTCTCCTCATAATCAGTCATGCTGTGATATTGATAATTACTTTTTATGACTGAGAGTCATCGTTGACTAAAATAAAAAAAAGCAAGCACTTAATCGTTGAATGTTTCCATCGCTAATTCCATTGATAAAAAACGACCGCCGGCTCGTGCGCGTCACGTGCACGTGCCAGGGCCGGCTGGTGTTTGGCAACCGCCTGCTGCCCCAGACGCTGTGCGTCAACTTCGACGACGCCTTCCTGACGTACACGACCAAGCCGCCGTCGAGCCACCTGGACGAGTTCATGCACATCGTGAAGGGCAAGCTGGAGAACGTGCGCGTCATGCTGGTGCCCAGCCCGCGCTACGCCGGCATGCAGCAGGACGAGTTCGTTGCGCACCCGTGCCACCCTCGCCCCTCACCCCCCCCCCCCCCCCCCCCCACAATGCATGCCGCCCCCTTCGTTTCCTCTCGCCAAGATTACCGCTCGCTGGATAGATCCCTGCTGAGACCAATTGTCTCGGTTAGACAGGTTTTTCCCAAGTTCTTACAAGCTTAATTCAAGAAACCTATTAACTGTTCGTTACGCCTTCAGTAGTGCTGTTTGTTGCTGGTCACTTGGCGTTTTGGGCCTTTGGGCCTGTGCTCGGCAAGCAATACAAATTCTTCGTAATTGATGAAATCATTGACACACGAGAGATTACATCTTGAGGTTCCCTGTTGGAGAAAATGGTTTATATTTGTAAAGTTAATGGTACAGCATGTTGTTAATGTTAATACATATATATTTTTTATAGCCATATGCTAAAGTCATTCCAGAGAAAGCCATTGGCACTCAGTTTTATATCTCTTTCTCCCAACAGACCGTAACATTTATAGACAAAATACGGTTAACTACGAGAGGAGAGTTTAGAGCTGTAAAAACAGTAATTGGATAACATGTGCTTAGATCTTTACAAAGTTGCCGGTACGTGTGTAGGATCAGTACATTGCCCGGGTGCAAGTGTCTCATTTGGCTATCCAACGTTGCGTGTGCTGCGACGGTTTGGCACGTGCTGTGTCACACCGGTGCCATTTTGGTCACGTATTTTGCGAGCGCGAGCTTTATCATCCGCTCCACAAATAATTTCTCTGATTGGTCTGTAATTGTGTTTTGTGTTACGCCACGCAGCCTAACTCCCCCCCAAAATATGGATCACTGCATTTCCCATTATAATCTTTATTTTAGTTAATTTCACCAATTACTGTGCGCCTTTCGTTATTGCCGAGGGCTCAATGGGGAGAGTGCTTTGTGCGTCCGCGATTGCTCATCCCCGCTGTGTGTGCGTGTTTCTGGCAGGCCTCCGCGCTCGATGGGGGAAGGCTTTGTGGTCATGTTGTCTAACGATGTGGACATGTACTACTACATGGATAAGCCAGGTATTGTTAGTCATGTGATAGTTGAGTGTAAACGTGCACATTTTAAAGCTTTCGTTAGAGTTTTTTTTCTTCTTTTGCACATCAAATTTTCAAGGTTCATTAAATTCCCTGATTCTTCTTAATAGGATCACAAAAGGTGCACTTACAGGATTTCACTTGGGGCCGTTGACTATGCCAAGTTCACAAAAAGAATGAAACCAAATGTTTTATGCATAACATGCGATGTTATAATTTGCACAGCAGCAGACTGATCAATTTTGCTCAAGAATAGTGTTGATACAAAAATAGGTTTTTAACACGTAGTTAGTGAAACTTCCAAAATCGTATTCCTACATCGTTCTGACACTCCTGTCATATGCTTGGTAGCGCATGCACCTTGTCAGATTTCAGTATGACGTGGTTTACATGTGCCCAACTTATGAAGGCCACCATGATGATGACGACACCACACCCACACTTTAAGGCCACAGTTTCCAGGTGCTCTGTGGCCATGTGTGTTGCCCAGAATGAAAATGGGTGATAGCAGGTTGGAGTGCTGCTGGAAAACTAAACTTGATAATTGAACAAATAGTGTGCGTGTTGTTATTTTAATGTGTTTTGGTTTTTATTTCTCAGCAAACTGACAGATCAGTAAATTGGTTTAATGTCGTGTTTTTTGATATTATAATTTTTCCAAATTTGAGAATGTTTTTTAAGTATTTATATGACTGCTCACTTAAAACTTTTATAATTGTATTGACGTCTTGATTTTATTAACTCTAACTCCTACCATATTTCAGAAATTACATTCTCACAGTGAAGCCAAATATGTGAATATTGCGTTCATAACCTTTGCACAATCATACAGTACACAGTAGAGCAGTGGTGCAGTGGTCAGCACACTGCCTTATGAAGCGGTCTCCCTAAGTTCTATTCCTGGTCATGGCTAACATCATTAGCAAATGATATCCGACCCAGTCTTGAACCCCATGTTTACCAGCGGTGTAGCGTGCTCAGACAACGCTGTTGTTGACACATGGTCAGAGGAGAGGCTTTCATCCAGCAGTGGATTGACAACGGGCTGAAACGTATAATTATCAGTGTTTCTCCGGTTTAAACCTTGTGTAATATAACAAGCTAGAGCTCGTGGTCCTCGTGTGGATCCACAGGTTCTCGCTATGCAATTCAGGTCCATTCCTTTAGTCACAATACAAGATTTGATTTAAAGTGGATTAATAGAAACGCAACTTCTTCTCACTTGCACAAGTAGCTTGTTTTAGTTCTTACAAAAACATTTTCTCTTGTCATTTCTCTCCATCGGTGTCTTAATAAAGTTAAGTATTATTTGGTATTAAAATTATTTTATTAAATTATAAATTGTCTCTCTGATTGCACGCATAGAGAAAACAAACAAATAAATGTATTATTGACTGCAGACATCTTGGTATTTAATTTACTGCACATTTAGTCCACCGTGGCCCGTGGATTGTACTTGCACAGCATTGCCAATACCTCATTAAAATGTAAAAGATGATCTTGGCAGTTGGAGAGCAACGCGCCGCTCTCTGTTTGGTGTGGGTCCCGTCAGTGGCAAGGTTTCCTCTTACGACGCTACTCTGCCATCATCTCACTTTATGGGATAATTACAAAAGCCCTGTGGTGATGTGTGGTTATCATGAATCTGCAATGCGCAGACTGGAAGGGAGCCTTCAAAGGAATTGTCGCTTAACTTACAGTGGCTGCAAATAAGCTGGCTGAGAACAAAGACCATTAATATTCAATGTGTGGAGCCCCAATGCATTGTTTATTGCCCTCGTGTGTTGGTTTGTTTTGAATTCCTGATCATTTATTCGGGAACGTTAACATCGTATATGAATATAATTGTTATGAATGTACTCTAGCTTTACTTCTGTGCTGCATTTATTTGGAAACGTTCATCTTGAGAAAGTGTTAAAAGTCACTGAGCCACAATTCTTCCTCTGGATATTCCTCTGCTGAAAAGACACTGGGTGTTGGACGTGCAATGCTTTCAACGAGGAGACTGGCTAATGTCCACTTAAATTTGCTTCCATTGCCTCCGAGTTGCACTTGTTTTAATGATTGCATGTGGTGCAGGTGGTGAATTGAATGGGAAAGAGAGAATAACAGGGAAAATTGGGTTCCAGAGTTCATAGCCAGGTTTCGATTTTACCTGGGTGTTGACAAATCCTGGAACATCACGCTACAGTTTAATGAGCCGTGTGGACCTGTGTGTGGGCAACTGCTGCCTGTTTGTTGAACCCGTGACGTAACTTGTGTCGCTGTTTAGAGGACTGGAGTGTCACAAACATTTTTTTGGGGGAAAAATGAAACCACATTTTTGGCAGCAGCAACAATTTCTATCAAAAGCTGGTTACAGAATAAAATACATTTAAATTTCTGGAGCTCGGGAGCCCGCATGAATGCGCACATCTCGTATATGTAAATGATGTCTATCAATTAAAATGCTGCACCACTCACTCCTCCCAGGGTTCAGTTTTCCTCACCTGCTCACTAGGAAGGGAGCTCTCACCACTGCAGCTTGGCCACGTGTACACGGTCTCATTCTGCTTCTGACTTAGGAGGATTGGTGACACTTCTACAGCATTTGTGGTGCCTAACAGCAGCAAGTGATAGCGATGTACGATGGCATCAGCAACATTGACAATCGTGTAACCTCTTAACCTTAACGCTTGTTTCCCTGCTTGCTCACAAAGTGTTCCACTCTGTGCTGCACGTTGACCAGGCCTGGTGCCAGAGGAGAGCGAGGAGAGCTCCGAGGACAGTTCTGGCAGTGAAACCTCCAAGCTGCAGGACCTGCCACCCTGCTGGGGGCTCGACATTGTGTGCGGCAAGGCCACGGACTTCAACTACGGGCCCTGGGCTGATAAACAGAGGCAGGCTGGTGCACAGACACAAAAGATAAAGATCCCCCGTAAAGCCTTAACAGACTGCAGGGGCATGTGCTGTTAGCGAGCACCTATGAAGGTACACGAGGGGGTGGGTGGCCAGCACTACGCCCGACCGCCTTTGTCTCCCCAGCGGCAATGTTTACACATCGCACTAGGTACTCATTTCAGGCTGAGTCGACCTACGGGAGGCCCAGGACCTGTTCAGATATCTTCGCTGGTGTTGGCCATGAGCGGGAATCGAACCCGGGTCGCCAGGCTCATAGCGCAGTGCGCTAACCGCTACACTACCGCACAGACACACACGTACACACAGTCACACACACACACACTTGTGTACACGCACATAGAGACACATTTTTCCTGTTTAGTTCTACCGTTCAGTCTTTAACACTGCTAATATTTACTGGGCATAAGACAATCATTGCTGTTAGGTGACATGGAGAGTGAACCATGTCGACATTTTTAGTGCAAAACAAAACTGCTTTGAAGAGGTGGCGTTATTGAATGTGCCCTGGGGTAGATGCTGCCAGTGAGCGTTTGTCGAGCATTGCGCAGCACGCGGGTAGTGTAGCGTGACCAGCACCGTTTACGCGTGGCTGCCGTTGTTTCCCGCAGTGCTAATGTTGACAACGCCACACTGGGTTCTGATTTTAGCTCGTGCTGACCTAGGAGAGGATCAGGTAAGGTTCAAATACCAGTGGCTACTGGTGTGTTCAGCATGGTTTGAAATTTTACCCTGCTGGGATTATGGTGCAGTGTGCTAAACACTACACCACCACCACCCCTGGCGTTTTCTTTTTGCGTTTGCTGAGCACAGTCTTCTAGGCTTCAAACGCAAAGTGGCCAGCAATTAAAGTCACTAATGATCGTCCAGCAGATATGAAGCAAATCATCCCTTGACATGAGCAGGTTCAATAGGAACATGTTGAAAAGAACATGGAAGGGAATTCAAAAGTTGAATAGTACAAGCAGACGAGGAGGAGGAAGATGAATCCTCTATCCTGCATCATGGTGTTGGAGAGTTACTGAAGAATTGATGAGCGTAGGAGCATAAATTAATCTAACTGCTTCATGTTGTATAACATCGACGCTAATTATTGTTTTCTGTTACGTGCTATGTAACTATGCACCCAACTTGGACCCGTGACGAACAGAGAGGAGGATCCTTGCCTGTAAACATTAAGCAGTTTTTCAGCATTGTTTTAAGCAACCCTGGCTCTACTGATGAGACATTGTCGAAACTGGTCCAGAGTGTGCTTGTTTTTCACCAATGCTAATGAAATGATGTACTCCCAGAAGGCTGTGTGGTTGATGAGATGTGTAAACAAAAAAATACTTTTACTTTTTACATGAAGGGGCAGAATCGGTGATAAAGTTGTTATTGCCTGCTTATTTATATTTCTATCTTCAATGTTATTGCGCAGTAGGGTAAACATTAGGAGTCCTACTCCAGATATCCCAACGTGGAAGTACATAACCACAAATGCATCGGTATGTATGTACCTGTTTGTAGTTATATTACTTTGTAAGTATATAGTGCGGTCTATGCTCATGTTTGGTTGCATTGGAACACTGAAGTGTTTGTATCCAATGTTCAGAAGTGTGATTGTTTCTTCCAGTAGGCAGGGCACTTTGCCAAAGTAAATGAATATTCAATATAAACAAAAGCCATTAGAGACTCGATACGTAAAGTGTTATGGAACATGGTCAATTGAGATAGGAAACGCGTTTTAAATGTAAATTAACTGCGTAAATCAACGTGCAATAATGTTTGAAAATGTAGCCTAATGTGTGTGGCGTTGTAAACTCATTTTTAAATAACATTGACCAATACTTGAGGACCTAAGTGTTGGTTACAAGACAGAATGCGAAAATGAGCGAGTCTGTGTTTTGCATTTTAACATTCGATATATAATTTGGTGAGATTTGGACTGAAAAATGGTATGAATACATTGCTTCCTTGTGCATTAATGGGCCTTAGTGCTGTGCGGAAGGTTCCGGGTCATGAGAGTAGATTGTTTTCAGTCCTCTAGAGTGAAAACTCTTCTCTTTAGAACTGCTTTTTCTGTTTAGTTTGTTGTCTTTCCCCGCACCTCTGATGAGCACGGGCAGCTGCGTTACAGTGCGAAAGACGTTCAACAACATACATACTGCGCGTACGTAAGCGAGTGCAGGTGTGTCCGCGCGTGCGTGTGCATGCGCGGTAAAATGTACCGCGCCATATTTGATTTGTCCTTCCTCTTCATCTTTGCCCTCTGCCCCTCACCAGGGAGCATCTCTGGAAGTTCTTTTTCCCAAGTGACTACCAACCCATGAAGGTCACGGAGATGGCCAAGCCAGGCGAGCTGCGGCAGAACCTGGCCTTTGAGTTGCGCATGAATATCATTGCAGATGCCACCATGGACTTGCTCTTCACCAAGAACCGGGTGAGCTGGGAGTGATCGGGATGTGGTGCTTTGATGACTAATGCTCAATGTAAAAGGACTTAAGTTCTGGGTTTAAATCTATACGGTTACCCACGATTATGCAGTACCGAAGCCTCAAATGTAGAATAGTGGCAGGCTCGCTCGTTTGCATGATGATGATTATTTTATTTTCAGTGCCTTTTGTTTTTGATTCTGTGAAATAACTTTGTGCATGAATGCATTATTTTGGCTGTCATGCAGGAAACCAATGCAATTCATGTGAACATTGGGGCAGGATCATATCTGGAGGTGAACATACCTATGATTGTGGGTGAAAATGGTGAGTTTGCCCAATGCCAAGTGCCACGAAATCGCAATTGAATGAACGGAGTGCGTTGAAAAGGTTGTTTTGTTTAATATTGCTGATGTAAAGTAAATTTTGTAGTTGTTTGATGTGTCACTTGTTGCTGACCCAGCAGAGACCTAGCATGCATCAGCCAGCAAATGTTGCAGGGTAACGAGGTGTGCGACGCTAAAAGGTTTTAAAGGCTTTATTTTAAAATGTAAAATCGCCCCCATTTCAAGGGGGTATCAGTACATTGCACAAACAAATTCAAAGATCAAATCTCGTAAAATACAGAACGATTAAATGCACTTAAGGGAAAGCAATGAGGAATTAGTGAGTCTTGCATTTCCTCCTGAACACGCGGAGACTCGGAGAACGCAAGACATTGCAATGAATGTCGATACGCTGAATGTAAAATGTGACGCATCAAATCAGTGTTGTTACTTGGGGAATCGGCTATTTTGCAAGAAGTCTGGCTGCATTCGACAACTTAGTAGTCCCATGATGAAGCCAACCTTTGAAGATGTCAGTTACTGACATGCAGACTTTCAATGTCTAAATGTTGATAGGTGTTGCTCAGCCTTTATAGACGTAACTTTCACGACAGCCACCTGGATGGCAAGACAGGATCTACTATCCCTACGTGGGCTGTACAGTTTATAGCCAGAATCTCTTATTGTCATTAAAAACTAAACCTTTGCACATATCAACTTAACATTCATGAAAATAAAAAGCAAATTGTAGCTTGTGACAGTGTTTTATTGTATGTGTCTGTGGCTTGGTCAGGTGATCTGTGTTTCGTGTACTTGTTCATGATTGCTTTTCTATTAAGGATAACATTTTTTTTTACTGTAGCTGATAAGACCCATAGTTCTGGAAATCCACAGAGGCCAAGTGATCACAAGTCAAATATACGTTTATGGCTGTAGGCACATAAAGAAATGGAAATTTGACCCATGTGATAAAGTGGCTGCAGCAGAGCACAAATTAAATGTACACTTCAGGAATCCATCTTCTGTGTGCACAGTGTAGGATAATCCATCATCCAATGCAGGCTACTCGCCAAAGAGTAGGTTATGTTCATGTGCATAACACAACTTTCGTTTGAAAGTTGTTGAGGATGAACTTGATCAGGTCTTGCATCCAGAATTCTGTAATGAATCACCTCAAATGTCAACTTTGTGCAATTAATACAGACCTGAAGGAAGACTGACTTGATTGAAACAATCAGAGCACTCAATAAAACACAACACTTGTCAGACTTCGTTTAAATTAGAAGCACTTATTGACCTTGAATATATGAAACCACAGTGAATTAAAATCTCCTGGAGATTTAATCATTCGTACGATTCACCACAACTGGCCAGCCTACCTGGGTTGGCCTCTGTCGGTCTACACGCTGATTGTTGGACTATATAATGCCAATGGTCGTGATGATAAGCCTGACGGCAAGCCGCACTGCTCGGTAAATCCTGAACATAATTTATTCAAGCATTGATTTTGTGTAACATTTGTGCAGTGGTCAATGCACCGCGATGTGTGGGCTGCGCTCGATTCCTGGCAACGGCTAATATGAGTCCAAATTATATCTGAATCGGTTCTCGTCCTCTGGCTTGTAAACATCAGCGTTTAGGAGACATGATGCTGACCACACCACCCCATCGTGCACCATGCCGTCCCTAATAGGCACACTGAAAGAATCACTTACCCCAACTGCCTATGCAGGCTACGTGGACGGTCTTTGTACATGTGTGAGTGGGCCTGCTTGCTGTATGCTAATAGCTATTGTTTCTATTACCGATATCGCTGCCACTTCTAACAGTGTTTACCCTTCTCCTCCTAGGTTTTGCCTCCACCATCAAAGGGCAGCTGTTACATGTGGATGCGACCAGCAGCATGCAGTACCGTTCCCTCCTGGAGGCTGAGACACTGGCGGTGAGAGACACCGCACCACACTGCCTTCAACTTCTCCGTTAATGATGCAAATGATGATTGTGATGCCGCTGGGTTGGCAGTGATGTACAAGCACATGGAACAAAAAAACTCAACACGTTCGTCAATAATGCTGCTATAAAAGAAAACATATATATATAAAATCGGTGCTTTAACACCTAGGCTTTCGCGACCATTATCCATAATACAGGTTTTTTGTGTTAGATCGCGTTAATATGAATTGACACAGCCAAATTAGTAAGGTTTGTCACGTGAACAGAACATGCCAATTCGTTACCAGTAAAGCACACCGAAACACCGGTGTTTTAAGAAATTGCTCTTCTTTCTAGCATATGAATAGAGAGAGAGGCTGGAGAGATAGTGAATCAGATATTTTATAGTCTCCAATAAGCCGCTTGGGGAGTGGCTCGATAGAGAAAAAGGGTGCTTCTGCAGAGTCCTTCTCTTTGAATTGCACACCATGTGAACACATTTTTTTGGGGATTTTTTTTACTCTTCTGTGTTTGAAATATTATTTAATTAATTTCATGATTTGATAAATGGGACTGACGGCGAGGCTTGACCTGTGGAAAAAACTGCGTTGGCAGCACCCCTCGCGCGAGCACGACCGAGCCCGTATGTCAGTACAACCTCCCCATCTCCGCTCCGAGGCCGACTTGGGAGATGTACGGACTGTGTCCTGCAGTCGTTCGTCTTTGAGCCCGATCGTATAACGTGCCGGGCGCAAAGCAGGGCTTGGTTTGGTCAGCACTCGGATTTAGGATCGCTTGGCCAAATCATTCGTATGCACGATGCAGTGGCTGATGGTTATAATCTAGCTACCTGGTGCTAGGGCAGAGTGATTGTGCTGAGATCACGCTCACAAACCACAGCACCAATCTGCATAGCCAGCATTGAGGCAGCACAGAAAATAGGTTGCTAATCTTTGCAGTGTTTGTCACTGCTTCAGATGTATGTGGGGACTTTCTGCGTACTTTGATTCCCCCCCCCCAATTGCACAAATCCCGTGCTCAATAGGATTTGGCCAACTTTATCGAAGTACGGTCCTTCTCAAAATGTCTTCTGGGTCTGAGTGCGGCTTTCCTGGGTAAAGGATGAGTGCTGGTCCTCTGTCCATCATTGTGTCAAAGTCACATTTCTCTCATGCCATTGTAACAGGTCGTTCACTGGAATTAAATGTCTCACCAGATGTGCGTGTGGTGTTTCAATGTTAACGGCCATGAATTCGATTTAAAGCAAATTCTGTGCACGACAGGCCCTTTTGACATTTGCTTCTCCCTTGTTCTCTTTTCTGTATCTCGTTAGTTTCATGTCAATGCCAACTACTCGTTGCTGTGGAACATGCACCAGGCGTGGCAGTGCGAGATTGAGGTCTGCAAAGCCACCTACTACTTCATATTTGCACAGAAGAACTTCTTTCAAGGTGAGTTGTGTCACACGTGTTTATGGTTGGATCCCAGCTGGTTTGTGGTCGTTAATGGACGCCTTCGTTGTGTAAACCACCCCTGTAAAAATGGAATGCTTTAAAGCTGGTTGCATGTAACTGCTTTAACTGGTGGCGAACGCCTGTAACCCAGCGCTGAGAAGCTGAGGTGGGTTGACGGATCACACAAATTTTGTGACACTCCCTTTCCGTGGGGATTGAGATGCCTGCTGCCATACCCTGGCTTGCCAGGAGAAGGTTGTACACGAAAAGTGGACTCCCATCTCCTGCAGTTGTATGAGATACAAGGGTGTTGTCCCCATACACAGTCAGTTTGCCAGAGAGCACTCGTTATGCAACGGTACTGGTTATGCAACGACAGCCACGGGAGGGAACACAGGTGAGACGATTACACCTGGGGTTTACGCATTCGGCGAGAAAATTGTGCCGCATCGTTCTAAAATGTAAGGCAGGTGCAGAGTGGAGAATACAATAGCAGAGCTGCATTAGCAGTTCATTCAGAGTAGATGCCTACGATGCCGGTAATGTTGCTGACGACGACGACGGTGGTGATGTTTTTGACACCCGTACAGATTTGATTGAGGACTGGACGAACGACAACCCGTTGGACATCTGCTCGTTTGTGCCGTACACCTGGAACTTCAAGGTGATTCTGCACCAGTTTGAGATGGTGTGGGCTGCCAACCAGTACAACTGGATCGACTGCTCCACCAGGCAGCAAGAGAATGGTACATGCCGCGCGAGAGTCTTTGTCATTCTGATTTCACCAATATACACACCGTATATCACGACGTGTACATTTCCACCGGGTCGCACATTTACATTTCTCGCAGTCCCCCGGTTTGCCTCGCATTTGTTAAGCGGAGTTTAAGTCAAAGTGCTTTTTTGCTCAAACAAGCAAGGATTAGTTGCTCATAATCTGTGTACAGCTCTGAGCCAGTGGTAAACTTTCCCCATTCCTTTGGTGAGGGTGAGTCGATCCATAAGACAACGCTTGTGTTTCCACAAAGCTGGTGACTTGAGGGATTGTTGTGTCCCCTGAATGCGAGCCGTGAGCTCCAGCCACCCTGCCCCGTCAGCTGAACGTGTCAAAATGTAAAAGGGAGGCAAGGTTGAAGCCCAGCAATGTCCTTGCTCACACTACTGTTGGCAGAGGGGACTCCAATAATGGGAGCATTAGAGAGGGCCCCTCTAGAGGATTAATTGCCTTCTCTCACACTACTGGCCAGACACCTTGGAAGCAGTTAATATATGGATTTTAGAAAGTGCATACAAAATACACATTGTGCTCGGGCAAACTCTATTCACCCCCCACCCATGTAATGAATATAAAATTCCAAACTTTAAATCTGTTGCTCTCTGGGCATGCATGCTGTGTTTAGAGTGACACTTGCACGTATGCAGTGTTCGCTGTCTCAATGAAATGATCCCTTTGGCCTGTTCCTGTTCACTACTTGTCCACTATTTAATACCAGCCCAGCCATTTATTGGTAAGATGCAGATCAGATGGATAATGAAACCACTGAGATTACGTATAGCTTCGTCGGTATTTCCGATTGCTGGGCATTACGCTGTGCACGCAGGAGGCCACACGCTCGCCACGCTTGCACAGAGCCTGTAGCGTGTAAGTGCATTATGATGTGAGGAGCACTCGTTTCAGTGGCACTTAGGCGTCATTCCTCATGCAAGCGCTAAAAATTTAAAACAAAACTCATTGGGGAGGCACAAGCGTCACGGCTGCATTTTAGCGTTTGGTACGGCGATTCCCGTGGCCAGTGTTTGCTCTTTACAGGATTGGTTTAAGTTGATACTTGGCAGCAAAGCGTCATCCAAACAAGCAACTAAACTTCACGAATAAATGGCAGCCGAGTTGTATGAACAAATTCACCTTGACACTGACTATATGCAATTCACATTGAAGTTTTTTTTAAAAACGTGTACATGAACCACATGCATTAAACACCTTGGCCGTGCGTGTAAAACTTTCACATTTTATGATGTCAAGCTGTTAGTCCGCATTCACCTTGTAAGAATGTGGCGGTGTGCGTGCCATTATTCATGGATGATCGCACAGTCCATCAATAGACAAGGGGTAATTAAATTCCAAATTTAAACTGAAGGACATGGAGATGTCACGATGGTGTAAAATAACTCGGCTATGCTGATTGCGGATTATTGTTTGGATTGGGGTAGCTGAGATGTCAGTGGCAGAAGTCACTTGTTGACCTCTGGGTTCGGGGTTTGATGATTTAAGTCCTATCCGCCACATATTAGCGAATGCCATATTTTGAAAGGTCCCCTTCGTGAGCGTTAAGCAGTGTGTGGCTTGGTTAAATGTACCTCCTGAATAAAATTACGTGTGACATTCACCAGTATGTGACCCTTTATAATGATGTCATGTAGGAGTGGAACAATTGACCCTCCTGGCGATTCTAGGAAGCTTTGCAATTCAGGGTTGCAATTTGATGCAATAATTGTTTTGTTTTGATTTAAAGCTTTCGTGACTGCAGGGATTCATATTCTTGGTTCTTTCCCTTCTACGCGACTTTACTTAAAGAACCAAGAATATAATTGTTTTGTTATCACTGTGGTGCTGAATGGTAGTGCCTCCAGTCACTACAGGGCTCATGTGGAGGAGCCCCAATGCATTCACCGCATGTGATTCTAAAAACATACATTCTTACGCACCTGATTTAATCCACATATACGCAGCTTTAAGGACCCACGTTAATCAATTCATCTGTGCATCATTATGGCCATAGTATCTAGTACACACGTGGTAGACAATCTGCAAATTGTGTTGACCTTCGAGCGGTTGTGGTAATATATATCATTGTCAGGCAGTGTAAAGTGGAGGAAAAGATGAGCTTGTCAACACACTTAAATGGAGGGTATGCATACACAATAGAAATGGGTTAAAATAATATAACCTGGCATGCACGGTCATATAGTAGTACTGTTCAGTGTTTAACCTCATCTATGCTAATATATAATCGGACAAAGCAATTCCATAAGTCTGTGAATGCCATTATGGCGGTGAGCAGGGTTTGATTACAGCTCGGTCTGTCAGGGTCAGTGACCGGGAAATATTCCATTGCTGCACGCAATGCGTCGCATCCAGCGCATCTCCCGCTGCGGCCCGTAGACACGCACCTACTCCAGTCGACCAGTGACCTGGGAAATATCCGCTGAGCGTTATTATTGAGCCATTTTTAGGCCACCTGGTGCATTGGGACATTTTGTGGGATGTTTAAAAAGCATTTTTGGCTTTGCTAGAAATTTGGGGGTGGGGGGGGGGCACAGGAGTGAGCATTCTCGTGTCCCCAAAGCACAGCTCTAAGGCCTCCTGCCAAGGGGCGTAAACACATTTGTGTCAAGCCCTCTGCCGTTGTTGCCACTTGCCCGGTTGATGCATTCTGAACAGCTGCGAAACCCTATGGCAACGACAGTCCTCCAGATTTGGATCTGTGGAACATTGTCAAATCATTAATTATTAGAAGAGGGGGGGGCAGACCTGCAGCTGATATTTAGTGAGAGCTCGTGGGAACAAAACCGAATCAACAATGGCGCTTAGTTAGTATTTCTGGACACCCGTGTAATTTTGTGCGAAACACGAGCATCCTTTATTTGATCCAGGTGAGAGGGCCCATTGAGAATGGAAGTCTCTTTTTCCATGGGCACCTGGGTTTGCTATGAAAATGCAATTTAAAAAAAGCACGTCCACAACATGCAAATTCGATGCAAAGATAGACATATAGATCAATCTGGACGTTACAGCAAATGAAAAACAATAGAGGGGAAAGTGTAGCACACATATATAGCAATGGTAGACATAAACATGAAGGGTTTGTTTCTATTTTTCATATTAATCTGAAACATCAGAAAAGCGGACCCAGATACTACATTTTGGATGACCTGACTTTCTGTTGTTTTTTCGGTTTACCTAAAAACACGAAATCACAGGAAGTGACGTCAGTTCAACGATGTCTCGTCCACTGCCTTCCCACCAAAAGTGCCATCACGTGATGGCACTTTTCCTTAAACAATTAAAATGTTTGCATTAAAATTGTATATTTACTGTTGGTCTTGGAGGGTTTAAAGCATTGCTTTTCAACATTTCTCCGCATATTGCAAAACAGCGCTGTGGCGGTTGAGCCACATACACTGAACGTGGGCGCAGGATCCTGGATCTGTTTGTGCAACGCCTTGTTTAATGCTTACTTAGCATGAACTGCGCTGGTATAGGGCTGGCGTCGTGTGGCAGTGACGGTGATTTAACCACGACAGGCCATGGTCAAGCAGACCTGCTGGCCCATGATTTAACCACGACAGGCCATGGTCAAGCAGACCTGCTGGCCCCCGCCTACCTGCCACAGGTTATTTTATGCATTTGTGGCAGTGGCAGCCAACGCAGATAAACTCTTTTAAGAAATAAAAAATGGACAGGAATGTTTTTAAGACAGGTCAGCGTTACAAAGGTGAAGGTATCACGCTGCACAGACTCTTTGATTATGACTGGACATGTGGGAAAAAAACTATTTTTGTCATGTGTATTGGGTTCACATCGCCTTTGCACGGAATATTACTCTGGTTACTGTTTGACTAAATTGCTTGCATATAAGTCCCTGCATACATGTGTTTGTCCATGTGTTTTAGTGTTTCCCTCCTTTTTAAACGTTGTGCGTTCATATTCTGGCTAAGTTCAAATGAAGTAGTGTATTGATTTGTCTGAAATGTAAATGAATGTCGAGTGATGTCTTTTGAGTTGCATATTTTATAGGCAAGTCCGTTGTATTGCTTTGCACACTCATCCGCATCAAATTGCATTCTTTCATGAGAAAATCTTAGCTCTTGCACATTTAAATAGTAGATATGTTTCTGTAGATTGCACATTCTCTTACGCAGTGATTTCCATTTAAATGAGCCTTGCATGCTTCTGCACAGGAATCCATTTGCTGTGTGAAATTCCATAGGAATGCCACATGAATGTAATGGTTATAAGAATATCCCCTGTTGTATGTCAAGCTTTCACATTGTCATGGTTGAGAACTTCAACGGTGGTGTCAAATAATATTTGCTCAAAGCCCCCTGAACCAGTTTTGAGTGAGTTTGTGGAAAGCAACTCACTTGACCCTCAGGAGGATATCCGTAGCGCCCAAAGCATTGTCTCAAAAAGCTGGACAGAAATCTCCAATTTAATTTTTGTGGCGGATATATCTTTTTATAACTCTTCAGTCGGCAGAGCAAAATGTCATGTTCGGGAACTGTCCTGGTAGATGAAAACTGTCAAAAATAAAACCCATAGTTTCAATTATCCCCTTCTTAAATTAACATCGGGTAGTGCCATTGTACGCTGTGTGATGGGACTGCGTAATAGAGCCTTATGTTCCAGAATTGTGGAGTTTTTTTCTATTTGTAAACGGTGTGATCATGTGCACAGTAGCGACTCAAGCAATGTATAGCAACAGGCATATGCTTACATTATAGGATACGCCATTAACATTCCCTGTGCAAATATTATTTTTGTGGGAAAAAAAATGATAATTTAAATTTCCACTGTTAAAATTCACTCCCCTCGTTTCAGCCGCCATATACAAACATCTGAATTCGACACTGATTATCTGGAAAGTCCTACGGTAAGTACTGTTTGAGTTAGATGCATTTCAGTCTTGGAGTACACACAAATGGTAGACATTTCACCCTGGTAGGAGGCAGGTGATGGGGAACCAATGATAAATATCATCCCAACAGGGTCTTGGTACATTATTCTATTTATTTGGTTTATCAATCAAAATGTATCGATAGGACATTGTATTATTGTTAATAATCATTTATAGCCCATGGTCACTTTACTGCTGGAGGAATGCCTATCCATGCTGTGTAAGTAATGGGGGATGTTTGACCTTTACTTGCTGATTAGTGTGGGTTGGACCTGTCCAGATATAATTTGCCACTGATATGAGCCATGGTTAGGAATCTAATCTGGTTTTGGGGTTTATCGCCACTGCTGTCGTCTCTACATTGCACACATACACACGTACGTTTAACCTATCTAGATTATTTAGCTGCTGTCAATATCCACGTGATAAGCCACTTTGTTGAGCTTTCATCTGCAGCCAGATTGCTTCTGAAAAATAAGCTCATAGCTCAGTGGGCTTTACCTTGTAAAATAAATAAATATATTTCGTTTAATATTTTGTTATTGCTTTGCTTACCTTTCCTGAACTTTGCACTCCTATCGTGTTTTTGTATTGTTTATTGTTGTAACTTTCTAAAAAGCCCCGACTGGACATTTGTGAAAAAGCTTTATAGCTCATTGAATTCCTCCAGTATAACTAAAGATTCCTATTCTGTAATTCTTAATCGAAACCTATCCATAAACATGTTTCCACAGTATAATCCTTCAGAACGGGTCAACATCTTGGATGCCTGCCTTGTATATACGTGCCTTAAAAAGTGAATCGGATTGAAAACTACACTTGTGGACGTATGATTTTGTATATTCCGTTTATCGTTGCGCAGTTTATCTCGCTGCGTGTGGGGAGGTGCTGAACATCGATTTCTGTCTTCCTTACATCGACTTCCTTCCGGCAACCTGCAACATCAAGTTTGTCCTGAAGGTAAGTGACGCGCACAGCACTGCGATTACACACACGCACCTGTACCGCGATTATTTTATCATTAAATTTCGATTTAAAGCTTTCGTGACTGCAGGGATTCATCTTCTTGGTTCTTTCGGTAAAGTCACGTAGAAGGGAAATAATAAAATAATATTAAAATGAATGCTGTGGCCATGAAGAATGCGTATTTCTATATCGTAAACAGAAGAGAAAGCCATTGTCTCTTAATGTAACCATCATGCTTGTTAAATTATCTACGTGGAACAAATTATGAGTATTGCTTTCATGTGCTAAAACTCTATGCTTCCCTCGACATTAATTAGCACATGAATGGTGCGAATGATTAAGAGGATGCTTATTTTCCTTTGGGTTGTAAATACATTTGTTGTAGTTCTGATGTTTATGTTGCCCCACGTCTCTTTGGGGAGAAGAGCGATTTAGTGTATTGGTACGCTCTTTTAAGATGCTGATTGGGTGCAGTAGATTTTCGACAAGGCACAAAACCAAGGGACAATTGCTATTTAAACCAGACACGTGCATCTCCCACATTGACACACGTTTGTGTCATCATCAGCACTTGGTCAACAGAGACGGGCCAGGTTCAAACCGCGCTGGCTACCCCCCAACCTTTGGTGCCCCTTCCTCACCTGAATAGCCGTCCACGAGGAGCACTTGACCCTGCGAGTCTGCAAGGGTGAATGGACAAAGCTTTGCATTGTATTTGTGTGTTTTATTAATTTCATCGTTGCCAGTCGGAGGACGTGGAGCTCCGCCTCTTCCTGCCGGAGAGCCACAGCAGCCGCTACTCGCTGCTGTCGCTCGCCAAGAACAGCTGCTCGGCGGGCCGGTGCGACGCGCCGCCGAGCCCCACGGCCCCCGAGCACGCCGGCGCCAAGCTCAAGAACAAGTGGCGCAATCTCACCGACGCCGAGTGAGCACCGGTTGAACCAGCGTCCTTCATTGCGTGGCCCGCGGGCCACTGGCGGACCCTGGTAGCCCCTTTAGTGCGGGCTTCTGATGCGCGGCCCAATACACAAATGTGAAAACACCCCCCCCATCGTCGTGCTCTGTCAAACCACAATGGTTTCAAATGTGTGGTGGTGGCCCCTCACACCGATGATGTAATATTAACGAAAGTGCCCCCCCTCTAAAAATTAGTGAAGAACAATGAGATAAACTCCCAGCCCATGCACAGGACAGTCTGCCACCTGTGGCCTTGTTACTCGTGCTTTTATTTGCCTTGTCGAGTCTCTCCCGATTCGCGGCTCCGTCGTCAAAGCCTTGAACTAGGAATCTCTCAAGGGTTAGAGTTTAATTCTAGGTTCTGGGTTAACTCAGCCCAGCGTGCCTCCAGGTATTGTGAATGTCTACCACCCTGTGGGAAGAACAGAAAAAGGAGGCAATATTAATCATCTCTAGGTTGCTAATTGCATGGTCATGATTACAACGAATAGACGTTATTTGCAGGAAGTTCTAGGAGAACTTGGCAAAGAAGGCTGCAAAGTGGGGTGCAAGATAAGCATCGGTTTAACAAAGGTCAACAAAATGTAGGTACAACACCTAAAGACAACCACTGGTGATCATGAACCAACAATGGTTGTCTGTCGAAGGAACTGGTCCCCGCCATAGGAACATAGCATTTCCACTGCTGACGGAAATGGGCATTGTCCCACATTAAGTTGAGCAGCGGGGCGCTTTGATGGTTGTGTCCCGTTGTTTCAACCTATTAATGAAGGAGCACGAATTTGTTTCTGAGATCATTAATGTGTCCGTCCATTTGTTGTCATTACTACGCTCCAAATTAGAATTGTAAATTGTATCGAGCGCTTTATTCTTCGTTCATCACTGCGGACTGTTCGCTCAAGTGCAAATTAGATTGTGCCAGTGAGCGTGATGTTGAACGCACTGATTAAAATCTTTCACTATTTTTCATCCATATCCCATTGAGGGGTTCAAAGCTTAATCTCACATTGCCACGCTCATTTTCAGACGGCATCATATTTTATTTAGATGACAATTTAATAAACTTACAAATGTAAATGAATTGAATTTAAAGAATGTCACTCTTACTTCAGGAATGAGAACATTTCACAAAGCTGCTTAATGGGTTATGGTTTGTGATTATTTAATGAAAGCAATATATTATTCCCCGTCGCACTGTTTTCAATCCTTGCGATTTACCTTCGTGTTGACACAAAGCACCCCTCGTATTGAATTTCAGCACGTAACCTAATTGGGCAATGACGCCGGACTCTGGGTTGTAGTAATTACAACAAGAATGGTGTTGTCACAGCACAGGCGCCTTCAGTTTGTGATTGGGACCATATAAAATCTCTTCCCCCCCCCCCTCACCGGAGTCGTTGAGCGAGCGATTAGCGAGCGATGTGCGGTGTGTATTGCACGGCGAATAACCGACCGTACGTGCGTCGTCTGTTGGAAGGCTTGTCTCTCTCGTAATGCGACAATTGCGGCACTTACGATGGAAAAAACAGATGAGTGTGTAATTAAGCAGCGGAACACAAGTAAAGTACCACAGCACAGATGCCAGTGGAGCAATTATGACGCAGTGCCGTGATGCTGCCTGAAAGCTAATTTCACCGTAGAGTTATCAGGATGAAAACAGGAAATTACATAATGCACATGATTAGGGCTCTAATTGTGTTGTCATGTTAATCATCAGTCCCATGTAACCCGTACCTCACAATAATATAGAGTCCTTATCAATCCATTGCTGGATGAAGCGTTTGCACTGTCATTCATGAGGGTTGTTTGATCATACTTCACCATGCTAGTTAGCGTGGTTTGGTGATTGGTGGGGTCCTCAGGCCTGTATAGTTATCCCTCATCACTGATGATGCCTACAGCTAGGATTCAAATTCAGGTCACGGGGATTGTAGCGGCATACATTGTTTGGTGGTCTTGGGCCCCTCTTTCACCAGTCGACATTGATCGGTCAACAACCCCCACGATCGACACAGCATGAGGGGGCTTTCATCCAGTAGTGGATGAACGAAGGGATGGGAAATTATAATGCCGTGACCAGGTGATTTGTGCGAGTTAAGTGGATGGGTATACTGAAATACAGTTCTTCCTTGCAAATGACATGTCATGTCATTTCCTTTATCCAGTCAAGGCTTTTCCATGAGGGTCCTACATTGTGATGTTTGGCTGATTTAGCATTTCTAGATTTGAAGCTTTCGTGACTGCAAGGATTCATACTCTTAGGTTTTTTCGATAAGTCACGTAGGTAAAAAACAACAATAATAAAAATAATAGAAATAAATAATAGAAATAATAATAGAAATAAAATAATAAATCACGACGTTTCGGAGGCAACACAAGTCTCCGTCATCAGGTGGGACCGTCACAGCTAAAATTTACTGTATCAAGTGAGACAAAATTGTATTTATTTAAGAGCTTGTCTCTTGGAATTTTGCCTCACTTGATACGGTAAATTTTAGCTGTGACGGTCTCACCTGATGACGGAGACTTGTGTTGCCTCCGAAACGTCGTGATTTATTATTTTATTTATATTATTTTAACTATTTATTATTTATTTTTACTTACGTGACTTTACCGAAAAAAACCTAAGAGTATAATTTAGCATTGGTTAGCCAATTTTGCATCTGTATCTCAATGGGCTCCTACCTGGTTTAATAAATTTCACCTATCTAAATTCAGACACCCGATATTTTTCCTACAAAGGTTTTGAAATGGCGATGTTTAATTGATACGCACAGCTCTGCTCTGTGTATCACACACATCCTTACCAAAGGATGTGCATCTATATACATATTCTGCAGTGGCTCACTGTTAGGTATGCAAGATAGATGACAAGTTTGGTTTCAATCGGCAGCTAATGGTCCTGCATGTTCCGTGTGAATAACATACCAGTAAAAAAAACCTATTAACAAAAACATAACGAAAAACGTAATTACGCGGCTACTCGATGTTCAATCTGCTTCACTAAAGCGTGTCTTACCGGAGTAGTCAGAGAGAGAGTTGTGTCGGGTGTGTGCCTGCCTCTGGAAGTGGAATAAATGTTGCGTAGAAGTGCGACATTCTTCCAGGGGACAAAAGTGAGCAAACATACAGGAGGAAGTGACCTTGTATTGACAACATCAATTTCTGGAAGTTTCTTACAGGAACGAGGGGTAGAGAGGAGGGGACACGGGGGACGAGAGAGAGGTAAGGGAGAGGGCGATAGAGAGGTCACACGGGGGGGAGGTGGGGGCAGCGGTGGGAGGGGAAGAGGGGGATGGAAGAGTGAGGTGAAATGAGGAGAGATGCGAGGGGAACAGCTGCCCATGGGATCGCTAGCTTCCTGTGAGTAATTTATATTCACCGCCGCCACCACAGCTGAATCAATTAATTGTTATTTCAAACGGGGTTAAGAGCCCATTGAGATTCAATTCCTCCTTCCTCGAGCGAATGCTTTCCACTTGCATAAGTAATACTCTAAATAAGTCCTGCGTTCATCAAAGGTGCTTTTGTTTTTCTCAACTCGCCAAGCCGTTGCCGCCAATGTTGGTTTTCGCTCACTTCTCCCGGTGGCAGTCTTTATTTTTACCGTTGTTCTGGGGGGTTTGGTCATTGCAGGCAGGGCTGGATCGACTGCTGGGACGTGCCGTCCCTGCAGCTGACGTTCGATTACACGTGGCATCCCATCTACCCCGACAAGGCTGACGAGCAGCTCAAGCACTCACGTGAGTCACTGGGCGTGCCGGCGTCGGGGACGCGCGCACGCGGACGTACGCACACCACCTCCTGCACGCTCTCATCCTTAATGCGCCGGGATCGGGTTTTCACCGTTAATTTAATCGTATCGTTAGATGTCCCGTCGTGGGGAAGCCTTTTTGTGCATGCCGAGGTTGTTTTACGTGGATCATGACTGGGGCTGTGGGTCACATTGTCCGAGATGAGCGTACGGTTGCACCTTTGAAATCGATTTACGACGGATAACTTCACCTTGCGATAAAATCGGCACCAGTCTGAAAATGTGTAATTGAATGTAATGGTTAAATAATGTTGCACGATAAAAATCTCGCATTCATGATCGAATCAGCAATTTTAAAATTCATGGCAAAGACTAACATGCCCCACTTATCCGGATGTCCTGTTTGGGTCAAGTTCTGTCAGTGAGCTCATATTAAGGCTGACGCAACACCCACGAGGACAGCATGTCCAGAACCAGGCCCATTGCCCCCAGCCGTTATCTCCACAGTGCAGATATTGACAACATCAGGTACTCATTTCAGGCTGAATCAGTCTCGTGGAGGCCAGGGCCAGGTTCAGATTTTAGTCGGCACTTGTATTGTGCTTGGCTAAGTATTACATCTGGATTCCTGCGATCTTAGCACCGTGCGCTTAACCACTCGGCATGTAACAGTCCAACTCCCACCCACCACAAGTGAATTAGAATTCTAGGGTATAATTTTATTCACGAATTTTTGCTTTTCTCTCAAATTTTTAAGGGTCCAGTTTATATTGCTTGTCTCATCTCGGTATAATTAGCACTCTCCCATTTGCGCTCTTAGTCTAGAAGTCAAAGGAGCAGAAATAATAGATAATCGATTCTCACTTCATTAAATACATGTATTGTGAGCATAAGTATCCACTTTAACGGACAAATCAATACATCCCTCCTTACGACTACGTCACCGTACTCCACAATGCACACAAACGCAAGACGGCACACGGACATTACACGAACACACGCACCAATGCACTTGCCACTGAAAACCAAGCATGTGGCTTAATTCACTTGGTGCCAACGGCGTTGCTCGCAGTGTCGGAGCTGGAGGAGGAGCTGCTTGCGGCCCTGCGGCCCTTGCCGCCATCGTCACGCGACCGCCGGCCCTCCAGCCCACGGGCCACCTCCACCGGCGGCGGCGGAGGTCGCCACTCCCCGTCGGCCGGCACGTCCCACCCGCTGCCCTCCGCCGCCGACTTCGACCCCACGCTGCTTCTGCCCGACCGCTTCCACGTGGAGCTGGAGGTGGCGGCAGGCTCCCACGTGCTGCTGTACGGGCCGCTGCTGCAGGGCGTCCTCGCCGTCAAGGTCGGTCGAGCTGGGTCTGCCGTGTTTGCCAGACTGCGGCTATATTTAAAGATTTTTGAGATTAAGAAACAGGAAGGGCCTAATGAGCTGCTAGGCTTTATATCGTATGCGTCTGTCCATTCGGATGTCTCGTAGAACATTGCAACCCTTCATGTTGGCGAGTGGCTTACGGAAGTGGATACCACAGAGCTGCCTTCAAGTGATTTTCAAGTCATGGTTGTTTGTGTGCTGTCATTGCTGATTGGACTGTAACTGTCAACTCGTTGCACTTGCGAACCCAGTATAATAACGGGCTGCTGCGAGGTTTGAAACCCAGAATATCAGCGCGTCCAGGGCAGCACCTGGCAGCGTTCATATTTTGAGCCACCAAACCGCCTCTGATTTTTTTAGCATAAAAAAATCCCTCAACTTCAAAGAATATTTCTGAGTGAGTTGGAAAATGTCTGCAATTCTTTAACGTCCCGGTAGGAATTGTGGATCACACCAATATTAAGTTCATCTTCTTGGTTCTTTCGGTAAAGTCACGTAACTTTACCGAAAGAACCAAGAAGATGAATCCCTGCAGTCACGAAAGCTTTAAATCGAAATACAATATTAAGTTGTCAAGTGCATGAGACACCTCTTCGTAAGGCTGGCCATAGGAGGCAATACATCAAGTAGGTGTCGACCTCTCAGCAGAGTTTGAATGATTTTTATTCTTCTCAGTATGGTTTTTCTACCAGCATTCCCAGAGAAAATGCTGCATCATTAATTGGTCTGGCATTCTAAGCAGGAATTTCCCAATAAGAGTGTTGAGACTCATCAATACTTCTTTGGATACATACACGTTTAGTAGTATTAATATTCAAAATTATACCATTTATATTACTTTTGTTGTCCTTCCTCTACACCTCCGATTAGCACAGTTGGCTTCATACGGTGCGAAAGAAGTTAAACATACATACACTATGCAACAATAATAATTGTTTACTGATTTATCTAACAGGAATAATACAATAAAAAATTGCCGGGTTACGCTCCACACAAGGCACTCTTACCTGCACAGGTGAGTGAACCACAACCGGCAGGTGCTTTGCGGTGTCTCCTTCTACACTGGCGTTCAGTCGTGACGCCGCCAATTCACAACTCTGGGGGGTCCGGGGGGTGCGGTGGGGGTGCTGCGTGCGTCACAGGAGAACTACTTTGGCGTGTACGACAAGTACACGGACTTCGAGTCGTCGCCGCCCAGCCCGGGCATGTCGGCGTCACCCTCGGGCGCTTCGGAGTGGATGTCGGTGCGGGTGGAGGAGGAGGGCCGGCGGGAGCGTGGCGAGGGGCTGCACCCGCTCTCGCTGCGCCCCTGGGACATCACGGTGCTGTGCAACCTGCACCAGGTTCACGGCAAGATGCCAACGGTGAGCGCCTCGCCTTTGCAACGCCGTCACTTCTCTCGGAGCCCCTTTATATTGCCGTCACCATCATCATGGGCATGCCTCCTCCGAACAGGCTCTCAGCTCATGGGGCTAAACGTCGGACATGGTGTTGAACAACGCGTGGTACAGTTCGAATACACATGGGAGTGTTTTATTTAACTTATGGTTTTGTGGGTCTTGTCCGGGTACTCAAATTTTCCTCCCACACGCAGAAGGATTTGGCCGAAACCTTCTAATGCAGACAGTGCCTGTAGGGGATTGGAGTGACATGAGAGGGGAGAAGTATGCAGGGGCAAGTGCAGAAGGGATCTTGAAGACGAGTGCTATCTTAAAGTTGATCTTGGATTAGATTGGGAGGCATTGGAGGGATTGGAGTCTTGGATGATCAATGCGTTCTCTTTCACGGGGTCGAGTCGAAAATGGTGGCGGCGGCTGCAGCATATTGAATCATCTCGAGTTTCACGTTGAGGGGTTTGGGGAGGCCATACAGGGGAGACACGCAGTCGTCAAGTGGAGATGTGATTCGGGCATGGATGGGGGTCTCAGCTGCCAGCTGGGCTAAGGGACTGGCATTTGCAGGAGACTTTGAGCAGATGGAGTTGTGGGGTCCCGCGTAGTTGAGGTTCGAACTGGGTGGCGTCGGCGATTGATGCACCGACGCTGTGTCTCGCCGTGCAGCACTGCAGCGCGGAGAGCTCCGAGTGTCCGTACGGATTCCTGGAGCAGCTCTGCTTCGAGATGAAGAAGGGCTACAGGGAGACAGTCCTGCAGCTCGTGATGTCCCCCATCACCATCTACCTGAGTGACTCGTATCAGGTGACCACACGCCCCCCTCCCGTCTCGCCCCACACGGAACCCGTTTCTGGAAGGCAACTGAACGCCACCCGGTGTCATGAGAACGAATGAACCAATTGCTCCTGAGCCACGTGTAATGATATTCGAGCAACATGCGAACATCGTGAGTGATTGTATCGATATGATCATCATCATGTGCACCAGTTATTTCCTCTCCGCTGCTAGTTGGGTGTCAATCGTTCTATGAAGATACATATTTTATATAACGTCTGGCAAAAAAAAAAAAACGTTTTCTCAACAGTTGAATTAGCAGAGTATTAAACGAAAATGTGCTCTCCGTTCTTAAAATATTGTGTTGGACGTTTGGCAAAAGAACGTTAGAGCTCTGATAAATGAGGGTATAAAAATTATCTCTGTAGATATTAGGGCCGTTTTTCTTCCACGGCCCATTCACTTCGACAATTATCCCCATACTTCATCTTCTCCTGCATTCTCATTCTATTTTTGGAATTTTAGGTTGTCCCGTTGCACGATGTAATGTCTCGATTTTGAAATATACTCACGGTCTCCATTGGATCTAAACTGGTAAATTACAGGTACCTGAATGTAAGTTAATTGAGCTGGAATGGTTAGAGGCAGATTAGAATTTGTGTGTGTAATGGTGGGGAGTGGTAGTGTAGCAGTTAGCACTCTGCGTTACGAACCCAGGAACCTGAGTTTGATTCCTGCTCACAACCAACATCAGTGACGATTATTTGAACCGGTCCTGGGTCTCCCCTAGGTCGACTCGGCCTCAAATGAGTACCTAGTGCGGTGTGTAAACATCGCCACTAGGGAGACAAAGTGTGGTGCTGGCCACCCACCCCCTCGTGTGCTGTGCCAGCCTTCATAGGTGCTGCTTGCTAACAGCATTTGCCCCAACAGTCTGTTAAGGCTATACGGGGGATCTTTGCGTTCTAATGGAGAGTGTTAATGAATATTGAATATTGATCTCGTGCCCCAACAGAGGCCGTCTGCCGGCAGTCACCTGGGCAAGGGACACCTGAGCCTGTCGGGTCTGCAGATGAGGGCCCACGCGATGTTCTCGGGCAAGGGCCTGCTGCCGGGCAGCGACACCTTGGAGTACGCGTGGCTCATCGACCTGACGCTCGGGAAGCTGGCCGCTCGACTCACCGCCCCACAGGTGTCCCCTCTTCATCCTTATGCACTTCCATGTATGTGGGTTGCGTGGGCGAGTAGCCGGGTCGTCTACTTACACAACGGTTCACCGTTTTAACTGGGAACTGGGAGAATCAGGCAGCTCTTGATTAAGAATCTAAATGTGTCGGCATATTATTACGAGGGCTCCTTTCATTTTTTCGGAGGGGGGGGGAGGAATTCAAATGTTTTGCTAATGAATGTCCCAAATGCTGCCTCCTTTTGTTTCTCTTTCTAGCTGAGCACGCTGCTGGCATGGGTCAAGACGTTTGCGTTCCACGTGCAGTGTGAGGAGTTTGAGCTGGAGAAGCCGAACCCGGTCATGCCATGTCAGCATGGCATGGACCAGCGGCACTGCGACGCGATGGTGAGGGTACAGCGCGTGTAGTGATATTACGCTCGTCAGATTCGGTGAAGGTCCAGGGGTCATGACAGCCACTGTTGAAGCTACCGCGGCTGTAGCAAAGTCATCCACTGTTAAAACTGTTCTCCAAAGTTTGCTCTAAACATATCCCCGCACCTGGATATAGGTTCTTTCTCCCTTACGTGCCAGATAAGGCTACAGATAAATTGGAAAATCTTATGTCGGCTCCAGTCGTGGCTGAACACGATGTGTGGATTGACAGTGATTCATAGATTAATGTCAATACTTAGGCTGCATGCATTGAGAACATGTCGTGCAGGAGTTAAGATGTTAAATCATGGGAAGATGGTGACTGCCTGGGGAGGCCTTCATCCTGCAGTGGAGAGAGATGATGGTACGTTATGTACCGAGAGGAGAATCATTCCACCCCCCCTACTGAACACATGAACTCTTAAAAATACTTTCCCTAAACAATGTGTGGTGCAGCAGCGGTAGCCCATGATGTTTTATTTCCTCTGATTCTTCCCCTGGGTGTTGACTCGCGTGCTGAAGTTAAATTAAATTGGGTTATGTTATTTAAATTGTGTACATCGTTAAAACGTTTAATTAAAGGCTTTAAAAATATATAATTATAAAAAGCCCAGGCTAGAAGTACTCATATTTGCCGGTTATCAAAGAGGTAATTCATATTTTATTTGGTTAAAATACTTTGAAGGTTTAGAAAATCGTAATTGGGTCTGTTTAAAAACATACAAGTGATATTGCAAAAGGAGCCCTCAGGGGATGAGGCATGAAAATATTTTGCATAATTTCGTATTATTTCCTGATGAAATGAATATATAGCTTTTAATAAGTCACTTTAGTATGCATTGGAAACATCAAGTTGAACAGACCAAGCTGCTGCTCAAAGTTGAATCTCAAAGGTGCATGCTGTCATCCTTGTAGTTGTAATTTCGTTATTATCCTACCGTGGATCAAGTAGGTCTTCAAATGTAACACTGACTTTCACAAAATAACAGAGGCGGCCACGCGGAATATGTGTTCAGCACCACGTGTGTGTCCCGCATGCAAAGTGTTTACGTTTAGTGCTTTTCTCATATTTGCGCGTTGCAATTTCACGTGAACTAATGCACCTTGAAGTTACTTGTACCGAATTTCAGCATCGCATGAGGTCTTGTACTCGCCGGGGCATGCACGTGAAGACTTGCTTCATGTTCTTAAATATCCGCAGAATTCAGCCACCTCGGCTGTCTGCCCACTGCCGGATGACCTCAAGTACAAGATGACTCGGCTGAGCATAGATGGGCTCGATCTGTTTCTGGTTGAGTATGGATGTGCTGCTAATTTTAAGGTAGCAACTTTTCCTTTTCACCTCAGCTCTCTGCACCACAAGTCGTTTATTCTCTCATGCCTATACATAACTACCATAGGTACGATAATTGGTTCTTTACCCTTCTATCTGGCAACAAAACTGACACCTTTTTGCAAGGAGTCATGTTTGCATAGACCGCAATACCTGCAGTCATAATACAAACAAAAGAACATAACTCTGATAATGTGCACTGTCCTTGAAGTTGATTGGTCCACACCCGAGACAGCTTTCCTTCGAGCCTAGTCTCATATGGGTTGGACCAGATGACGCCAAAAGGCGCACAACTCAAGGACAATGCACCATCAGAGTATGAGAGCTCGGGGCAAGCATCTACACTATGGGGACCTCATTTGCCAGTAAAAATATGATAATTGGTTCTTTACCCTTCTATCTGGCAACAAAACTGACACCTTTTTGCAAGGAGTCATGTTTGCATAGACCGCAATGCACATTATCAGAGTTATGTTCTTTTGTTTGTATTATGACTGCAGGTATTGCGGTCTATGCAAACATGACTCCTTGCAAAAAGGTGTCAGTTTTGTTGCCAGATAGAAGGGTAAAGAACCAATTATCATATTTTTACTGGCAAATGAGGTCCCCATAGTGTAGATGCTTGCCCCGAGCTCTCATACTCTGATGGTGCATTGTCCTTGAGTTGTGCGCCTTTTGGCGTCATCTGGTCCAACCCATATGAGACTAGGCTCGAAGGAAAGCTGTCTCGGGTGTGGACCAATCAACTTCAAGGACAGTGCACATTATCAGAGTTATGTTCTTTTGTTTGTATTATGACTGCAGGTATTGCGGTCTATGCAAACATGACTCCTTGCAAAAAGGTGTCAGTTTTGTTGCCAGATAGAAGGGTAAAGAACCAATTATCATATTTTTACTGGCAAATGAGGTCCCCATAGTGTAGATACCATAGGTACATTTGAATGGTTCGTTGATTAAAATATATTTTTGTTGCTAAAGATACATGAGTTGTGTATATAAATTGATTATATGACTCGTGTATATTCGATGGAATTGTTCATGAAAAGCCTGCCGGTTGTTTTTAAACTTTGCAGCCTTTCATGATTGTGAATACACTATGAGGGCAATTGAAATATTATATTTTGAAATTAATCTGTGGTCCACAATTGTGACAATTTGTCTAATTGTGGGTGGGGGGGTAGGTGGTGGCATTGAACTCTTACATATCTTATTAGCCTATCCGCTGACTCATCTCTACCCGCACTCATGGTTCACATTAATGACCATCGATGTGGTTGATGACGACGCCGAAAGTGTCCTAACGCGCCTCGTCTCTTCTCGCGCCCGCGTGCGGCTGCGCGCTGCGCCAGGTGGGCTCCGTGCGGATCGCCACGTGCAACCTGCACAACCACAGCGTGAGCGAGGGCGTCTCGGCCTTGGTGCGCGACGTCACCCTCACGCAGTACTTCGAGCAGCCGTGCGCCACCACCGCCGAGCCCTCCTGGGCCTCGCCGCCGCAACCCACCGCCGCCTCGAATTCCGCCGGCGCTTCGGCGGCGGCGCAGGCGCCGGTGCCGCCGCGCCGGCAGTGCTGGCTCGAGGCGGCCTCCGCTTCCTTCTCGGTGGTGAGCGCCGACGTGGCGCTCGCCACCGAGCTGCCGCTGCAGCACGTGGAGCAGCGGCGCTTCCTGGAGCTGCACGACGGTCACACCAAGCGGTAACGAGCCGTCCGCCGCAAGTGGTCACCGCATCACTGCGCTTTGGGATGCGCTTCTGCGGCCGTCTGGAACGCGCTTCCTTCCGATATTAGGAAGCCACTGGAGATATGCGATTTTAAATCTAGATTGAAAAGTCATTTCTTTAGAACTGCTATTTTGTGTTTAGTTTGTTGTCCTTTCCCCGCACCTCCGATTAGCTCGGTTGCCTACTTATGGTGCGGAAGATCTTCAACGTACATGCAAGGCGCGCAACGTTGGCAGCACACGGCCACAAGCGGCTCTTGTGGCCACTTGCGCAGAAGCGCAGCGACGCATTTACCCGCACCCTCATCCCGTTATTGTACTACAACTGGTAGTCAATTAGGTTAAATTCACAAGACCTTCCACTTCACGTTCATAGCCTTTTGTTATTGCACATCAAAATGTGTTAGAAATTATGATTTGAGATTTCTACATGAGTTTAATTGATACATTCTACAGACTCGAAAAGCTATATATTCTGCGAAAAAAATGAGTAAATAGAATTGTGACCCCGATCCGAGATTAAACGTTTAATTTATTGAAAAGGTAAATTATGACATCCAATTTAAGGGACATTGAGTAAAAAAATAGATTTGAAATGAGTCCAATTTTAGCTTGCTCAAAATCTTTTAAAGTGACCTTTCAAAAGTTTGACTGCCTTTACACGAGGTTTTACTGTGATTGCTGCACAGTTTAATCCTGTGTGCTATGGCGCCCTTGTGCGACCTCACTCGCGTTTTAAGGCAAATGTCGTTTCGATCTCCGACAGGCTGTGGTTCCTGTGGCCTGATGGTGGCGTGGGGGTGGCGGCAGGGCACCTGCACGGCCGCTGCGGGTGTCTGGGCGGCTGCTGGTTCTTCGCGGGGACGGCCCCGGGCTGGGAGCAGATGCAGGCGGAAGAGGGGTCTCCCTCCAGCTCCTCGGACGCCTCCAGCCCCGAGACGGAGGCTCAGCTCAGCTACGGGCAGTCGCTGCTACGCCCGGGGGAGCTTCTCCTCCATGCCGGTGAGTAGTAAGGGGCTCAAGTAGCCTTCCGGCCCCCACATGCCACAGCATTGCACTTTGCTATCACATTGCCTTGTAAGACAAATGTAAGTGGTGCTAGCCAACGGTGGCGCGTATCATGAGACCGGGGTTTGCAAGTGCGCAAGGTTATGTGTGTGATGTGTGTGTGGTGTGTGTTCCCGTGTATTATACTTGTGTTTGCTGCGTGTGAGTTTGCCATGCGCTGAGTGTGTGCTGTGTGTGTGTGCAAGCGAGTATCTTGCGTGTTGTATGTGCATGCCATGTCTGACTGCGTGTGCCGCATGTATCGGTGTTTGTACGCATGTATGTATATCGACTCGGCTTCAAATGAGTACCTAGTGCGATGTGTAAATATCGCACTAGGTACTCATTTGTACGTGTGTATGTATGTGTGTGTGCCTTGCCATGTATTTGCCTGTCCTTCCCCTGCACCGCCGATTAGCACAGTTGGCCACGTACGGTGCGAAAGAAGTTGAACAGACATAAATGTATGCATGCCATCTTTGAGTTTAGCAGTGGTTGACGCTAAACCATTTTTATTTGGCACCTCCCATACTACCACCGTCAATGCATCTACTAAGAACAATAAGTCCATTTGTGCGAATCAAGGTAACAGATACGAACGCGCGCGGTCTCGTTTCGTCAGGCGCCGCAGTCACCGTCAAGTCAGGCAGCCGCTCCGAGATGGCCAGTGCCGGCCACTCCCTGCAGGTGCCGCCACGCAGCCACTCGCACACGCCGTCGTCGTCGTCCTCCTTGGAGGGCGAGGTCAGCTACTCGTCGGGCTCGGAGCTGCCGCTGCTGGCGCGCGACAGGGCCGTCCGGGACTCGAGCCCCGTGGAGCTCGGGGCGCCCTCCTTCTCACCTCCGCCCCTGCCGCCGGGATCCTGCGCCGATGCCGATGTCTGGTACGCCTGCGGTCTCGCCGTGCTTGGAGGAGGGATTTAGCAACAGGCCGACGACGATGGTTCATTGTCGGTCGCGAGCATTGCAACAACTACAATTCTTGAGCCTGATGTGTCCATTGGTCGATATTTCCTGTCTGCCCATAGCATCGACCAGCTGAATGACACTGGTTTAACAAGCAGTGTTCTCCCGATTAGGGTCATAGTTGTAGGAGCTACTAGATCACATCTCCTATCTCCAGAACAGAGAAATTGGAATAAATATAAAAAATTACATTACATAATGAAATCTACTATACATGATTATAGGTTTTTCCCCTTTTTTATGGCAACAAAACAGGTGTTAAGATGTTAAAACACCACACTGAAACCTTTTACAAGGAATCATGTCTGCATTAACCACAATGCTTGTGGTCAGAATGCAAACAAAAAACGTACTCTGATGCAATATATGCATTGTCCTTGAAACTGATTGGTCCACACCAGAGACAGCTTTCTTTTGAGCCTCGTCTCAAACTGTGTTCAACCAGAGGACGCCAAAAGGCGTACAGCACAAAGACAATGCACTATCACTCCCCCCCCACCATGTTCTATTTTAACGGGAAAGAACAGTGGCTTCCTGCTCAAGCGTGGTACATTAATCCAGCTTTACAACACTGCTCCACGTAAATAATCCTTACATTTGATTGTGGAACAACTTGCAACGCTCTTTCCTGTGCCTTGCGAAACCTGCACAGCGTTCCCGATGGATCGACAACGTTGGCCACGACGCAGGAGGGCGGCCAGCTGCGATCGCCCCTCCGCGCTCCGCTCCTCCGCCAGGCGTCCATCGGCTCGGCGCACACAGGCAGCTCGCGCAGCCTCTCGGGGCCTCCTGACCGGCACTCCCCGACGGGGCCGCCCGCCCTCTTCTGCCCAGCCAGCGAAACTTCGTCCTTCCAGCCGGCCTATCCGTTCGCTGTGCCGCCGTCGCCGCCGCCGCTGCCTCCTCCGCCGCCGCCGCCTCCGCTTCCGCCACCGCCTCCATCTCTGCCGCCTCCACCGCCGCCCGATTCGCCACCGCTGCGGCACAGCGTGGGTTCCTTCCCGACTTCCGTCGGTTCCAACGGCTCCTTCCGGCACTACCACTCGCTCGAGTCGAACATCTCCGTGGCGGAGAGCGAGGCTTACTACTCGGCCACGGAGGACATGGACGCGGCGAGCAGCGACGAGGCACCCGCCTCCTTCACTGTGCCGCGCCGGACCCGGCGTGTCGCCGCGCAGCATCAACACCAGCACCAGCAGCTGCAGCTTGGGTCCGGCTACAGCTACGTCAGCTTCCATCAGCCGCAGCAGCAACAGCAACAGCAGCAGCAGGCGTGCTCGTGGTCGCTGCAGGCCACGAGCCGCAGCACCGTGTACCAGAGCTGCGAGGGCATGGAGGAGCTGCCCGCGGCGTCCGTCTGGCCGGTGCTGTCGCAGCCGCAGCCCGAGCAGCGCGTGCTGCCGTCCGTCGCGCAGGCGTCTCAGGTGAGTGCCGCTCTTGCGGGCCGCGACACACCTGGTGGAACACACGGGGCTGGCAGCGCGCACCTGTCCATCGCTTCCTCCCTTTGCTAGAATCGACCGTTGTTGCAAAGTCCTCCAGCTTCTACAGTCCGCCGTCAAACCAGTAATTTATGTACAGCCTTTTTATCAATCCACTGCTGGATGTAAACCTTTCCGTGCCATGTCAGTCATTGGGCTTGTTTGACTATACTTCAAGCTTTTCAGTATTAGTTGCTGAAAGCGGGCAGCATAGAGGTATAGTATAAAAAACCTTTAGCCCTGCAACCTATAGAGATGTATTGCGCAGTGGTGGTCGCACATCCAAGCACTGTTCAAACTTGCTGAGCATCCCCGACGTGACGCGATCTAAGGGTGGTATGCATTTCGGGCGATGTGGTCACACCGCAGGCGGCGTTCCTCTCTGTGCTGGGCGGGCCCGAGGGATTCGAGGAGCAGCACCGGGCGTCAGCGTCGGCCTCCTCGGCCTCGGCGTGCGGCTCGGCAACGCGAGACTCCACCGAGACGCCCGAGGCGGCGGAGCCGGAAGCCGCTGGCGACCGCGGTGCCCCGGCGGACGCGGGGGCGGCGGGGCAGTCCATCTCGCGGCAGCCGGAGCTCATGCTGTGCTACGCCGGCGCGCTCACCGCTCTGCAGGCCGCCGACTGGGCCGTGCGCCACGCGCCACAGAAGAGGGCCTCCAAGTCGTCGCTGCACCGGCCCCTCGACCTTGACACGCCGCCCGCGGTCGACGATGCCGAGCCGCTGTCGGACTACCCGGCCCTGCCCGTGTTCCGCGTGCGTCTCCTCCTTGCGTTGAGCAGTTACAATTTGTTATTGTTTTTATTAAAAATTAACGCTGGCTCGGTACAAAGCGCTGATCGCAGAACGGAGCGGGGAACAGAAACTCCACAGCCCGATTTTGGCGCGACAGGTGCCCAACGAAGGGGGATAATTGGGCTCACTGCCCCACCCAGGTGGGGACCACGTGCCGGGACATGGAGGTTTATACGGGGCGGTCTAATTGGGGAACATCACTAACTTACTGGGGGACATAAAGGGACAGGGGGAGGGAGGAAGGGGGGGGAGTGAATCTGGGGAGCAGTTTGATTTAACTGTTGTTTTTGGGTTGTACGGGGGTGTTGGTTGTCTTGAGGCCGGATGTTTCGCTTGTATGCCGGAACGTAACGCGGTACAAACAGAACACAATCGGAGAGCGACGCAGCACGTCCACGAGAACGTGAGCAGCGGTTTGATTCAGCGGCGCTTCAGTCAGGCCACGCGGAGAATGGGTTTGGTGGATCAAACTAGGATGAGGACTTTGCAATTAAAAAAAGTAACGATTAATTACATTTATATCGTTGTTATGTTTATATGCTGTTATTTTGTTATTTTTACAATAGCTGCCTCACATGGTTACTTACATTTCATGAATATTGTATGCAAATGTTACTTTTAGGCTAAGGGAATTAACAAGACGTAATGCATGTGAAACGATACAAACTGGACAGCAAAAACCTGACCCCAAATATGGACAATGCATACAATCTCAGGGGTAGAGGGGTGAATCTTTCCATGCCTACAACAGACACTAACCTGCAGCAGGCCAAATAAGGTGGTGACTGTTGGAGACCGTACAGAAGTAGGATTTTGATTTGAAGCTTTCGTGACTGCAGGAATCCATACTCTTTGGTTCTTTCGGTAAAGTCACGTAGGTAGAAAATAAAATAAATCACGACGTTTCTGGCGCAACACAAGCGTCCGTCCTGATGACGGACTATTGTGTTGACGGACGCTTGTGTTGCGCCAGAAACGTCGTGATTTATTTTATTTTCTACCTACGTGACTTTACCGAAAGAACCAAAGAGTATAGAAGTAGGATTATTATCTGCCATTCTGTGTTCAAACCACTTTCGAAAGTACTTTTAAAAGAACAGGTCAACATCCCGGACAGCATTATAATTATAATTCGATGAAATGCATCTAAATTGACCTTGAAACCAACGAAGCAATTTTTTTTTATGTTAATCCGTGTTTATGTGTGTGTAATAAAAGTTTCAGTAGGATAACATTTTGCTTTCAAATTAGCCAAAATTAATGAGCCTCTGTGCGACAGTACAGTAAGTGACCGTTGAGATGATCCCTGTATATTATTTTTCAGCCCAAGGTCAATTTCAAGCCAAGGGAGATTCATCGTTATGACAAAGATGGTGTTCGTCTTTGCGAAGTTGTTAAACGTGAAAGTATAATTTTTTGTAGTTGATGCTTTTTTTAATTATTATTTCTGTACAGGTCATCAAGCAAGGGCTGAGCGCCAGCGCCATGAAAGACCGTGCCTCTCAAGAGGCGACCACCTCCAGCAAGTGAGAGGCTAAACAGGCTGATAGTCATTAACACATCCATGAATATTACATGTGTATTCTAAATTATTCATGTAATAAATATTCATTTTTGTTCTAAATGAAAGTTGAAATATAATGTGCATGCATAGCCAAGCTTCACTCTCTCCCTCTTTGTTCTCAGTGAACACAGCTTGCAATTATCGTGCAGCATTATTTACAGAAAACTATTTCATGCAAAGCAGTGCTTATGCCCACAAATATACGCAAACTTGTGTCTGTATCAATTGATAATCGTCACACACATTCACGAAAATGAAGTGGCAGGCGCCTCTGTTTCGGCTGACTGACTTCTGGAAATATTGAGTTCTCACGAGGCTGTGTCGATGTCATCTTCATAGGTGAGCTTGGTTAGTGGGTGTTGTCAGACCAATAATACATTCCAGAAAGTTAATATTCAAGATTGCCTGACCAAAGTGCAATAAAAAATTTCATAATGTGGACACACCATTCGACAGGACCTGCAGTTTATCAAATATGACTAGTGTTTGACTAAAATTGTTCTTATAAATAATGACTGAACGTGTGGCGAAAGTGCAGCCACTCGACAGAGGAGAAAACTGTGCGCACAGCCATGCTCGTGCTGAACGTGCGTTCACATGTTAATGAAAGTGGCCAAGTTGACAACTGTCCATGCCACGTGCTAACCATGTGCTATGTGCTAACCACGCGCTAACCACGTGCTAACCACATGCGAACCACACGCTAACCACATGCTAACCACATGCTAACCACACGCTAACCACGCGCTAACCACGCGCTAACCACATGCGAACAACGTGCTAACCACATGCTAACCACATGCGAACCACACGCTAACCACATGCTAACCACACGCTAACCACACGCTAACCACGCGCTAACCACATGCTAACCACATGCTAACCACATGCTAACCACATGCGAACCACACGCTAACCACATGCTAACCACATGCTAACCACACGCTAACCACGCGCTAACCACGTGCGAACAACGTGCTAACCATGCGCAATGTGGCAGCGTGTGCTACATGTCCCTGAACGACCGGCGGTCGGGCCACTCGGCCACTGACGAGGTCACTTCTGAGGAGGCCGACCCTGGGCCCAGCATAGGCCCGGCCAAGACGATGGCCGTGGTGGAGGTGAAGGGAGCTCTGGATGTGGTGTGTACGCCGCTGCTGGCCGAGGCCCTGGACAGGTGAGAATTCCACTTGGCGGGTTAACTCTTGAGATCCCTTCAGGTGACCTCAGCCTCACAGTCGAGAGCAGCACTTTCCTACCCATCCTGCCATGCAGCTGTTTTTATATTTAGTCTGAAACTTATCAATTAGTTCTGAGTATTGTACTAAGGCAATGCATACAGTTCATGTTTACAGTTTAGTGTCAAGTTATGCGGCCCAATAAAGATATTTTATAAGTTGTTTTAAGCCCTCGGTAAGGCAACGGCTCACCACCTTTTCTTTAGTTGCCTGTCCCTCACGTCGAACACGTTCTTGACCACCACAAGCAGAAAGATGCCTTGCATATTGATTTGTGTTCCATCGCGCCGCTCTCGCCGCTGCTACGCATGCAGGTACGTGCAGGCGCTGGTGTACCACGTGGGCACGCTGCACGCATCTACCGTCGTGGAGAAGCTGCACCAGAGCTCGCTGTCCGACGTGCTGCAGCAGAGCAAGGCCCTTGCTGCCGACACGGTGCGCCCCGCACTGCTCGCACGAACAATGGCGTTTGAATTTCGATTTAAAACTTTCGTGACTGCAGGGATTCATCTTCTTGGTTCTTTCGGTAAAGTCACGTAGAATGGAAATAAAAAAAATAATAAAAATAACTTATGTTTTCTTTTTATTCTTTTATTATTTCCATTCTACGTGACTTTACCGAAAGAACCAAGAAAATGGCGTTTGACTCGAGAGCTGGCAATGCAGGCCCACAATTCCTGCTGTGATGCTTGCGGCGGTGCACAAATTACATGCACGGCAGAACTGTGACGCGAGTTGCGCTATACACCGTCACTTTGTAAACTTTTAAGCTGTACATTATCGCACGGTGCACTGTGTGGGTTTGTCCACCTCCTCCCAACGCATGATGTCATTATTTCACCCAGGTTTCCCCTGGAATTGTATCGTTGCTTTGAATTGGTATTGTGACACGGGGGCTTGGCCTGGCATTATGAGCCTATGCCGTGCGCAGGTTTCCGCCAAGTCGGATGGCCGCAGCGCGAAGACGGAGGGCAAGACCCTGTCAACGGCCGCCTCCGCCCCCCTGTTGGGTGACGGCGCGGTACGGGATGGCGGCACGATCAAGAGCCTGCAGGCCACCGTCTCTATTCCCAAGGTGTGCCGCTCTTCAGCCCCATCGCATCTCTCCACCGCTCATTACATCACTCGTTACACACAAAGTGCTTTCCACAAATGAACCACAATACTTTGCTGATCTCGACAAGGAGCGTAAACCATCATCACGCGAACTCTGGTCATCCTCGCAGCAGCAGCTTTAGGGTGATAATACACAGCTTGGCGTTCCATAGCTGCCAGTGGATAACGCGATGGTTCTGCCGCGCAGATCAACTTGTGCCTGCTGCAAGCGTCGCTGGAGGAGTCAGTGGTGAGTGGCGGTACGGTGGTGCAGAGCTCGCCCTGCATGTCGCTCGTGTGCATCTGCATCGACTCGCTGTCCTGCCAGCTGCTTATGAACAGGTGCGTCGTACGATCGTGAGCTCGCCGTCCTCGCGCCCGCCGCGCGGTTCATTCTCCTTGACAACATTCGCTGAGCTGATAGTGACGCTGCCAACGCCGAGCTTGCACTGCTGAGGTGTTCTGGGTTTTAAGGAAGACGAAACTCAAGAAAATGAATAACTCTTGTAGACGAACACGTCGGTTGTGTGACCTGGACTGCGTGACGTGGGTTTTAAAAGTTATTGAATATATAAAAGCACAAATAAATACTGTCTTTAGTGGGATGTTTGGCCCCTTCCGTTCATGAATATTCGACATCTTTGAGGAAACCGGAGTAGGGGCAAGTTCCCCACAAATCTTTTGCCATCGACCAATCGTGACTCAACGAGTTCTGGGCACACGCTTCCATCTTCTGTGTCACAGTATGAATCGTTGTGTTTTTAATTTTCGCCGATCGGACGCAGGCGAGTCATGGAGGAGGGGGGTCGTGCGGGCGGCACCCTGGACAGCGGCGGGGGCCCCGCCGGGAAGTTGCAGCCTCGCTGCACGGGCTCCCTGCGCTCCAACGCGCCGGCCGAGACCGCCATCGAGATCGCCGCCCGCCTCGGAATCCGGCGGATCCACGGACAGCTCAGGGGCCTCGTGGCTTCGGGTAGGTGCCGCCAGCAGGCGATGGCCTCTTTGTGCCCACTGATGGCTCGTCGCTCCGACCTTGCCTTGGCACGGACGCAGCGTGCAGGTGCGTCGATGATTGAAACGCAAAAGCGACGGGTGGTGTTTATGCATCCCTGCTGTGCACACGGCCAGACCGGTTTTCTTGGGAAGCTGTACGAAGCCATTGCCTCTCAAGTCCAGTTACTCCACCTTCCATGCATCACGCTGAGCCTGTAAAACCTGGGACGACGTTTGTAGCATTGATCAAACTGGAGCCGTGAGCTGCCACTTATCGGTTACTATCTGTGGAGTGTTCTGAACAGGTGATATTTCCTGCAGTTTTTGTTAAATTAGTTGCATGTGTTTGTAAGATGTAACATTGGGTTTTGGGGTCTCAGCCTGTACCAGTAACAAAACTGATGCTCATTTTACAGAGGTGGGACGTGTTTCAGAAAATCACGCCACTCGTGTCATGCTCCCCCTCTCTCTTCTGCACGGATCCGCAGGCCAAGACGTGGAGAGAAGCATCATCACAGCCATCCCCTCGGACAAGTCGCGCGTTCTCTTCCTCATGGAGGAGGCCGAGGCCTTCTCATTCTCGGCGGAGGGCGACAAAGTGGCACAAGAGTCATCCGCCGGTGGGCCCGGGGTGGAGGGCGGCTCGCAGAAAGCCGCGCCCGACGCCTGGGGATGGATCATGTTCGAGTGCGGCATCGAGGACGTGCTCATCAAAGGTTCGTCTCGCTCAGTGGTCTGCTTTGCGCTTCGCTGGTACCGTTGTCCTGTGACCGCCGTTTGCCGTGGGGCTAATTCAGTGAAGCGAGTCGACGTCTTATTCTCGCTCCGACTCGTGTGGGCCCCTGACTTCTTGGTCCTCTTTGTCCACTCGTTCCGGTCCGGGCGGCCATCTCCACTCCACAGTCTTCCCTGTCCCGGTTCATCACTTTGAAATACCTCTTTGTGGGCCTGTCTCTAGGTCTCCGCTCTGGCACTTCCATGTCTAGCAGTTTAGACTATTCGCTCCTCGCGATGTTACTTGAAACTCATAAATCGATCCAATCCCTTATTTATAACCAGGCAATAGACAAACATCTCCTTTTGCAACTTTGTTTGAAAAGTGGCTTTGACACTTATAAATCTGCTTACATATCTGTCCCACATTTAACAACCACATGGACATGCCCGGACGCATTAACGCGTCATTGACAGTCACGCACACACCGCCTATCTGTGTCCCTCACCGAGCACGCCTATGACCCAGCCTTAGCTGAAACATAGCTTGCCCCCACCGTAGGCCCGCGTTCGTGCGTGCGCGCACCCCTCGCCCCGTTGCTCAATTCTACATCTCTATTCCCGCCCGCCCGCCCCCGGCTGCAGGAGGCAGGCAGAAGGGGGCTCTGTACGGCCTGGCCACTGGAGCGGAGCGCTCCGGGGGCCTCTCGAGCTCCCCCACGGGCAGCGGCTACAGCACGGACGACTCGGACGCCACGCCACGCGCCGACGACAGCCGCCGCCCCTCCTGGGGCGACAGCCACTCCAGCTGCAACGAGCAGGTAGCGGCGTCGGCCGCGGTGCCTCCGCAGGGTCACGGGCGGGGGTTCGTTAACCGGTGCGAACGTTTGAACCCGTTGCCATCGCTTGCCTTTTCTCTGCCCCTCATAAGGATGAAGGCGTGGAGTCGGACGACCTCAAGAAGGACCTGCCGCTGACCGTTCCTCCGCAGGACTCGTGCAGCGTGAAACTCGCCATCAAAACCATCTGGTTCAGCTTCGCCGCCCCGACCAAGCTGTCGACGGCGCAGGGCTACTCGCGGTACGAACGCACGGCCGTCCGTTACCAACGCCCGCCGTGAGATGCGCCGATGCGTATGTTCAGCGAATAGCATCGTGTGCGCGTGCGTGAACTTGGCTGGCTGAGGCGGTGTGTACGGCGTTAGAGCTACGAGCTGGCACTGCTGAGATTATGGATTCTGATCTGGGCAGTTACCAATGAGTAAAGGGATTATCCAAATGTGGAGTTTAACGTTATCCGTCCAGTCAACAACGACTTCACAAAATACCATCATATTTGAAGTTGAGTTTTTTTGAATACAGCTATGTTTTTGCATGTAGAATTAGAACAAATATTTGATTGACATGCATTGAACACTCTTCACAAAGCTTATAAAAGGTACGGGCCACGTGTAATGAAGTGGCCCACTGAAGTGACGCTAGTTCTTTCACGTCATTTTACAGGATCTTTATCGTGAAAGTTTTGAGTGGATATTTCTTCATCCCAAGGCAACACTAATGGCACATATATTTGGGTAAAACAAGGAAAATAATTAGGCACAGGTTGGACCTCTAGCTGATGAATTCCATTGGTTCCTTTGCTGCATAGACCAAACGCACATCCGTCCCCCACATCATCGGCGTTCACAGAACGACGAGCTGAGACCGTCTTGTGATTTGTAGTCCTCTACGAAATACCACGGCGTTCACCACCCCCCCCCCCGCTTGCTCGTCGCCCCCACCGCATGACAGGCAGCTGAATCTGCTGAGCACGGCGAGCCCGGCGATCGGCGCGTGGCTCGTTCCCGTGGATCAGCTCAAGTCGACGCTGGACAAGCTGGAGACGGAGGAGACGCTGCGGATGTGTGCCGTCATGGCGTGCATCATGACCGAGGCTCTCAAGGTGTGCCCCCGGCTACGGCCGCCGGGCATTTGCCGTGCTGCCTTGCGTTGCGCGATGGTTTCTCTCCTACCGAAGCGTTCTTGAGATATTGCGTGGACGCGACGGTGTCTTCCATGACTCTCCCTTGATTGTTTCTGGGAAGCGACGAGGGCAGGTCCGCGTTTGATTAATTAATGGAAATTGTCTATTGGTGAATAAACAGATGCACAACCGTTTTTCCATATAAAATGTATCATTTGTCCATCACCCTAAGGCAGTGTTAATGTGAAACGTTAGGTTATAGTTTTCGTTTACAGCAGCAGGCAGGAAACACCGCCAGTAGGTGGTAGTCATTATTTTCCAGCATGGGAGCGGCATCATCACATGTAATGTGGTCGGAGGCTTTGTGTTCCGTGGTTGATGACTTTGGATGAGGTCCACCTGCAACCCACACCCTCTCCCATGTCTCCTCCGCACCAGGTGCAGAGCATTCACATCCCTCTGAAGAGCAGATACTGCCGCGTGTCAAAGCAGGCCCGCCTCCTGCAGGACAACCCATCCTGCCAGCTGTGCAACATCCTGCACCGCTACCTGCACCAGGCCGACTACACCCGCATCCAGGAGGCCACCACCGTGAGCGCTCGTTTCGTGAAGCGGCGGGCTCCACATCGGATGATCGCCTTTGTGTGCATCAATGTCGGATCATCTGTCCCATTGGACAGATGAACATTGTGTGTGCGTCTGCTGTATTAATTCTAGATTTGAAGCTTTCGTGACTGCAAGGATTCATATTCTTAGGTTTTTTCGGTAAAGTCACGTAGGTAAAATTTTTTAATTAATCTCATTTACTTGATACAGCAAGCGTGCTGTGATGGTTCCACCTGAAGACGGAAGCTTGTGTTACCTCCGAAACGTCGTGATTTTTATTTTATTTTTATTTTACTTTTATTAATTTAAAATTTTTACCTATGTGACTTTACCGAAAAAAACTAAGAATACATCTGCTGTGTGTTTTTTCGACTCACTGTTTGTTTATGAACAAGGTATACCTGAATTCATATCTATGCAGTTAAAGGAAGGTGAAACTCAAACACAAAAGTGCATCTTTTTTTCCCAGTGTTTTGATGAAGTAGCGTGTCCCCATGCTATCTTGTGCGAGTTCGAAGTTTCGTGAAAAAACGCAAATTTAAAGCGACTTGTGTCGATCACCGTCTACTGATGTCACTGCGGTTTTAGTAAACTAATTGTAGTGATGTCACGACAGTGCTGTGGCCCATATTTGAAAGTTATTATAAAAAAAATTCTCGAGCACAAGTCATATAAAAAATACAGATATGCACAGATTTGGGTACAGTGTTAATAAAGATGGTTGTAAAGTATTTTAGCTTACAGTTATGATTCTTACCAAGGCGAAGCCGTACAGCCAAGGTAGGGATACTGTAAGGAGAGACATTAGTGTGGTGTGGCTATCACAGTTGGCTACCTACGGTGGGAAAGAAGTAAACAATACTTGACCTTTTGACCTTGACCTGATCATTGGTTTGCGTTTTTTATTTCCACATCCCACTACGCTAAATCCGCATGCCCCCGTGGATCGATCGCTGTGGCATTTCCCAGCAGCAGCAGCAGCACGCCCTGTTGGGGATCCCTTCGTGAGCGTGCGCGAGTGTGCTTGTGTCGTGGGCGCGTGCGTGCCGTCACAGGCGGGTGGCCTCCCTGCGCTCGTGACGCTCAAGAAGGGCCTCATCGCCCTGACGCGACAGTGGATGAACTTCATCGTGGTCACGTCGGGGCTCGTCGAGCTGGGCCGCCTGGGCTCCAAGAACCTGTCCAAGCTGCAGGCGGCCTCGCACCACGCGCACAACGCCGCTCAGGCGCACGCCGCCGCGGCCGCCCACACGGCCGCGAACGCCGCGGCCGCCGCGGTCGCCGCCACAGTGGCCGCAGCCGCCGGCGTCGTCCTGGTGCCCTCGGAGAGCCGTGGCGTGCTGCACAGTGACGCGAGCGGGGACGGCGCTGAGATGGATTACGACGCAGGTCCGTGCCCGCCCTACTGTGGCTTCGGTGCCGATTGTATCGTTGTTAGTAGATAGGTTTGTAGAACGTGTAAGCTTCTGCACTTACGTGTGTGTATGAGAATTTGTTCATGTTGGGACCATAATGACTTTTTAGCCGTCAGCTGATGAACCAAAATGTTATTTGATTTTTACGTGATCAAAGGGCCTTTATTTGATATGGCCTTTGATGATATCTTTGTGAACGCAATCCATCAAGGCAGTGCATAATGTGAACAGTGTTCCTGTGCTGCACTGAACGGGCCTCACCTTTAATACCCCTTGAGGACTCTTGCATGTAACATCAGCAGCCGCACTGAGCACCACAGTCGAGTGTTGGTTTGAACAAAAAAAACCCCGTGACCAACATGGTGCAGCTATCTAGGCCTTCATCCAGCAGCGTATTGACAAAGGCCCGCAAACTTTTCACAACACCTCTGTTTTACTCACTCATTGAGCTCACGTGCCCTTGTGGTGTAGGCACGGTGAGCGAGCACACCATGCTGCTCGAGATGGGCGCTCACGTTGGACACAAGACCCCCCCGGCTCACTCCGGGCCTGTGTCTGGCTCTGACATTCTCATGAGGAAACTCTCCAAGCCTCACAATGCCGAGTCGGCGTTCAAGATCAGGGTATGCTCCCCGAACATGCACTCACAGGTCTGGCCAGAAGGGGCTTTGCCTTGTCAAAGTAATCTTTACAATAAATAAATAAACACCTTTACTCTGAAGTTTGAAGTATTCAGTTATGGATCGATATGGCCGTGTTCTGACTAGGAATGGCCTTCATATGCTAACCTAAAATATTTTGAAGCTCAAACCTTACCTCCTAGATGTATTTTTAAGTCAAAACTGAACATCAATTTACTCACCACTTGCTATTCTTTGTAAAGGCATTCATCTCAAAGTAAACAGTAAAAGTGTAATTTTTGCCATTTATTAAATTTGTAAAAAAATACGTTGTTCCCAATGAAGACTCACTTGGGATGGTGCTGGATTTGTAAGTATTTTTTTCCCATGGGCGGAAACCTCAGTGCCCAAAGAAAACCGATTAAATGTGTAAAGAACATTGTCCAAATACGTGAGCAACCTACTTCGTGTACTGCCTCCTGCAGGCACTTCGCCGCACTGCCAGTGGACACATCCACGCGACCCATCAGCCCTACCTCCGCGTCGGTGTATCACGCACGTGCGCCAGCTTTCCCAGCTCTACTCTTTAATGCTGCCTTTTGTTTTTTTTTTCCTGTTCAACTCCTGACTGAACTGGCGTCTCCGTAAGCAGGGCATCCATCCGTATCAGTCGCTCAGCCACACGAGCGGCGAGACGGTGGGGCCCGACTCGCCCGCCCACCAGGCCGGCCGCTTCTCTTCTGCCGTTGCCGCGGCCGCCACGGCCACCACAAGCCACCGCGCCGGGCCAGCACGAGACTCCTCGCAAGGAGAGCCTCCTGAGCTATCTGACCGGCAGCATCCCGAGCCTTCCCAACCTGTGGGAGGGCACCACGCCACTGAAGGCGGGCGGCCCGTCCGCCAGCAAGAGCACCTCGCTCACACGGGCCGGTGAGAGAGGGCCGGAGGAAGTGGCAGTGCGGCACGCCGAGGGGCCACGTCTTGCCGAATCGGCCGTTTCTGCGCGTTTTGCAGACTGCTCGGCCACTGCAGAGCATTTCCATGTGGAATGCTCGCGTATTTTGGTTTATTCTTAACCTTTTTTTTTGTGAAGTGCAATTTAATAAGCAAAAATATCTATGCTAGAAGGATTCTGAAGCAAATAGACAAATACTGTATGTAATGTATGTACATGTCTAATTCTAAAGTTTTGTTTACTTTAAGCTATTTTTCCATTAGGCCCAGCTTGGTATATTTGGCTACTATCTTGTTATATTAACGTGTGGGAGGAGACTAAAGTGCCCAGAGAAAATCTACTTGAACAATTAGATGGCTCGTATCGTATCTCAAGGGTTTGGATAACTCGTCATTTGTCTGTGAATTGGTGTGTGTCTATATTGTGGTAGTGTAGCGGTTCGCGCGCTGCGCTACGAACATGACCAATACCACTGAAGAAGATTTTAACCGCTCCAGGGCTTCCCCTAGGTCAACTCGGCCTCAAATGAGTACTTTTTGTGGTGCGCAAACATCACTACTGGGGAGACAAAGGCGGTCGGGCGTGGTGCTGGCCACCCACCCCCTTGTGCGCCGTGCCGGTCTTCATAGGTGCTTGCTAACTGCGCTTGCTCCAACAGTCTGTTACGGCTATAAACGGGGTCTTTGTCTTTGTCTAAATGGCACAGGCCCTGGCATGGGACTGGCCGAGGGCCTCCCTGAGCACCCTCTGCTCTCGGAGCCGTCCAGCGTCAGCTTCTACAACTGGATGTCACAGGCAGTTGGTGGGCGGGCAGCAGCAGCGGCGGCCGTGCCGCCGGACTCGCCGCCGGTCAGACGTCCCACTCATGGAAACGCCGCGGGCGGTACGCTTAACAAATCCTCTCCAGTTTAACACGTAGGCTTTCGTGACCAATATCAACCATAATAAAGGTTTTTTTAGGGGGGGGTTTGATCGCGTGAATATATAAACAGTGTCCTTAAACCCGCCACCACTTGACACAGCCAATTAGTAAGGTTTGTCACGTGAACATGCCAATTCGTCACTAGTACAGCACACCGGTATGTTGCAGAGCAAAGCCACAACATTTACAATCTCAGTACATCCTCTCTACCTGCGCGCCTGCCGACCTACCTTGCTGTCATCCCGTCTGTCTGCCTACTGATCATCTACCTACCTCCCCACCAGCTTGCCTAACTACCTGCCTACCTTCCTACCTTCCAATCTTCTTACATACCTTACTGTCAGCCCACCTATTAATCTGCCTACTCTATGCTATCTTAGCTACCTATTTAACCTAACTACTTGTCTATCCACCTACATGTTGAAAAACAATAATGTAAAACATCTTAAGGCACGATGGAAAACAGACATTTAGAGGTTAAACTTCGTATATTGTGGACATGAGAACACTGTTACAATCATTATTACGAGTTTGATTGTTTTTTTTTTTAATCGACAACAGACGGCAGCGCGCTTCCCCTGGCGTCGTCAGCAGCAGACTTCAACGCGGCGCTGTCGAGTGGCCAGAACTCGCCGGACGAGACACAGTCCCAGCTGAGCGCCAGCCTGGAGACCGTCATCGGCCTGGAGGGAGCCCAGGGACTCCCAGCCGTGCAGCTCGCCGACGCACAGGTACCAGCGCCGGCATTCTGCCACGAACCTGGCTTACAAATCGAATGAAATAAACAAACAAGGAAGACGAAACCGTGCGTATGCGTTGATTATGCGTTTTGTCCTCGGAAATATTTAATTCGCAGTAGAACAAAAGTCTGTGCAGATGATTTCGATTTAAAGCTTTCGTGACTGCAGGGATTTATCTTCTTGGTTCTTTCGGTAAAGTCACGTAGAAGGGAAATAATAAAATAATAAAAATAAAACATAATAAAATAATTCTCACGACGTTTCGGCCACAACGCAAGCAGCCGTCCTCCGACAGACCTGGTCTTCACCTGACGATGGCTGCTTGCATTGTGGCCGAAACGTCGTGAGAATTATTTTATTATGTTTTATTTTTATTATTTTATTATTTCCCTTCTATGTGACTTTACCGAAAGAACCAAGAAGAGGATCTGTGCAGATGCTTGCAGGTCACGCCTCAGGCGCTCAGCACATGTAGGGCAGCCATTCAAGACTGTGGTTAGTTTATGGTGGTGCTCAGGACAAGGCACGTGACTGGTTTTCTCTCTTCTGATTAATTACGCTTAGGACTCTTGTTGAACAGCTCTGAGAGAAGCGCTATTAAGTGTTATTTTGTGGTTGCATCCTCGTTAAAGTAGCCGTGCTCGTTTTGCCGCTCAAGGTCGTGTTCCGACCGCTGCTGAAGCAGCTGAGGATCCACTCGCAGGAGGCGGTGCCCGTGAGCTACCGCAAGCACGTGGGCGGGCACGTGTCGCTGTCGGGCACGCTGCACTGCCTGCGCGCCGACATCGTCGACTCGGATGCCTCCCGGTCACGCAGCTCGCGAAAAACGGCCAGGTGCATTTTGGGAAGTGGTGGGCATGGCGACGGGCACAACAGAAGATACACTGTTTTTCTATATGCAAAATAATAAAAACCTGCAAACATTCTGCTTCGAATATATTTATATTTTAAAATGAGTGTGTTGTTTGGAGAGTTTTGTTTTGATTTTCTAACTACCTGACACACATGAAGAAATCAAACAATTGATAGTTTAGGATGTGAAAATTATTCCCCCCCCTGGTGGATTCTACAGACTGTTACAATTCCATTATGGGTGATATTGGCAACCGTTCATTAACAGCTGTAGACTCTTCTCAAAGCCTAGTCCTATGTCGCCCTGCGCAGGTTACAGCCCTCGCTGCCCCCCGATGACGCTCAAGTGGCCGCGCCGGCCCTGATGTTCGACACCTTCAAGATCTGCGCCATTGTGCAGGACAAGTCGGCCGAGACCCAAGGAACCCTTTACGGCGCTGGTGGCGGTGGCCGCGGCGGCTTCGGCCTGCACGAGCGCAGCCGCGCCTTGCCGCGCGCCGCCTTCCACGCCAACTTCACCGTCTCTTGCCAGTCCATCGACCAGCGCATCAACATGGCGCTCGTGCGGCTCGTGCACCAGTTCTGCACCGTCATAGCGGATGTGCGCGCCACGCAGACCGACATCCGCCTCAGTCGATACTCGGCGGGCTCCACGTCTCCCACGCCGGCGTACTACGCCACTGTGAGACCGCGGGGGGGTGGCGGCGCAGGAGCGGCGGGCGTGAGGGGGGCCGCCGCCGCCGCCGCTCCAGAGACGACCGGGCCCGGCTCGCGGGGATGCCTGGAAACGGGCGGCACCGGCATTCAGGCCAGACGCGGCAGCGGCACCAAGAACTCGCGCAGGGTGGGCACCGTGGCGGAGGCACCGGTAATGCAAGCGACTTCTTCTCTTTTTGCGTTTGTGTTTGTCAGCGATTGTGTCGTCGTTATTCTGCCCGCGTTATATGTCGTGAAGGCAAGAAATGTCGTAAAGAGTTCTCATTCGTGGGATGATCGGGCTTTTGCCAGCTCCCAAGCTGTGGAATGCTTTATATTTGCTTGTCAATCTACTGCTGATGCTGAACGAGGGCCTCGCCGTGCTGTGCAGCCTCTGGGTGTTTGTTGGTCGCGACCAGGGGTCAGCAACCTGCCACTGCTGGAGCCGCGTGCGGTGGCTCTCTAAGGACTGCCTCGTGACAGTTCTTCATTAACGACCACCGTCTCGTATTCACCACTCGCATTGCGGCTCTTTAAATATTTGAGTTTCTTTTTTACCGAATTCGAAAAATGAATGGCTCTTCTTGTTATTTTGTTGCCGACTATGATGGTCAGTGCGTGTTGAAGGTGGAGAGAGCGTGGCTGTACTGCCCTCTGCTGACCACAACTTAACTTACTTTATAAGCTTTTCACAACTTTTTAAAGGGTTGTTCATTGTAACATGCCATTTGATTTGTTTTATAAATAGAAATACACTGTCTTGATTTAGCTGTTTGTAAATAAATGACACAATAAATGTGATCTGATGTCATGTAAATATGAAGTCGTCTCTCGACCCTGCACAATTTGAGACCAGAATTTCATCAGTGGCACCTCGGTGCTATATACAGCCTTTATCGGACTGAGAGTCACTCGGGCACTTTGTGAACAACGTGACAGCAGTGATAGACAAGCCACAGAGTGATCCACTGTACCCCTCGACACCAGCAAGTCAATGAGTTGTCACCATTCTGGGAGTCAGTTAGATGAAATAATCTATTCTTTATTTCTTCAAATGTTTGCAGCGTTTTTTGTATTGTTTATTGTTTTGTCTTGTTTGTAAAGTTTTGTACTGAATTAGCATATAATTTGTATATGATTTGGATACATCTTAAATTTTTTATTATGACCACAATTAGATATCCGCCATGAGCATCAGGGATAAATTTAAGTCAGTCAATCGATGCATCGCCACATCTGTAATATATACCCCAAAAAACACACTCATTCCCTTTTGTCAAACTGGAGAGTTATAGGAAAACACCGCGGAGGGACCCACTTCGCCCTTCACCCTTTTCATTCTGAACGTCCGCAGGCGGCAAGCGCCGGGCCGGCGCGCCGCGGCAAGCCGGCGGGCCGCGGCGAGCGCAAGTCCTCGCGTACGACGACGCGCAAGGGCTCGCGCGACGGCATCCTGGAACCCGTGACGGACTCGGACTCGGTGACGGTGTCGGAGCAGAGCGAGCCGTCGGCCGAGTGCTGGCAGCACATGTACAAGCTGCTCAACTTCTACTCGCTCATCGCCGACCCGGCCGGCGTCATGCAGCACGCGTCGCCGCTGACGCTGGCCGACTCCGGGCGGCACCGCGACGACAACGCAGGTGCGGCGGATCGCTCTGGCCCGAGCGCTCAATGGGGAATGACACAATTTGCCTCCGTTGCCATAAAGGGGTTGTCTCAACACTAAAGGGATGATTATCCTCGCGTTGTAAGGAAGGTATTGCAACGAAAGGCATTGCTGCAGTTCGTACGGTGGTCTTCGTATTATAGATTTAGTCTTGGAAAAATTCAGTTTGTCATATCCTCGGGGGACAATTGGCCAAAGGCACCATAATTTTCACTGATATGTCTGCCATCTAGCAGGAAATATTTGATAAACATTGGACTTGCGTATTTGACCATATTTGCACTGAAATTTGACAATTATTATGGAGAAAGCCAGCAGCTTGCTACTTTTCTAATGTGCTATTGTGGAAGGGTGCCACAAATTTTTATTACATACACATCTGCCATTTAGAAGATAAAATATGGGTAAAAAAATACCCATAAGTACCAGGGACATGCTTCATTCACTCGATTGGATTTGACCTGGCAAAATAATATCTTAAAAATGCAATTCAATTTCCAAAATTTTAAAAGGTTACATAATGATAAAAAAAAATGCTTTGTGATTTGTCTAGAAATCAGACTTCGTAAAGGGACTCATTTTCCAGTGCCTCTTGTATGGTAATCTGATGCATTACTTGAAATACGGGGTGATATTGACGACTTGTGTCCATACGTTTGCCTCGCACATGCAGTTGTACATGTGCCCGTATTCTGGTTTGTGTGTGTGTGCCTGTGCATGTGTCTGTGTGTGGAGCGGTAGCTAACAGCACTTGCCCCGACAGTCAGTTATGGCTATACGGGGAACCTCGTCTATTTTTTTGCGCGTGTTGGTTTGTTTCCCTACCCCTACACCTCCGATTAGCACGGTTGGCTAAGTACGGTGCGAAAGAATTTCAACGTGCGTGCGTCTGTCTTTGGGCATGCCAGGGAGTCCCGGTGACCCATTCTGCCGCATCGCCTTCGAGAACGAGGTGGAGGCGGCGGCGGCCGGCGGCAGCGGCCGCGGCAGCAGCCGGGCGGCCTCCGCGCTGGCGCGTGGGCTCGGTGGGTGCCGCCGAGCCTCAGCACGTGACGCTCGTGGTGTTTGGCGTGGGCATCGTGAACCACACACGGCTGCAGGCCGACATCGGCGGCCTCACCATGGAGGCGGAGCTGCGCAAGGCGCACGGCAGCTTCACGCTCAAGGAGAAGATGCGAGGTACGCTCCGTCCGTCGTGTCGTCTAGGACATTCCCATTGATGCACCGGAGAGGGTTGAGACGTGGCTGTCACCGTGCTCAGGAATTAGAATCGTGGGCTGAGGCCTCTTGAGACCCGAGGTTCGATTACAGGCCTCAAGAAAATCAATATATACCGTATATAAAAGAACAGCGCTGAAATGTTGCAAAAATACATCTACGAGATCTACTGCCTCCTACAAGAACCACTTCTCACTGTCATGGTTGTTACATATATGACCCAAATGCCATACAAACAGACAAATACCCCACCATGCACTGCACTTAGTTGTGAGGTAGATATGGGTTGTAGATTCCCATAATGTTGGCAATGGTAGAAACATTCAGGCTAAATGTCACAATAAATGCAGTGGGCCCTGCACCCCTCGTCAGTGCATTGACCCTGTGTGTCCGCGTCTCCCGATCCTCTCGCCAGACGTGTATCACCAGAAGACCACGGAGACGTGCGCGACGGCGCACGTGGGCTCCGTCACGGCGGTGCTTCTCGAGGGCATTGCTCCCAACATGCAGTGCGTAGCCACTCAACGTGACTCCCATGAGCCTCTCGCTATCTCCAGCAGTGCTGCTCGCTTTGCTTCACTGGTACCACTCGTGCTCTTCACCGGTGCCTTCCCCACGACTCATTTGCCATCTCCTTTCGCTTGCACCGGTGCTCTCCCTTGCGGCACTGGTGCCGTGCCCCCGTGCTGGTGCCATTTTTCACTGGTGCTGCCCTCTACGCTTGACTCTTGTCACCCCTACTATTTCACTGGTTCATATATAATTATTGGCAGAGCAGCATATACTCACGTACACACGCGTACATTTGCATGGTCACTATAAAAATCGTGAAGCTGCACAAGAATTGATGCAAATAACATCCGGGCAACTTGAAAAAGCTCTGAGGTTCCCATGCAAAGCATTGTGTCAGCTGCCCTGGTTATTACTGCACATGTAGTAACCATAAAATAGGCCATTGTGTGCCAGCGTCATTGTCCAACTTTGCCATATTCGTTAAATTACTCGCGAATGATTCAATTTGGGATTACAAATAACAATCATTGCCCCTACTGGCAGACGTATGCCCGCTTTGAGACCACGTGCTGAGTCATCTTGTGCCGCACAGGAACAGCTGCCACCGGGGATGCCAAATTCAAATGAGATGTGATGTGGTAGTAGTCACTTATCGCATGTAAATCGCACCGAGATGCCCCGATGCGTGAAGGGGCGCCGTGTCAAACACAAATCATCGTTGCCCTTGAGTGTTTCATTTCTGGCGTTATCGTTTAAACTATTTTTATTGTAACATGTTTTTTTATTTTACCAGTTAAGGACCACTGAGCTATATAGCTCATTTTCAGAAGCGACCTGGCCACAAATGACAGCTCAATGAAGTGGCTTACATGGAAATTTATCACAGCCAAATACTCTAAATGCATGATGTTGATTCCAAATGTGGAGGGAAAATCTGGAGGACCAGGGGGAGAACATGCGAACTCCAGATATTCAGACGTTAGGGTCTGAATCGAACCCACGACCTCCTGTATACCAGGCGAGGTAGTTAACATCTCGTCGGATTCCTCCAGGATAAATAAAGATTCTGATTCTAAATCCACGCTGTCGGGCGCAGGACGGTGGTGAAGTGCAGCGTCGCCAAGTCGCAGGCGCTCTACACGGCGCTGCGTGGCGCTCGCACCAAGAACTCGGCCGTGCTCAGGGTGGGCGCCGTCAAGGTGGACATCCCACAGCACCCGGCCACGCTGCACGGCATGATGGTGCGCAGCTCCCACCAGCTCTCCAAGCAGATCTCCGACCTCATCCGCCAGCCGGCTCAGAGGTCAGCGAGCAGTCCTCTCCCACAGCCTCCCCACCGGTTGTGTTTTTTTTCGGCGTCTGTTATGTGTATGTATGTTGAACTTCTTTCGCACCGTAGTATCCAACCATGCTAACCTTTTGCCTGTGATTAAATCGCCTGGAATGCACCCCCTCTCATTGGATAGTGGAAGCTAAGCAGGGTGTTGAGCCTGGGTAGTGATTGGATGAGTGTTGTAGGCTGCTATAGATGGGTGACCACCGTTCATATAGCAGGGTGTTGTAGGCTGCTACAAGGGTTACATTATTGGCAGCAGAGGGCAGTGCAGCCAAATCCATTGTTGCACAGTACATCTACACTGGAGTCATTCAATAGGTCTCTCTTACCCAACAATATACTGGTTGATGCTGTGCGAATATTGGTTACTACATGTCAATCATGTGGTGTTTTTTTATCAACTGGGTAAAATAAATTAAGGGAAAATTTGGCATTTACGTGTCATTTTTATTTTCAATATTTGGTAATGGAGCTGATGACGCGATTTGAATTCAGAACTTTCTGAGTTTTAACCACAGTGGCCCCAAGCTGTAGCTTGGTCCGTCAAAGCCAAAGTAATCACAATCAAACAAGCATGGAGTGGCACTCATCTGCAGTTTATAGTTGTGACATGGGCGAGTAAATCCACAACACAATGTTGAGCTTTCCACAATGTGGTCCTCGTTGTAGAAAGTTGTGCCCTTTTTATCCACCCTAGAGGAATAAAGCCCTGAGTTGAATCCCAGCTGCGATTAGATCTCATAACCCACCATTGTGAGCCGTGCACTCTAACCACTACAGATGGAGTAACCATTGCATAGGTTAAAAGGCATATTTCTCACATACGAGTGTGAAGGTCACTACTTATGTATGTTGAACTTCTTTCGCACCATACGTAGCCATCCATGCTAATCGGAGGTGCAAGGGAAGGATGACAAACTATACACACAGAAAAAACTGCAGGCAACCGTTGCGTTGGTCTAACGCTGCGACCGATCCTGCGCGTTCCCGACCTGTGTGCAGGGACGAACCACAGGCTCAGGGGGCGGCAGGGAGCCAGAGCGCACCGCAGTCGGTTCCGCGCACTGGCCAGCAGCCAGACCCAGACGCCGCTGGAGCCCAGCGACTTCCCGCAGCTGCCCGAGAGTCTGGAGCGCCGGCCGCTCGTGCTCAAGTTTGACGCCATCCTCGACGGGGTGACCATCGGCGCCGCGCTCCTCCCCTCGCTCCGCGCCGAGTACAAGATGGAAACCATGAAGAGCCACGGCATCACCGGTCAGAGCCGCCCCCCCCCCGCCTGTCTGTACGCCGAGCACGGTGTGAGTTGCACCGCACCCCCCTCCCCCCACTCGTGCGTCACGCTGGCCCCGAATTGGCCCTCGCTAACGGCGCCAGAGATTGTTGCCACGGAGGTGACGTGGAGGTTTCTGCGCGTGTGTAAATGAACGGGAGCGTGTGTATCGCGTGGGGAGTGATTCCTGCGATGGTTATTACCCTGCATTGTGAAACCTGGTGCGGAATAATGTCTGTGGGAAGTGATATCCGAGCGAATATTCCTGGTCCCACCCCAACTGCTCGTGCACCATGCCGGCCTTAATTGGAGCTCGCTAGCAGAACTTTCCCTTACAATCTATGTAGTTCTACAAAGGGGCCTCTCTCTCTTTGTGTGTGAGGGAGCAACATGTCAATGCGGGATATGTAATGCTCAGAGCAGCACGTGACCACGAGGGGCTTTAAACCTCACCGCCTCGGTGCGCTGTCTCCCCCAACAGGCGCGCAGACGCAGTTCAAGTTCGAGCTGCCGTCCCACCTGCTGAGCCTGACGTCGCGGGTGGCGTCGGCCGAGTCGGTGGGAACGCTGCCCTCCACCAAGCTGGCGCTGCCGCGCATCGCCGTGTCGGGGGAGTATGTGATGGAGGAGCACGGGGTCTTCGCGCCCGAGGAGTGGACTAGCGACGGACTCACCACGCGACGCGGGGACTACCTGCAGTGCGTGGCCGAGGTGAGGCCCCCCCCCCACCCCCGTAGCCCGCTGCGCGTGGACCACGGCACAGCAACGTCCATCGCCATTCCCGTGCCGTTCCTGGGCCGTTGCTGAGCTGGTAAAGTGAAGTCCCCACTGGTCTTGGACATTACCCGTTCAGCTGCGCAGACGGCTGTGGATGATGAATAGAGGCAAGGGGAGCCTATTGCCGCCAGCAAGGCACAAGAGGGGACAGCACCGTGCTCGGCTGCTCTTGCCACCATATACCCTTTTTAGGCTGAGTGGACAGGGGATGATCAAGGGACATTAACATTATATTCTCTCGTCGCATATGTTGCTGGGAATAAGCCTGAGGAACTGAGATTGTAGCACCAGTGCACCTATCTGTCATCGTTGTGACATTAATTGCTGACTTGACTTCGAACATTGCTCGAGCCAAGTACAATTACCCAGTCAAGATATTCATCCAGAGAGTTCAGTGCAGTGTGCTAACCATCACACCACTTCCCAGCAGCCACAATGGTGAATATCACAGAAACTAGCCATTGACGGTGGCCTGGTTACACCAGCACCAGCACTGCTTTCTCTAGAAAGTGTGTAATAGTAATTTATCTGTGTGCGTCCGTTCCCAGATTGGCTCATTCGAGCACAACCTGAGCACGGATTTGCTGCATCACCTCGTTTTCGTGCAAAAAGTCTTCATGAAGGAGGTGAACGAGGTCATCCAGAAAGTGTCGGGTGAGCACGGAACAGGGCAGCACACTGTCACTACCGCACGTCTCCTGGGAAAATTGGTGTCTCGTATCAGCCGACGCTTGCGGTTTTTATTGTTCCCGTATTGCCTTGTCTGTCATTACCTTGTCCGTGGACCAACCATTGCTGACAACGGGCATTCACGTGTCACTGGCAAAAACTGTCTGCGGATAAACAGAGAGGCGGGGTTGGGGCGGGCTTGTGGAACATTTAATTTGTGTGCAGGTTTCCGTGATGGATGTAAGAGATGATCGGTTCTATTTTTCCTGTCCCCTGAGTCAAAGGGGCTCCATTCGAGTGATTGGAGGTGGGTGGACCACACGAATAACGGTGGCGTTTGTAATTTTGGTGCTGTCTGTGACAGCTGGCACTCTCCGTAAACTGCCGTGGTGCCAATGCAGGAGCGACGTCCAGTTCTCTGTTCGCCACTGCTTTTAATCTCATAGTTTTACGATGGATTTGGTGCTTTTCAATTGATCTACTGCGACATATGTGCATGATTGTCTTTGTCGGGAACTCATTTGATAACGAATTAACAAACAAGCAGATGCATTTGCTACTCCACAAGGCTGTGATGGCTTGGCCAAAGTATATTTTCTTCAGTCTCAATGCCGGAAACAAACTGTGAATTGACAGTTTTGCGTGTTACTCGTATTCGGTGTTAGGCAGCCCTGATTTTGATGTGAGCGTAACGTGATTGCACACAAGTAATGAGGCTTGCGTCTCCATGCCGAGCCAGGCGGAGAGCAACCCATTCCCCTGTGGAACGAGCAGGACGTAGGCAGCGCAGACGGGGAAAGGCCTAAACCTCTTCTCTACTCTCTGCAGCTCCGCTTTCAGGTAACCATCGCGGTGCACCACCGCCTTATCGGCACACACGCGCACACGCTCATCCATTCGCGTGCGGGGATGGTGGAATCGATCCACGGGTGGGTGGGATTGCTCGTCAGAATAGAGGTCACGGATTGTTCCGCGCATTTTCGCAGGGAGTGCAGGTGACGGCCACCACGCCCACCATGAGCGCAGTTCGCTTCGAGACGGGAGTCATTGAGTTGGTGCTGTCCAATCGCATCCAGACCAAGGCATACGCTGGGCTGGGCCGCAGCGGCAGCTACCTCAAGCTGTTCGGAAAGTGTCAGGTCGACCTGTACCTGGCCCTGGGGCAGATCGTCAGCAACCAGGTGGGTGCCCCGTTGCGGTCATCGGTGGCCATGTGCAGCTGTTAAATCCTCCCCACCTCGCGCCTGACACACAGCCATCAAACAAACGCCTGCAGACAAAGACAAGAGGCAAGGTCTGCTTTGCTCAGTAGGCTTGTCATGATTCTTCCCGCTGAGTCAATGAATTGCCACTATTTGAGGTGACATTTTAATGCAAGAATAGATTCATTTTTATTTTGTTTACACTCGCATCGTCTCTGCATATGTACAGTGTATTCATATATACACCCCCTGATGCACATGTCTCACCATTCTGTGGCATTTCGAGACGCGATTGTATTCGGTTGCTGTATGAATTCAAGTCGTATTGACTTGTCTTGTTCTGTCTTGTGCATAAAGTTAGCCTGGTTTGCATTAATGACACCAATTGAGTCTTAACACGCACAATTTTTTGCTTGTATTGTGGGCTTAAGAACCTTTTGTAATCAACGTATCTATGACTAGTTGGAGGATATGTGCAGTGCGTATTGTATTCTAGCTTCACCCTATGAACGAAGGTGTTTTGAAAGAAGCTATAACCTAAGTTATAACTTCCCTTAACTCAATCCATAGGTTCATTTGATTCATAACTGGTTTTTGGGTTAGATGAAATAATTATCGGACTCTTATCTATTATCTTGAAATATAATCTGCGCTGCCGCCGAGACCCTCACCAGGACAATCGGATTGAGAAACGAAGGAACGATCTGGGCAGTGTCCCAAGCTGCCCGACACTCACATGAAACTTCCATGATGAGAACCAGTGCCGTCAGGTTTAATTGGCTGAGCCAAGCGCCAGCCAGGATTTGTACGCGAAGCCTTGCGATTGCGAGTTGCGTGCTCTGATCACGGGGCCACCCACTCACAAGACGATCAGTGCTCCTGCAAACGGTGGCGGAGCGAGAGAAGCGGAGCCTGCAAAGCGTGGGCCGTGTGTCACCGCACGCAGGTGTACAAGGAGGCGGTCTCCGAGTTCCATCAGGTGGCTTACTTCCGCACACGCATCGGCCTCCGGAACGCCCTGCAGAACGAGATGAGCGGCTCGCAGGACCGCGAGGCCGTGCTCATCACTCTGGACCGGCCCATCGTGTACGCCCAGCCCGTCGCCTTTGACAAAGGTCTCTTGCGCGGTCGTGCGGGCGGAACCTCGCCCGAAACACGCGCACATGCACACATGCGTGTGCGAGCACACGTAGTACGCAAGCGTAAAATTTAACACACACACACCTTCCGTAATATACATGCACGCACGAAGATCTCCTGTGTAGCCTTTACTCGACTCTTGGGTAAGTAAGGTAAGCAATCGCCTGTTAAGGCCGGTACGGCACGCGAGAGGGTGAGTGGTTAGCATCATGCCCGGCCACCTTTGTCTCCCTAGTGCTATTGTTTACACACCACACCAGGTACTCTTATAGGGTCGAGTTGACTTAGGGGAGGAACAGGACCGGATCATGTATTTGTCACCGATGTTGGCTGTGAGCTGTAATTGAGACTCGGGTGGCTGAGCTCATAATGCAATGGGAACATATCCGCACTGTTAAGCGAGTGGCTCGGTGCTTATGGCTCACAGTTAATGACAGTTTGCATTCTAAATGAGGTTATTGTTGGTGCCCCCTGCTCCCTTCCACGCACAGCTGTGCTCTTCTGGCTGAACTACAAGGCGGCGTACGAGTACTGGAACGAGCAGCGCATGGCGCTGGGTCGCGACGTCTACATGGCCACGCGGGAGTTGGTCGACAAGTTGCCCACCATCTCGCAGACCCCCTCGCAGGCCTTCAGCACGCTCATCCTGCAGCTCACCGTCAACGAGCTTGGCATCTGCCTGCCCATAGGAGCCACCTCACAGGTACCGGCGTCAGGCGAGGCGCGGAGACCCCCTCTAACGTCAGCATGAGCCCTGGAAATCTATCCCGCTTCTGATTCGAACCCTAACCAGAAACATGAAAACAACCCCGATCCTAAACCTAACCCATGCCCTGAGCTTAAGGCTGGTCACAAGGCAAATTGTAGCCGAGGCTCAAATCTGATCTGCGTGCTAATCTTGTCACCAGATATTTTGGCTGCTTCTGATTCCAGCGTAAATGTAAGCAAAGTAAGTACCCCGTAGAAGCAAACATTTTACACAAATGCGCAGAGATCCTTTACTGTTGGTAAAAAAAGAAATATTCTGGAGAGGGCAGTGTTTTGGATGGTGACGGAGCGAACCAATGATGTGACTTTGAAGCTGAACCAATACTTGGACGAGGACCCCGGTTCGGCGCTGGTGCTTACGGTGGAGAGCACCCTCATCTCGGCCTGCTCCTCCGAGTCTCTCGTCAGCAAGGGCCACTTCAAGAACTTCTGCCTCCGCTTCGCCGAGGAGTTTGAGACGTCCTGGGACGACTGGAAGCCCGAGCTGCGCAACGGGACCGTCATGAACGCATGTAAGAATGTGGCCTCCCCTTCGCCGCTTTCAACTTTGAACCCTTCTTGAGGACTAAGCGAGAGTCGCTTGAGAATGACGTCGATTGTCTCCTTTGTATAGGACTTTTTGGGAACATGCCATTCATCTTTTTGCATTATGATTGTGTAATTTTCACTGATGCACTCTGTACCACGCAGCATCGCTATGGGGGTGACGTGCACGGTGGTGCTTGCTTGCGATTGGGCGCTTTGAAGTCACGGGCTGGCGATTCACGCGTATTTGTGGAAATCCCAAATCCACTGGGTCGCGAGAGAGAACTCCACAATGGGGTTTAACCCGATAGTCAGAGCACGCGGAACATAACAAAACAGTAGACCGCTTAACCGACATTGATTGTTTTTCTTCTTGGAAGTGTAACATGGCAATGGTTATTGTTTGTGCACACTTACCATGTTAACATTTTTCAAAATTACACCTTCCTGGAGACGGAACAACATGTAGCTTACATTTTGTTTGCATATGTACATAAATGCCTGCAAAAAATGTACAGCCCTCTGTCAGTCCATTGCTGGATGAATGTGGCCAGGAATTAGACCACCGGGTACATCTTGCAGTGCGACGTCTGCTGCACAAAGCTACCCTCCCCAGAACATAAATACACAAGAAATGTGTCCATGAGCTTCCTTTCTAGGCAGGTGAGAGCCTATTCAGATAATGTGTGGCTTTTTAAAGGGAGACCTAAGGTTAACTTGTGGGTGCCATATTACAAAGACACACAAAGGTTACATCTGTTGAGCAAATTAACTGAACTCCGTAGTGATTACTTCTTGAAGCCAGTGCACATTCTAGGGCTCCCATGCTCACGTTTCAGTCCTCAGCGTCATCACGGCGTAATTATCTGTGACACATTTGCCTAATTGAGGTGAAGTCCGCTTAATTTCTTGGTGGGTTTTTTGGTTCTTACAGATGTGTTACCGTTCTTCCCTTCAATCCATGAGCACCCGTCATACGTACACTCCTCCTTCTCCTGTCATTTGGATGGACGTGCCTTTGGGTTGGCATCACTGGTTTGTTTTTTGTCACAGGCGTGGTTCCAGATGGGACCTACGAAGTCTGTTCACGCACTACGGGGCAGTCTGCAGCAGGTGAGTTCGTGGGAAAGGACACTTTAGATATATAAATAGATTAATATTTGGTATAACTCCAATGAAGGCAAAAGTCTAAGTGGTCTCACTCCTCAAGTGAGCATTGGGGCTTTGCTCATGTATGCTAACAAGCGTGATTCAGTGGCGTAAATGTTTATTGCTATGGTAGAGTCGGTGTCCTCTTAGGACAGCCACCGCTGATTTCCGTTTATGGACCCCGGAAGCATGGTGGGTTGTTGCGTTGAGTCCATCATGGTTGAGTGAGGGGCTCAAACCAAAGTGTGCCTCCCTCCCTGTGACCTGCATGATTTGAGGAATGTTCTGGAAAAACTCGATAGCCTACAAAAGCTGTTAAGAGCGTAGGGTTTTGTTGACTGATGAATTTTGTAGGTGAATTGAGTCAATGATTAAGTTCATTGCATGGCCGTCTGTGGAGAGATTATACAATACAAACTGTTAAATATATACCATATGAATAAGAAAGATTTGTTTTCACTTTTCTAAGACACCCCTCATTTACAGGAAGATGGAGTCAAAAACAAACATACCTCACGAAGTAACTTATTTAAATAGGTTAGGCGAATGAACCAGGCTGTTTTAACTTTGGCAGCTTTTTAAATGCGATAAAAATACTTTTAAAGTTAGTCAAATGCTCGTCAGATGCTTGTTTATTATCGCTATCATGACGTAACTGTGACCTCACTCCCTTACGCTTCAATGTGACATGGAGCTGTACGACAATCCTTAAAGATTCGAACTCGTGTCCCGCGTGCCGTAACAGCATTCGGGTACGCCCGCCGCCACCCCTTCATGCGAGCGCAGAGCTGCCCAACAACCAACCACCCGCATTGTCGAGGCCTGCCCTGTAGACGGTGAAATGAAACTGCTGATTTAACTCAGTGACGTGGCAATATAGTGCTTGCCTGACCCATGATCGCAAACGCAAGAAGTAGCCTAGGGAGACATCTACAACCTAACAGCTGTTTGTCCTTTCGGTTACGTCTTTATGTTAAGCGCCGTCATCAACCCGCGCATATTTTCCCGCGTGAATGGTTGCCACCCACGTGTTCGTTAGTAAGCATAATCCTCCCGAAATTTGGTGCAGCGTAGGTTGTGCCCTCGATTGGAAACGCGGGTGCCATCCATCCACGGCGAGTGAAAATATTCCGACTCTTAAGATCGTTGTAAAAAAAGCACGCGCGTCTGGCAGACAGCGGCAGTGCGGGCACGTGGATGCTGAACGTGCTGTGGAAGATGTGCGGCATCGACGTACACATGGACCCGAGCATCGGCAAGTGGCTGAACACGCTGGGCAGCACGCTAACCACGCTGACGGGCGAGGAGGACCTGGACGACATCGCGGATCTCACGTCCGTGCTGGAGCACGGCATCTCCGACGAGGACGAGCCCGACGGCGTCGCCACTCCCTTCCTGCATACGGTGAGCACGTGGCCCTTGCAATGTTTCACATCGTCGGTCTGCGACACATTCAACCACGATTGAGTCGTCACGTAGCCAACTCAATGGCGTGTAGCGGAGTATCGACAAGGCTCAATTATTGCAACTCACTACTCCACGGGACGTCTGGTAAGAACATTCTTTGGCACGTGTCGTGACGGGTACTGCAAGATTTGACGATGTTCGTCCAGTGCTCGCTGAGCCGCATTGTCTTCTGGTTGCCGAATGAATACATATTAAGGTCGCGCTCATTGCCCACAAAGTGCTTGCCACAAATGAATCACAATACCTTGCTGATCTCATCAAAAAGAATAAACCATCACACGAACTCCAGTCATCCTCACAGCAGTGGCTTTTGGCTAACCTTCGAACAAAGGCATCGCATGCTTTCACATGCGCTTCTGCGGCCATCTGAAATTCTCTTCCTTCCGATGTTAGAAAGCCGCTGGAGCTATGCACTTGTAAATCTAGATTGAAAACCAATTTCGTTCGAACTGCTTTTTGTGTTTAGTTTGTTGTACTTCCCCCGCACCACCGATTAGCACGGTTGGCTGCGTACGGCGTGAAAGACGTTCAACATACGTACGCTACATAAAAAATAAATTCAACATTCCATTTTCCTTGCTTGAATTGCTCTGCGTTTCAATTTTTTTATGTGAACGAATACAACCAGCTTCACCCTGCACTGGGTGCGTTTCGACGTACGTCGGTTACAAGAGCCGCAGGCTGTAATTTGGTGACCATCGCAGTCGAGGTGTTGAAGCCTGAATATTGCGAGATGTCCGTGTCGCCTGCCTCGTTTTATTCGATCAGAGGGTTCTGAGTGGGGTGCCACCCGTGCGCTGTGCAGGACGTGTCGGATTTCAGGCGGCAGCCGTCTCTGGGAGGCCCCAGCACCGAGCTGTCGCTCAGGAGGACGTCGAAACGTCTCATCGAGAGGGAGCTCAACGAGCAGGCCAAAGTCATCGATGACCTCAAGTACGGGCCCAGCCGCTGCGTTCAAAAAAAATAATTAACCTCATACCTCGCGTTAAGTAATTACATTTTCACAATGCACGGCAGCTCCAATTAAACCTCTCACAGCTTGCTCACAAGAAGAACATGGTGACCTGCCCCAGTTAACGTTGCCCAGAATTCCAAAAAAGTCTCAGGATAAAAAATAGAAAACCTTTTAAATTAACGAAACTTCCCCAGCACGCACGACCTGATTTTCGTTTTTATTTTTCGTCAGGAAACTCGGGGCGAGTGAAAGCACCATCAACCAGGAGATCCAGCGCTACCAGGCCCTTGAGACGTTCGCTGTCAAAGACATCAGGAGGGACGTGCGCAAGAAGCTCAAGCGCTCCAGCATCGGGGCACGTGACCGCTGCCTCCATCACACTATCCAGCACGCTGCCTTCGTGTTCATGCATACAACCAAATCAGTCCTGAATGTGCCTGATCTCATCAGATCCTATAAGCCCTATCAGAGGTGAGCCTGGGTAGTAATTGGATTGGAGACTGCCTGGGGATACCGGGTTTGCTAGGCATGATGTGATTTGACTTTACGAAACACACATTCAAACCCCGTATCTCAAGACCTGCATGCTCATTGGTCCAACACAGCCATGTGCTCCTCCCTGAGCCACCTGCCCTCGTGTGATGCTGCTGTTGGTTTTAGGCGCTGCTTGCGCCAAGGTGGACAGGGGGCTAAGAGGTCAGAGCGCTGAGCTAGCTATCACCGCTGAAATCCTGGGTTCAAATCCATTAACCTACCTATGATTAAACCGTATCCTCTATAATATGTATAGATTGAGTTGATGGTGTCAGACAGCTCACCAATGATTGGACCAAAAAGTCATCGTGTTGAATTTGGTTCTGCGCCCTAGTTGGCCAAATTTCAGTTGCCTCAAGATGTTCTCGAACACAAAGAATTGTACAACTGCCAATAGCGTGACCGGAATATAACTCGGGAAGCGTGGCAAAAATATGAGTAACAGTGAATGTACGCTGCTCGTGTGCCGCAGGCCGTGTCTCTTAAGGATCGCTGGGGCCTGAGCTACAAGCCGAGCCGCTCCAAGAGCATTGCGGCGAGCGGGCGGCCCAGCCTGAGTCGCGTCGGCCGCTCACGGTACGGTTTCCCTACCCTGGCCCTTACGGCTTTCTTCCAGCCTTGCTCTTTCCCCTAACTCTCCTCCTTCGGCGAGCTGTACCGCATCCATGGCTACATATGTACATGGCTGCATATGCACTCTGCTAATCTCGGCCTGAAGGTAGAGAAACCTTTTCGAAACTCTGGATTGCTCACGTGGTTGGTTGGCCTCTAAATGTTTTCTTGTTTGTCTTTGTTCCCGATACTCATTCTAAATTGTTTGTACGAATGCATTAAATGTGTATTTCTCAGTTTAGACGAATGTAGAAAACATTACTACAAGCGTCATTTAAAAAAGTCACCGGTAAAAGCTAGATGGAAAAAAGAGAGCAAAAAAACTTGACTGTTGACTTGAATCGCAAACTCCACTTTGTGACGATGAATAGAATTGCTCAGGAGGAGGGTGAATCCTTTCATGCCTAGCAGTTCTGAAAGAAAATGTTTTGTATTCATAATTTATATTACATTTTTCTATATTTCACATGAATTAATTAGAATATATTACTTATAAAATATGTATTCTGAATGGTTTAATGAATTTTTAAATAGCTGTTTACTGTTTTTTGTTAAGTTGGAATTAGCTATTTTACTCTACCGTTTTTTAATCCCACGTGTTTGCCTATCTGGTCTCAGTGCGCGCTAACCTGCTCGTGAATAGAGGTTATCCAACCACTGAATCTCTATAAGAAAAATGTCACGTGTTCCATGAAGCGGCACTAACACGAGGATTAAATTTTGTTAGCTGCCTTCTGTTATTTTATTGTTCATTTTATTTTTATTTTTTGTGTTTATACTTTTTGTTTTTTTGTTCCCTGGGGCAGTCACATCGATGGAGATGATTTGCCGGAGATCCGAATTTACGAGGCCACAACTCCCATGCCCAGAGTGACTTTTGACATCCACAAGCCGGTGAGACGCCCAGTGCTAAGCCTCCTAATCGGAGGGATTTAGTGTAAAAGAGGACAGACACACACCGACATTGGTTTCATTAAATCTATTGCCTGTAACGGATTGAGTGTGCGTTTCTTGGAACGATGATGTTTATTCAATTATTTGTCCTGGCTACATCTGCTTTTGTCAGCCTTGGCCGGCGCTACTGTGCTCGTTAAAGCTGGTTACAATGCATATTTTATTTGGACTTGTGTACCATGATGCATTGCACGTTGCCTGTCATTGTATCACAAGTGATAATTCTGCCCGTGTTTGATTTAGCCCATGGTAATGATGCATAATCTATGCGTTTGCATGATTTTTACGGACTTGTTTTTCTTCATTTGCCCTCTGTTGCTTGTGCTGAGTTGCACCGCTAACAAGAGTGGTCCCTTCGTCCCCTCCCGCCCCATGTGCGTGTGAAGTCTGTGCTGGGTTATGTGCCCGAGGAAAGATATTCAGCTCGAGACAACCTGTACTTCAAGGTAGCATCGGCGACGGACAAAACAAATCTTTGTGTCAAGCCACTTACTAACCTGTCTTCCGCTTGCGCTGTTCATTCTGTGAGCGACCAGTCCAACCCGTTTCGTTCACAAGTGATCCGTGAAATCTTACGTGAAATGTATTCTTTTCTGACTATCATAGAACATGTGCTTGCGCTGACGTGTTTTTGGTTGTCTTTTTCTTTCAGCCGGATATCGACATAGCCCAAACGCCGCATACCATTTATACTCTTTGCAAAAAATAGCATCGGTCACAAGTACAGTCATTTCAGAGTAAAAAAAAAAAAAATCGCCAACATGAAATAATCATCAAATTACATCATCCCAATAATTTCCAATTTATATGCTTGTGATGCTTATCTATTCTTGTCTTTCCTTGAATTTGAAAGTAATCTCTGCGCAGTTCTGCAGAAAACCCACATTTTGTACGGTTATTTAGTGATTCTCTACGATCCCTGCATTTTTACTGTGTAAAGCAATCTGTGACGCGACAGCTCAGCTGTGTTAAGAATCTACAGGTGTGGTGGCCCATACTTGAACAGGATCGCTATTGTACCTACAGTTGATGGTTGTATTTGATTTGCTTAAACTCCTGGAATAGAGGATGTGGATTTGGCCCCAGTGGCTGCCGGTCACGTCCTCATGCCCCCAGGAAAGGCCCTCTCGCTGATTGCGTCATGAGCGGCTCGTCTGAATCTCTATCCCGAGACAGAGTGCCCTGATGGCGTGTAGGGTTACAAAAAAACACAGCTTTGCCTAACTTTTAATTCATTCCACGGCCTGTGCATGGATCACGAGCCGTGAATGCATCTTACAAAAATCATGTTTGCGTGTCCAATGCTTTGAAGGTGTCATTTTGTTCTGAGCGTACCTTTCCATCTGTGCTGCTACGTTGCTGTTGGTCTGAAGGCAGAAATCTTAATGCGTTGGTGGCGTGGTTTGCCTCGGTTATTGCTGGTGATCTGTGCATTCTGTAATTGTGCTTTGTGGAACTAAAAGGTGTGGATGTATTTGAACTACATGGCTTGTGTGCTGGCCTTGTAAGGCAAGTTTAGCGGTGATGTTTGCAACTCTCTTTGTTTTGGCGAGTTAATGAGTACAATTGCTAATTATCCATGGCCGTGCTGCTCTTTGGCACACGGTGTGAATCGCCAGCAAGCTACAGCATGACGTTCAATAATACATCACACACTCAACGTCCACAGGGATTTGGAACTTGGTGCCTTTTCCATTGCAATTATTTCTGTTCTATGATTTTTTAAATCAATTTTCCAATTATGCTTACTCTGAGATGTATTGCTGCACGCTGACCTGTCTAACAAGTCATCTGGAAACATAAAAACATTTCAGAATGTAGTTTGTCAAACCACTGCTGGATAACGGCCTATTCAACACCATGTCGATCTTGGGCGTTCTTTGACCATACTTCACCCATGCTGGTCAGTATGGATTGGTGAAGGGGGGGATGTGATCAGGGCTAGTTCAGATATGATTCCAATGTTAGATATGGCCAGGAATCGAACTCAGATTGCTGGCTTCACAGCACAGTGGCCTAACTATTGCGCCACTGTTCCCCCACTGAATATGATACTCTATATCTGATTTTATTTACTACAAGAATATATAGCCCTTTTGGTAATCCACTCCCAGATGAGGGTCTCTCCTCGCCGTGCGAGCTGTGGGGAACAATTGACCATACTTCACCATTCTGGTCATTGCAGGTCGGTGAAGGCGGGAGCTTAGTCGTGTCCAAAAATGACTTTTCCAGCACTGCCCTCCGCCGACTGGGTCACATACAGCCAGTAGGACGCATTGCCTCGCAGTGCGAACCACGGGGTGGTGCCGGGAGCCACACGCGCGCGCGGTACATCGCAAGACGCGCTGTTGATTCGTTTGTTGTGTGTGCGTGTGACCGGACGCGCAGTTTCCGGAGGAGACGGAGGCGGACTTGCTGTCCGTGGTCGGCGATGACGTGCTGCGCCTCAGTCCGATGAGCGACGGCCCGAGCTCCGTGTTTGCCAGCCCCACGCCGAGTCCGTACCTGCCGTCCCGCGGCGCCACCGCCGATTCCCTGCCGCCGCCGTCGCGACCGCCCGCCATGCCCCCCCGCCAGCTACCGCCGCCGCTGCCGCCCGGCCCCGGCCGCACTTTCCCCGCCGCCGCCGCTGCCGCTGACGCCGACGACGCCGCCGACGACGACGAGGACGTGCCGGACGGGCCCGCCGAGGAGAGCGACTCCACTTACACGGACGACACGGAGAAGGAGGACGAGGAAGTTGAGGAGCAGAGGCAGCACAAGGCGCGGTACGGACGAACGCCGTGATTTCTCCCTGCTGATCGAGAGGTGGTGGGCGCTGCCGAACCCCGGAATTAACACGTGACGTGAAAGGGGAGTCAGGGTTCGTGTTTGGATAGGACGAGGACTGACCTCTTATTGCCTAGATTGTTAGGCCTTGAGGTGACGTTTGTGTTTAATGCGGCAAGTGTTGTCTGTTTCAATAGGAGTTTGTTCCTTCTCCTTCATTGCCAATTTTGGCCTTTTCACTGTTTAGGTTTTATTTATTTATAGTGGTTTTAGTGCTTTTTAGGGTGTGATGCATGAAAACACATCGACATTCACTATGGCAAATATATATCACGTATAGCAGTTAAAATAATACCGTTGAAATTAATAGATAAGTGGCATTGTGAACAACATCAAATGGTGCATGGCTTTTGATATAGTATCCCACTATCCATAGATGCTGTAAACATCTGGCAGTCATGCCCAATTAACGATAGATTTATGACAAAGCCGGAGTGAGCGCACGGTCAAATCCCGGCGGAGCGGCGTAGCCATGACGGGCCGCGCGTCGCGATGTCGTGATCGGCGCACGGGGCCCGAGCGTGCCTGACTGCCACCCTGCGCGGCGGCGTAGCAGGCGGCGGTCGGATCAGCGGCGGCGGCGAGGCCTGCGGAGCCCGCGCCTCCTGGGCAGCAGCAGCGAGCGCGTGCCCCCGGTGGTGAGCGCCGCGGCTGCCGCGGCCGCCGCGGAGCGCAACATCGACTTCAAGCTGGACGTGCGCGTGGAGATCGACAGCGGCAAGTGCGTGCTGCACCCCAGCATCGTGTCGCAGCCGGCCGACGCCGACGAGTCGTCGTTAAAACGGTGAGAGCGGCCGCCGTCCTCGTCGTATCGCTGTTCCTCCCCGTCGTGGTCGTGCTTTTGTTCAAAATGTTCTATATATTTTATACACCGCCATCTCTTTGCATTCGATGAAGTGTCACGATTTGGGGCCATGAGTCAATGGGACAAAGTGGCGTCGCTGCCTCTTCGTAGGCTGGAGGGGCCGAGGTACTGGGCTGCGAAGAGGGGGTGAAATTTCAATAGGTGACTCTATTTCATGTCTTACACCAGGGCCAATGCCAACCATGCTTCGCCACTGACTTAAGTCATTGATTACATTATTTGCATTTGCAACGTCTTGTTTGTATTCTGTCTAATTTTTATCGTTCGTATTTATTCTCTCTCTGGTTCGCGGAAATCATTATTTCTTACACGATTCGGGTACACGTTGTTCTGTAATCATCAACTTTTATGAATGAATCAATGATTTCTTACGTGCATCGTTTTTGTTGTGAATCATAATCGTCGTCGCAATCATGATCGCAATTATCGGCATTGCAAAATCATCTGCATGATGGTGAATATTGATGTTTGTTGTCTATAACATTACAATTTGGCCATTCATCCACATCAATATAACTTTAAAGCTTTCGTGACTGCAGGGATTCATCATCTTGGTTCTTTCGGTAAAGTCACGTAGAAGGGAAATAATAAAATAATAAAAATTAAACATAATAAAATACAATTCTCTCTTATTTTACTGAAAGAACCAAAAAGGTCAATATCACTGTTTTAACAATCTTCATTATCATTGCACCCTAAAACGGGCATATTCTAACTCCTCATGAGCTCTGTTGTAAATTGTAACCCTCAATGTCATCTTTGTCCCCATGCGCCATCGCTTCACGTTGAATAACCCACACTGCTTAGTTTGGCGCTCAATGGGCACTGCTGAGCAAGTCTTGGGAGCGTTCCGCACCAACGTGCGTGCGTGTGCGCGGTACCGATCGTCTCCCCCCCCCCCCCCCCCCCCCGGTGCAGGGAGAAGGGCGGGCGAGCGGGACAGGAGTCGCCCACGGGCAAGCGGTGCGCCTCCGGGCTCGGCAGTGGGATCCTCGGCGGCTACAAGAAGGTGCCATCCACCTTGCAGACCAAGGGCATGGACCTGGAGACCACCGTCTTCTACATCCCTGGAGTAGAAGTCAAGGTAGCCACCTGCTTATCCATCTCTTCGTCTATTCGTCCAGCCATACTCTTGCATTGCTGGGGCTGCCTTTGCGTCTCTGTTTGTGTGATGCTCGTTTGTCCAGAATAATAATTTTTGTACGCGACTTGTTAATGTAGTTTTGTTTATCGCATATTTGATCTGCCCAATAATGTTTTGTGCATTGTATATCCTTGATGTGGGATTATGCTGCATCTCATCAAATTATTACATCTAACACAAACGTCTACTTTGCTCCTTATGATAGCATACGTTGATTAGGTACCCCTGGTAAACGCCCTTTGACATATCTAGAAGATGTTGCGAAATGTCAGTTGTTTTTTTGCTGTAATTTAGCTCCATGAGAATATTGCATTTTTGTGAATCATCATGTTTAACATTTTTTTTTTATATAAAAACGTATTTATTGTGTAAATGATCGACAACCTAAATTAACATTCGAGGATGCGTCCGTATTTTAAAGAATGGTAAACACAGCTTAGACGTATAGAAATTCATTGATTAAAATATATTATTACACTCATGAAACATGTATCACATTGTGCATGTGAGCATTGATTATATGCCATTAATAAATAACTTACCTTGAATATCATGTAACAAATGAGAAAAAAAAATAGAATACAAAACAATGCCATAAACAAGACCAAAACCTCGAAATAATTCAGTTGAATTGTGACGACAAATCATGACAATTCACTGAATTGTGAAGGGGAGGGGGGGGGGGTCACTATAAACCCACAAAGGAAATTTATTTCTCCATCAATCCACACAGGTTCACTACAACTCCAAGACGGTGAAGCTGGAATCTCCCAACATTTCTCGCGGCTCTTCACTCAGCCGCTCGCAGTCCAAGGAGTCCAAGCTGTCAGCCATGAAGGACTTCAATTACCAAGTGGGCAAAGGCCTGCCCCAGGCACCACCGCCACCCACGGCAGGTCAGTCCTGAGATACCCATGTCACAGTCGGCATTGCATACACTTGAGTCACCTATCTGACATAGACTTGGAACTCTTTGACCATAATTTTTACAGAAAAATTATGTATAGATCCATCAGCGAATGGAGCTCCTCAACCATCATTTGAACAGCATTTAAGCAGGCGAAGCTTTAATTGGTTTACAATTTTATTAGGCTCATCAGCAGAGCATGGTCTGTGAAGCAAGTGCTGCTGGGTATAATTGGCGTCACAGACAAACGTCATCTACGAATACCGCGGGGTCCTGCAGTGCTGTGCTCCAAAATGATGCGTACGTTATTACATTTGCTTTTTACAAAGCTACGTATGGAGAATTGGAATCTGTTCACGTTGACTGGAAATATAAATAATGGTGTAATGTTCATTGTTTTTTCAAAAGCCGCGCTGGGTCTCAAGACTCGTTCAGGAAAGTTCTGCTTCACAAGTTCCAAATACCCTTTTTTGCTCAGGCGTGCATATCTTAGTTATCTGGAGAAAACCCTCACACGAGGAGATAATATTCAAGTAACCTACTTAACCATACATCAATTTACTAGACACCTTGCAGCCATTGTAACTATGTCCTTGTCTTTGAACGAGCACAGGTGGTTAAACTGCCCAAAGTTTGAACTGCAACAGCAAAATTGATCGTTCCGAACGGCAACGCTTCATTCATCATAAGCTGGGCCGCCAACGGTTCTGTGAGCGTGCGTCGCCTGCTAATAACCAGCGGCGGGCCAACGTTCGGCGGTGCTGCGTGCGTGTCCCCCACGCAGGCAAGGCCAAGGTGGGCGGTGGCATAAAGACGGCCAAGCTGTTCGCGTGGGTGTCCCTGCAGTCGCTGCCGGAGGAGATGGTCATCAGCCCGTGCCTGCTGGACTTCTTGGAGAAGGCGCTGGAGCTCATTCCCATCACACCCATCGACCACCAGCCTTCTGGTAGCTGCCACTGCTCGCACGCTGTGCACGCTGTGCGCGCTGTACCATGCCCTCTCTGTCACAACACCGGCGTGGGAGGCGGTTTATTTTGGATGGTCAATTTTATGTGTTTATCCATCGGCACGTATCCCTTTGTTTAATTGCCTTCTGGTGAATATTGTCTGACTCTTGACTAAATGTGCATTTTGCTCCTTTGTTCATGAAATTGCAATGCAGAGATTGGATTACTATCTGTTCCCTAACCCATGGGCTTCAAAGGCCATAATAGTATTCATTAGTCCAGAATCTGATTAATATTCTTGATTTGAGTGCCTCAGAATGTTTGGAATGGCGGCTCTGTATGAATGTAGATTATTATTTGTTATTGTTATGTGATCCATTATTCTCTTCGCAGTCACCTTTGTGAATAATTTATATGCATGTACAAGCGATTGGAGGCTAATGAGTCTGGAACTCCTTAAAGTCAGGTTTTTCACCCTTTCTGAATTGCATAATGATTGAGGGATCATTTCGTGATTAAAGTATACATTTTTGTGTTAAAGTTAGTAAATATGTCTGCAACTTTTGTACCAGCAACTTGTTTTGCTGATGTCCACCATTATTCCATCTGGTCCATAAGCTTTCCCTTTTTAAATCCTTTATATTAAGTTCACTTGCTTGCTTGCTTGCGCGCTTACGACCGTGCAAATCTTTCGGTCGTTTTTTAAGCCACTTCCCGTGATCCAATCGAGCTGACATTTTGCACACAGACTCGTTGTGCGTGACAATTTATTTTCGTGAAAATTTTTTTCCAAAATTTTACACTTTTTAGAAAAAAATAAATTATATTTAATTACCAATTGCTTAATGGTGGCAGGCAATCATCTGACCCATAGGTGGCAGCCATCTCAAGCCAGAGGACGAGAGGACTCTAGCCGCCACGCATATAAAGGATTTATAGTGAAAAACTTTGTTTTGACGGGTTAATTTTTTCATGCTAGAAATGACATTGTTTATATCTTCATGAGTGAAATCTGAAATCTCTTCATCCAAAAAATCAGTCCGATTCCTTTGATGTGATGTTTTTATTTTGCGATAGAGATCCAGATGAAAATTCCTCTCCTTATCATAAGATGCAGACAGCATTTAAGAAAACACATAACCGATTCTCGTGACCACAGTTCAGTGTGTCTTATCACGAGCGTAAGAATGAGTTTTACTCAATGAAACGATGCGCTAAAATGTTGTACCGATCTTGAATGGTAAAGTGACTATTATGTACCAACTTCTTATTTTGATTAAGTCCCACCTACGCTTGTCCCGGCCAGCTTTGCTGCAGCCTCAGGAGGAGGAGGTGGGACACTTTGATGTGACGGTGGAGCCCCTGGAAGAGTCGACCACCTCACTGGTGTCATCCTCCACCTCCTCGTACTCCTCTTTCCCTGTTGACGTCGTTGTGTACGTCCGCATGCAAGTGAGTTCTCGACCAGCGCGCGCGTGCGTCACTCACGCGGTGTGGGAAGGCCTTCATCAAACGGAATAAAAATCTTTATTTAGACTGCGGGAGGAATCCACAGCTCTTTTTTTCCACAGATGTTAGCATGGGTGGGTTAAGTTAATTAATAATGACATGTAAATATTAAAATTCATTATTCTTGTTTCATATTATGTATTTAAGTGGTTGACCCCAAGAATTGACGTTGAATTTTCTAAAGCGGAGGGGGATTCATCCACAAGCTTAAATTCATCACATTTTTTAAATTAATTTTCTCTGTACATCACATGTAGAATTGATGAAAATTTGAAATCTGCAACAATCATTATTTTATCATTATGAAAAAAAATACTCCGCATACGCATCCCAATTAAGGTAATGCTGTTTTTATTGCAGTGCACGAAGTTGTTGATGGTGTTTTGAATGTTTGAATGAACCACTTGAGAAGTCTGTCTTGCTGAGGTCACTCGAGTTGAGAGAATGCTTTTTATTTTTTATTTTTGCAAATTCCAATTGGGCTACTCTGTGTCTTGTCGTGAGACAAATGTCCCGTTAGTAATTATCACGGAGAAGTGCGCCAAGTTAAAAAGAATGGCCTGCAGAATGAGATCTGAAATCACTACGAGTGATTTTGGTTTTATCCACGCGAGTCGATAAAACGTCCACTTTTTAAATCCTGCAACAGAGACATGTTTATTAAATCAACTCTTTTAATGCTCAGAGCTGGATTTGAGCCAAATTAAGCAAAATAACAAAAATGAATTGTGCAGTCGTCAGTGACTGCATGAAGACTATCGAGACGTTATGCCTGAGAACCCAAATTACAAATCAGTATCTCAGCGGTGTCGGCTCAGCATTTAGAAATGTGCTTTTAAAGTATTTGGCTTTTGCTATATATTTCTCCATCAGTAAGCCACTTTGTTGAGCTATAATCTGTGGCTGGGGCTCTTCTGAAAAAGAGCTATACATCTCGGTGTGCATTACCTGGTAAAAAAAAAGTATAGTTTTAAGAGTTTAAACTTACACCTGAGCCACCAAGCCACCTCTTGTACTTCCCACCTGGCTAAATGAAAGGTGATCGATGGCTTTGATCGAAATTTTCCTACATTCAATGCCATCGCCCCACGTCATGCCCCAATGACATCACCCCCTCGTGGCTTGTTTTTTCCACACGCACAGCCATCACAGATCCGCTTCAGCTGCCTGCCCGTGTCACGGGTGGAGTGCCTCCTCAAGCTGCCCTCCCTCGACCTCGTCTTCTCCTCCAATCGGGTCGATCCAGAGGCCTCTGGCGCTTCGTGCGGCAGTGGCGGCGGCGGCGGCGGCGGTGGTGGTGTTAGTGGTGGTGCCAGTGGCCTGGGGTCATCTGCTGAGAGCACTGGCTCTTCCCTGGCCCAGATGGTGCTACGCACGGCCGCAAGCAAGGCAGCCGGGCTGCAAGGTGGTGCGTAGGTTGTGCTTGCGTGCGTGTGTATGTGTTTCTATAGCATGACGAGTGCTGGCATATACGCATATACAGGAGTGAGTTGGGGGCATGGAGCATTTTAATCTTTGGCGTACTACAGTGCATCAGCTCATCGTTTGCCATCGATTTAGTACACTGGTGATGCGTGCATTAAATTTTGCGCGTAACAAGTCAGTTGTATGCATGCCAATTATATTATGTTTCGTGTTTGTAAATTTGTGAACAAAACTGTACACACAAGGTGGAACAAATGAGAAGCAATTCAAATGAGATAGAAAATAATGGATTGTTGAATTGAAGCGTGACCACGAATGATGACTATTCATCAAATCACTGAAGGGCCGGTTGTTACCTGCCAAATAAAAATCTGTATCTACATCACACACGAGACTCTGAATTATATCCACTATCTCCTGATCCCATAGTTATTGCATTGTTATAAGGAGCGTGTGATTGCCCTCGTGACTTTAAGACAATTCCGTTTTTTGCCGACAGTGGTCATTGCAGGTAATGGCTGTTTTTTCAGAGATATTAACTGTGACGATCTTCATTGCAGAATGGCTAATGCCTATAATATTGTCGAGATACATAGCTATTAAGATACAAAGCCTGGTTTTCTAATTGCAACGATGTTGAATGCATCTTCAGACCAAGCATTTAGAAGCTAATTGGTGGTGTTTATAGATAGATGACCATTATTTATCACCACATTAGAGTCCACTGAGACGAGTAGTCTCATTGTCAAGGGAGGCTCATGTAAACAATAACGCAGTGTCTTCTAATTAATATCTCAAATTAATGTAACTTAGCATAAGTGAGAGAACACAATTGTGTTGAGTGTTTTGTTAATTGTGTTTATGCACCCTAATCTCTTTAACACACAGGAGACTCTGCACTAATGCCTTTTCAGACCAATGTGTTCATAGGCTTTGTGAATTTACACAAACAGGCATCAACGCGTCGACGAACGTGATCCAACGATACCCGACGACTCGGGATTAGTCGGGATTTGTCGATTATCTTCGTTCCCGTCCGTTGCAGGCACCGGTTCCAGCGTGCCGGGGTCGCACACGTCGCGCACGCGGCACCTCAGCAACCAGTCTGACGGCGGCGCCAGCAGCATGAGCGCCTTGCCCGGCAACTGCAGCGGCCTCAGCTTCACGGCCATCATGTCAGACTTCTCCTTCTACGTCTTCCACCCGTACGGCGGCAAGCAGAAGTCCGGCGTCGCGGCGATGGCCACGAGCAACGTGCCAGGTGCCGCGTCAAAACTGGGCACCGTTTTTGCGCAGGACCCAAGGCGCACACTTGCAGCCGGATTGCTTGCTGGAGCTCATGTGGCGGGCCGAATTGTATCTAGAGTAATGACCGATTGTGTCTACCGCATTGAGGTGGAGATGACAGAATCCTGTGATATTTATCTATGGCAAGAGTAGCGAAAAGTCAGCTGGTGTTGTAGTGAAAATCCAAAAAAATGGCATCATCATCAGCCATGGTCTAAAATATACGTTAGAGTTATATACAAAAAACATATGTGGGAACATTGCCTCCAAATGAATAAATTGCCCAGGTTTTGCTTGAAAAGCATATTAAATCTTAACTCGCATTTAAATAATTGGTATCGGTAATTAAATGAGTAATGTGTAAACCGTGGCGGGTAATTTGCTCTCATCACCAATTTCACTGGCTCCACATCAAGGTCTGGAACAAATGTGTGTGTCGATTGGACCTCGTGATTTCCACAGAGGTGCCATGCTTATGTTGACTGATTAGTCGCCCGTGGGTGTTCTGCATTTCGTAGCAGGTGTTTGCCCTTGCTGATCGTGTTTGGCAACGGTCCGTGTGAGTGTTCGCTGATTGATGGAGCGGCTGGTTTTCGTCCTCCGTGGCAGGGCTTACGGCAGAGGAGCCTTCCTCTGCCACGGGTCGCAAGGACTCGCTGAGCATCAACCTGGAGTTTGTGAAGGTCAGTCTATCGCGCATGCGCAAGACAGGAGCCGTGCTCACCTACGAGACCCCTTCTTCCTCCGGGAAGACCGGGAACAAGATGGAGACCACGCTGATCAACATCTCGGGTAACTCTCAGATTCTTCCATATTTGTTTATATTTATTTGTTTTTACAACAGAGGTACTCGTGTTTTAATTTGGATCATATATATATAATGTATCCCTAGCTTATTCATTTCACAGATGTATGATTTATGTCAAACGGATGCTCATGGCCACGAGTTGTAAAATGTGGAAATTCATATAATGAGCATGTGGTGTAAAAAATAGTCGCGACCTAAATGTTCATATTGCCTAACAGCAAAACAGACAATGATCTGCTTTGAGGTAATGTAATGGTGGCGCATAATGGCACGATAAACACACTGCAGGTGGGAAGCGATTTCAACACGCTCAATAGAAAGCCAGCGCGTGTGGTTTCCCGTCAAGATATGACCATGTGTGATAATAAAAATAATAATAGAAGTAAAAATCACTTTAAGAGAATGAAGAAAAGTAATTCCTTCACAGCCAGTAGTGTATTCAAAAACTGGTGGGTTGCCGCATGTTGCCCAGTGTCTTATCACACCATGTTTATGATTTTTAATTAGTCAATGTTAACGCCAAAGGCTCCAACAACTTAAGCAACTCATTGATAATCTGAAGTGGAGTGGGAGAAATGTCCCAAACCGTTGCACATGGCTGCTTTGCTGTTCCTTTGATTCTCCGTGCGTATGTCTTCAGCCGTATGCGATATCGGCTCTGCATCATTCAAGTACGACATGCGGCGTCTGAGCGAGATTCTGGACTTCCCCAAGGCGTGGTACCGTCGTAGCATCGCCCGCAGACTCTTCCTGGGTGACCAGACCATCGCTAACATGCCAAGTAAGCGCTCCCACGATCGATCATAAGTTCTCCATTTCCTTCATAGAGTCGTTTTGTTGGGCATGTCATCGGATGACCACGTACACTGGGTAAAAGTTTCACTGCATCGGAATGCGCCGATAACAACGCATGGCGGGTTCCCGTGCTCGCAGCGTCGGTGGCGGGTACCCCGGAGTCTGCCGACGGCGTGCCCTCCCACCTCTCCCCGGAGTCTGCGCGAAAGGCCTACCTGCGCACGTGGGACACGCAGTCGGGCCAGGGCTCGCCCTCGGGGTTCCCGTACGTGCCGCCGTCGCCCAGCGTGTACAGCGTGCCGCCCTCGGGGTCGCCGCTCGGAGTCAAGTCGCCCACGCACACTCGTCTGCGCAGCGCGTCCGAGTCCTCGGCCAGCCGCGCCGGTCCGTCGATGACTCGCACAGGCACGCACGCACACACCAAGCAGCAAAAACATGAACAACCGCCATTCGCCACGAGGTGACGGTGACTTTACTTGAGGTGTCAAAGGCTTGCTGGCGGGAGGTCATGGGACAGGCCCCAGATGTTATGGGTTAAATAATTGTAATGATTAGTAGATGCACTGCATTGCTTTATTTTGAACATCGCTCCTCCACCTTCCTCTTTTGCTGGAGTGCAGTTGCCTCCCAACTGCTCGGCAAGCATCTTTTACGACCCTCCTCCACAGAGGCTGACCTTGATTTATCGCAACACCTTTTGGATTTACAGAGAGCTGTAAATGAATGAATGAAATGAAAGCAGTCAAATGAAAAACATAAAATACTTGTCTCCCTAAATTTCGATTTGAAGCTTTCGTGACTGCAGGGATTCATCTTCTTGGTTCTTTCGGTAAAGTCACGTAGAAGGGAACTAATAAAATAATAAAAATAAAACATATTAAAATTATTCTCACGACGTTTCGGCCACAATGCAGGCAGCCGTCCTCAGGTGAAGAACAGGTCTGTCGGGAAGACAGCGTCAGACTTTACCGAAAGAACCAAGAAGATACTTGTCTCCCTGTTGCCCCTGAAAGCAGATTCAGGCTCCCACGCCAAAACGTCCACTCCAGCCACTGCCAAGAGCCCCGACGGGAGCAAGAGCAAGGCGGCAGCGGCGGCGGCAGCGGCGGCGCAACAGAGCGCCCCCTGGGAGACGCTGGTGCTGTTCGCCGTCAACCTCGCTCAGCTCAACGTGCAGATGAACATGAGCAACGTCATGGGAAACACCACGTGAGGCCCCTGCCACTGTCCTCGCCCGCTCGGGACCCAATGCCCCGTGACCTCGTTGCTTCTGTAGCATTCGAAGCTTAACACGCGGAGGGTGAGGCCTCTTCACTGTTTTACGAAATATATTTTGGGGACTGCAGCATAAGTGTGAGTACAGTTTTGTGATACAATGTTCAGAGGAAATGGCACTGGTGATGGGTTAACCCCCTCTGGTTTACGTAACACAGTTCACCATAGCTTATGTATGTTTGAACGTCTTTCGCACACCGTACATAGCCAACCATGCAAATAGGAGGAGCGGGGGGGAAGGACAACAAACTAAACACAAAAATCAGTTCTAAAGAAATGAGTTTTCAAGCTAGATTTAGAAGTGCATAGCTCCAGTGGCTTCCTAATATTGAAAGGAAGAGCGTTCCAGATGGCCTGGCCGCATGTGACAGCGTGTGATGCAATGGCGGTCTTTGTTCGATGGCCAGCCACAAGCTGCTGCGAGGATGACCGACGTTCACGTGATGCTTTATGCTCCTTAACATTTAGGTGAGATGTAGACTATCAAGAGGGCATCTCGGAAGCGCATTGTACAATTGGATCAAAGCGTGGTTCTTCTAATATTCATGTTTTCTATATTTAAAATATGCAACACCCAATTTAACATGGGGGGGGGGGGGAAGCATTTGTTGTGTTGCTGAGAGATCATCTCTGCATTGTGCTGGAGTGCCTCCGGGCACTCTTGATTCCTCATCATTCTGCTCCTCGTTTACAGGAGGCTGTGATGGTGGATGATCCAGCTATGTCGCAGGAGTCATTTGTGAATCGCACGGAGATCGTATCTGAGACACCCACTTTTAGTGACAATCATCTGGGGGCCTGTAGGAGACAATACACCAAGGTGGTTGAAAACCTATCTGTTTGGAGTTTTTGAATGTTTTTTTTTTATTTGCATGTGTGGGGTTTCTCCAGGGTGGGCCCCTTATTTCGATCACAAAATAATCAGTGAGGCTTTCCCAGGTGAACAAATAAAAAGTAATTCACGATTCGTACCAGCGCGTATATATAGATTACGCCCATAATGTTTACTGGAACGGCCTTTAATTTTGAGATGTTTACAGCTAGCCGCAGTCGTTAGTGCATCAGCAGCCGGGCGCTCGTTAACAGAATCGCAAGTTTTTACAGCGCTCGACACGAACACCCCCTGGCAGTCGGCGTTGGCTGAGAAGGTTTGGGGGTGTTTCTGGGGCCGCCTTGCGGCCGACCCGCTTATCGCGCAGGTGGAACACGAAGGGCGTGAAGACGCAGGGCCGCGTGTCCGTGGGCAGCAACATGGACAGGGACATCAAAATGACCCTGGGGCTCGGCAGCTCGCAGCTCGACTCCAAGGGCGGCGTCGTCGGAGGCACAGTCAGGGTCAACACGCTGGAGATGGTCGGTGGGTGCCGCCACACCAACACCGATCGGTCTACCGGCGGCGGGTCTAAGCATTGCTAGTTAATCAGCTGACAACGGGTCAGTGTCGTTCGTAAGTCGGCAACGGTGGGTAGGGTGCACACCTTTAAGACAGCAACTTGGGGGCAGAGTTGGTGGACCACACAGAGATGGAGTAAGGTGTGTGAGATGCCCATCTGTAGTGAAACGATGTGGCTGTGTCGGCTCTAGGGTGTGGTACATCAAGTAGGTTGTCAACTGGCTGTCTACAAAGACTTGAGAGTTTTCCCTTCATTTGTGTGGGATTTCTCTGGGTATTGTTATTTATGCTCGCATATAAAACATTCTCAAGGAAGGAATTTGCCAAACACTTCAAACGTCTGTGAATTTTGTTCTGGATGAACATAGAAATCGCATTACCCCCTCAGTGGATTTGCAAAGGTTAATTACACTGCGCCACGAACCCACTGACCTCCGTTACATTTCTGGCCCTAGCCAACATCAATGGCGTGTAATGCCTGAACGGGTCCCGGGGAGGTCCCCTTTCACCAACCCGCACTCACCAGCATGGGGAAGTTTGATCAAACAGCAGGGCAGCAATGGATTTGGCAAAGGGCTCTCAATTATATTACCATGCCCATCGATGACTTTTGAGCGGTGGCCTTAGAGCAAAGTAAAGCAACAATAAACAACGTGTGTGATATATTCTGACAAGCACATGGGATCAAAGCCAGTGTTCAACTAGTTAAATTGCACTGGGAAATCATTTTACGTAGCAGCGACACGATCCAGAGCCGCAACAAATGCGGGTCGCCAGCTTCTCCTGACGCCCACGGCTGCGAACGAGTCAGGGTTCACACGGCTCTGCGTGCGAGTCTCCCCGCGCTGTGCGTCGTCGCCTGTGCGCAGCCTTCATCTCGGAACACCCCACCAAGGAGCCACGGCACCGCGTGCAGACGTCGCTGGGCTCCACGGAGGCGCGGGTCGACTACATGGGCTCCAGCATCCTGATGGGCATCTTCAACAACGCCGACCTGGAGCTGCACGACGAGTGGAAGGCGAACCCCAACCACACGGTCGGCCTCAGCGACTCGACGTTCACCGATAAGACGTGAGCGGCTGCCCTCTCCCCCCGCTCCCCCCACCTCTGCGGAGCATCGTTACAGAGGCTGCCGCCCCTCCGTTGACCGCTCGCAGCACATGACGCGTTTGAGTTGCGTGTAGATGTCACATGCACCGGGCGAGTTGCCTCGAGGTTCATCATACATTGTGTGCCCCTGTTAACGGTGACATTCATATTTGTTCAGAGGTCTGTGGTATAATTATTGTACCCACCCAATACAGTTGCTTCTTTCTGATTAATTTTGCCCATAATTGGTCTCTCCGGACACAGTTGCACTGGCAGTGAATATAACCAATATAATGAGGCATATTTTATTGCGTGAATTAATACTGATGACAATGGCGATTGTATTGAGTCTCAACACAGTTTGAAGTTCGTTCGTTCGTTTCTCGATTCACTTATCCTGGTGAGGGTTGCGGCGGCAGCGTGTTGAGTAGTGGCGGTCCACACCTCCTGTTCTCTGGCGACAGCTTCCAGCTCTTCCTGGGGAGTTCCCAGGCATTCCCAGGCCAGCTGAGCGACATAGTCCCGCCAGCGTGTCCTAAGTCGGCCCCGGGGTCTTCGCCCAGTTGGACGTACCCGGTAGAGTTCCAGGGGGAGGTGTCCCAACCACCTCAACTGGCTGGACTGATTTGGTGATACTGACGTCTGATGACCGATGACAACACATTAAGATCATAATGTTGATTATTTTGTACTGGATGTAGAAGGCTTTGGGCCAAGACATCTGCCTTCAGTCAGAGAACTACGGAATATCACATTTGCTTGAGGATGTCTCCCTTTGTGACGAAGAAGACGACAATTACCAAAGTACAGCGACGGTGGTGCCGACGTGGCGATTGCGACGTGTCCTGACTGTGCCCTGTGCTCGCGCGCCGCAGGAAGGTCTTTGTGCACGGAGACCTGTCGTGGAGCGTCTTCCAGGTGATGATTTCACGCTCCACCACGCCGGACCTCGTTCGCATCGGCGTGAAGCTGCAGGAGTTCTTCACGCAGCAGTTCGACACCAGCAAGCGCGCCCTCTCCACGTGGGGTCCCGTGCTCTACGGCCCGCACAAAGTCGCTCCTGCTGCACAAGAGAAAGCCACGGACGAAGAGAGTCAGTCACCGCCCGAAAACGATCGCCGCCTCTGCCGTCGTCATTGTCACAAATCCTCACTGTCACCACCATTACCGTCGTGATCGCCAGTTGGCATCGTCATCCTCATCATCAACTGCATATTTGGCATCCTCGTCATGATTCGCGTGGCTTGGCTCCAAACAAATATATGTATGTATGTGCTCATTATGAGTGTTTCCTGTGAAACTAGAGGATAAACAAAGCTCTGCCAAGTAAAGATGCAATTCCTTTTGATGCAATCTTTTTTTTCCATAAATATTTGACGTGGAACAAAGTGAAAGATCTTTACTCTGCATTACTTCATTAACATATCATGCATCACCACTTTCAATTATCTCTCTTTCCATTCTCTCTCGCTTTGGAACATTATTTTTCTGTTCCACCAACTCCCTCTCCATCTGCCACCTTAACTCCCTCTTCCTCCCTACGTAGCCTCTTTACCCTCTTTCCTGCCCTTTTCCCCCGAATTTCTTCCTTTTCGGTTGTCGTCGTTACCCTCCTCACCCACCCTCGGCTCCTCGGCCCTCTCCCTCCGTCCTGCCGGCGCTCTTCGTCGCGCCTCTCAACGTGCCGCCCCCTCCCTCGTCTCGCCGCTGCCCCGCAGGTCTCCTCGACACGGTGCTGCACCGCCACTGGCCGAGCGTGCTCCGCACGGTGTGCGGCTGCCAGCTGTCCATCTTCCCGCGCCCGCTGCCCGACAGCGCCGTGCTGCTCGGGGGCAGCGTGGGCCTGCACGGTGACCACATGACGCTCGCCTGCTTCCACGGGGTCAACTTCCGCGCCAAATCCTGGGCCCTCTTCCATCTCGAGGGCCCGAACATCTTCTTCTGCACCGAAGCGCAGGAGATTCACCAGGAGGGTGCGTTTGTAAATGATCGGCCACTTTGTTGGGCTATCGTTTGGGGCCAGGTCGCTTCTGAAAATGTAGCTAATAGCCCAGTGGGCCTTACCTGGTAAGATAAATATTGTTCAGTTTTATTTTTATACTTTTTTAAGTGATTTGTTTTACCTTTCCTATACTTTGCACTCCTATATATATATCATTGCTGAGCCAAGCAGCAAAATGGCATTCATTGAATGTACAATAGATAAGAGTTGATACGTTTCTTGAACGGAGCGAGGTTATAAGAACTTTGAAAGAATGACGATGATGGGAGGGAATTCCCAAGTGGTGCAGCGCGAGTAAAGATGCAGGAAGAGTTATATTGTGATCTGCGTTGTGGCATCACGCAGAGGTCGGGCTGTGGGGTTGTGTTGTTACACTGTTTATGTTTGGGCTGGGTGGTCCCTGTAGTTTTTTTTGTCGTAAAAAAATGATTGGAAATTAGAAAATGTTCCAGGAATTACAGACAATGGAGCGGTTCATGTTGAAAGTGCACCTCATGAAATTAAATGTTGAATGTTTACGATGGCTTTAAAATGTTTCTTTTTGAACTATATCAAATTTCAGCCAACATTATGAACTGTTTATTAAGAATTTTGAGAGGAAGTGGCAGAAGTTTTTATTTTACCCATTCTCAGCACATTTTGTTTGGAGAACTCTGCCTACAGCCAGTATTTTTCAAAATCATACTTATTTACTTCAGTTTCTTGTGGACTCAGGAAAGGGCAACACACAAGGCAGTGTTTGCAGCATCAACTTTAAATGAGGCCAAGGACGATCATTTCTCTACACGGTAGGCAGCGGGAGAGGTACCCAAACCAAAATACCTTCGTATAATTGTGCAATATTGAAATGCGCCCTCTTGGCTGATAGCAGTATTCATTAAATAATTTATTAATATTTTGTATAGGTTTGCTGTGCTCTGCTAAACATCACTGGGTTTCCCAGGGCTCCAAGCTTTTCTGATGGCCCTTACCAATACACCAAGCCAGCCAACGGCATTCGTTTAACAGGCGAAGTTTCTGCTGGTGAAACTCGGTGAAATTGAAAGTGGTCCTGGGTTTGCTTTACTTTACTGAGAGCATTTCTTCACCGGCTCGAACGCCAATGTATTGTTGCTGTTCATTTGTCTCGATCGTGCATCCGCGTCCCTTCTTGCACAGACTCAGCCGAGAAGTTCATGTACATGGCCCAGAACCTGGACTTTGTGCTCGGCAACAACATGATGGTGACGGGCGGGGCGCTGGAGAGTCCCATGGCAACCATCACCAAGGTGACGCGCCGTCGCCACGAGAATGCCCCGCACGGCGTCGCCACGGTCAACGAGTGGTTCAACTACGTGACGGCGATGCGCAACGAAGGTGAGCTGCGTTCAACCACTCTCGGAGAAAATAAAAAATATCGGGGCAGGTGTGTGTGTGTGTGTGCGCGTGCGTGTGCTTTTTTTTGGTTTAGTGAATTAAGCTATAACAGAGCCCCATAGTGCACTTGCCAATAACATCTGGTAGCTCGATAGCATTTAACGAGCCTGACCGCCGATGGGACCCAGAGATCCAGAGTTTGTTTGCTTAAATAAAAGCTGCTGGATAATATTTGTCTGGCAAGCTAATATGCCGATGAACTAAAACACCTTTGATTTATACGTGAAGACCCAAAGCGCAGTTCTGCTTCTATATAACACATAAAAAATGTACAGACAGCTGAAAGCATTGGGTACATTTTTTACTTTTCAACTGGAGGATAAATTAAAATTGTTAAAAGAGTTTAGGTTTTATCCCTGGTGTTCTAAGCTTAATTTTAACCGAAGTTCCTTTGTTTCAAAGTGGAATGGCAGTGATTAATCATTTCCCACATAAAACATTTTGAAATATTAGTTACAGTTTCCCCTGGGAAGGTTTTTTTCACTTTGCTTAACTATTTCCTTGGCTAAATAACTTTTGGACACGTGTATAAATTTCACTTGCATGCATCATTTGTGTATTAATTACTGAATTTTAAAAATGTCTCAGGTGTGGATTAATTATCTCTAATCTTATAACTCCGAGTAATTGATGATTGCATAACTTAAACCTTGATCTCATTTAGCAGTATGTATCTTTACTCTTAGGCAGCACCAGACTATGATGAGCAGCCCCATGGTTTGTCATGCACAAAGCTATCATGAATTATTTTTGGAATATAGTTCGTGATTTCATGAACATCCTGTCTTGGACAGGAAATGAGGCCTAATGTCGATGGTGAATGATGAAGTGCAGATATCGTGTGCTATGCATCTTCAGTGATTGCGCAATATGTGTTTCTGTTTCGTATATTTGGCTGTGTGGATTGTCCTTCCAGCTGCCAGGTGAACTGAAACACAGTCGGCTCGTTGAGCTGCTTCTGCACGTGATGATTTAATTTCTTTGGCTGTGTCCGGCGGTGGGATGGATTTAACAACAGAAATTTTTGCCCATATCATTGCGTGGCCTAAGCCAAGAAAATAATTGTGAATCGCATGATATCACATCCTGCCTGATTGGTGTTCTCGTATCCGTGAGGAACGCATTAGCACCTCCGATTAGCACGGTGGGTTACGTACGGTGTGAAAGAAGTTCTGCATACATACAGCAGGGCAATGAGTGGCCGATTGAACCTAGTACAGCAAGTAGGGCAGCGGGGCCCACTTGTGAGGGAGGGGCTGGCCATTGCCTCCCATTTGTGGCTTTACCCAGGGCATTGGTGCCTCTCTCATAGCCAGCCCTGCTGCGACAAAAGGTCTTCAGGGTTATAGAGCAGATGGGTGGTCTTAACTCCTTTAATTCAGATAGAAATCATGAACAATTAAAAATGTTTAATTGGAATACTGAAAAATGTCAAAATTACTCTGACTTGCCGCAGTTGTAGGAGTGCCGCGGTGGGACCAATTTCTAAAACAGTAATGCCTGTTAATGTGGTACACACATTTTTTTAAGCGTATTATTATGGTAATTATGCCAGTCTACCCTCCATTCCCTAAATGTCTTCGGCAGTAATGTAGCTTTGCACTGTGTTTTTTTATAGAATGCACAGCGATAATGCAAAGCTGTAATAAGCAAATCATTTGGTAAAGCGATTGAAATACATATTCTTGCCAGCTATTCCATTAGTGTTTGATTAAAAAAAAACCTGTCAATCATCAGTGTGGCTTTTTCATGCATGCCGTTGGTCCAAGTAGGTGGCATAAAATTGATGTTTGGCAACAGGGATTTGACTCTAATTAGCCTAAGCATTTTTGAGCAATGTTAATGATGGGTTTATAGTTAAATCAATCGGTAGGCTACTCACTCAGCAGGATTCAGATGAGAGCCCACTGAGAGGAAAGTCTGTCTTACAAGAGGGACCTTGTTTATGATGCAAGGGATACATAATTAATGTTACTAATTTAAACATATAATGATTATTACTTGTAAACTGTGTTGGTCATTTCAGAGCTAGATTATAAACATGTAAGGCAACACAAAAAATATGAGTTTAAAACTTAACTTTTTTGCTAAAAATATAAATAAATGGAAGCCAACACATAAAACGATGCCCGGATGACCGCAGACACAATGAACCCATGCCCAGAGAAGGACTTGCACAGGGCAGGTCTCTTCACCCACGGATGAACAACGCCACCAAGCCGGATGAATCTGCAGGCAGTGATTTGCTTAGGCTGATTTCTCACGCCACACTTGCAGCAGTGGCAGAATACTTCAGAGTTTGAATAATGCCACTTCGCAAATCCGTCTCAACTACTCCACCCGCCACTTTCCCGGGGAGAGCTTGGCGAGCCTCGACGGAAGAGCCACGATTCTGTCCCCCCCCCCCCCACCCGTCTCGCCCGGTAGAGCTGAACCTGCTGCGCAACGTGGATGGGAACGCGACGGAGGGCGGCGCAGCCCAACGCAGTGCCAGCCTGTCTGGCGGGCCGCGCGGCGCGCCCAGCTACAACCACGAGACGGAGACCATCTTCGCTCTGCCGCGCACGCAGCTACTCTTCAAGTCGGCCCAGCTGCAGGAGTCGGAGAGACCGTCCCTCCAGGGTGCGCTTGAGCGAATGTCGTCTGACAGCGTCGGCAAGTTTGTTTCTGTGCACTCGCGCGCTTGTGGGGAAAAGCTATGCTCCGTTCCCCAGGCTTCTTCGTCAGTGGCGAGTTATATCTGAACCGTTTCGGGGCCTGTCCCCTAGCTCAACTCGGCGTTAATGAGAACCTGCTGCAATGTGCAAACATCAGTACTGGGAATGCAAAAGTGGCTGGGGGTGGCCCTGACAATACCACCTGCCTCCATAGGCTCCCACTAACAGCACTTTCTCCAACGGTCTATTTTGACTTACATGGGGTTATTTTGCTATTGTATAGTTATTGAACTGCTTTAAGCCTGGAAATATTGGTTAGCTCCTGACATTGCATAACCTCAGTGATAATTGGTGTCAGAACCTTATCCTAACCTCAACGAGGTTCACCCCGATTAAAATCCATTTCCGAGTTGGGGGACAAAGATGACCTGATGCGGCACCAGCCATATGACCATCATTAAGCACAATACCATGGCCAGGTGTTACATTTTGTGGCCAACAGTAAAACTTGGTTCAACGAGGTCATAGCGCGCATTGATTTTGCCACTAAGCCATCTCTCCCCATAAGTTCCTAACCACACACTTGCCTCTGCGGTTTTTCTGCAGGTAAAGATGCAAAAGTTATTTTCAGAGAACATTAGCATCAAAATGACGAACAAAATATGTATCCATATAGTCACCTTATATTAAAATACACCTCTTCCACTGGCCCACGTGCTCTCTAATGCCAGCAGCATGGAGGTCTTGGTTTGTTCTTAAGCCGTAACTGAACTACTGCCTTCACGGTCCTGTCACTGTTGAACCACCATATACACAGAGCTCCTTTCAGCGGTTAGACTTTAAACAGATGAGAGTCTGGAGGAGCTACGTCTGGGCTCTATACCCGATGTTCCAGAACATTCCATCCGAGCTTTCCCAACAATTATATTGTGGCACCTGAAGAGTGTGGGCGTCTATTATCGCGCTGACATGGCATTTGCAACAAATCCCAGGCTATTGTTTTGTTCCCCAACAAGTCATATATATGTGAAGCACTTGAGACAGTGTTTTGCTATTTTTTTGAAAGGCAACTTTTCCTCTGTATATCCCAAAATAAAATGTTTCGTCGCTACCCTTCTAGAATAAGGTTGCGACTAGAATTTGTATTTCTTTACTGAAGAAAGCTGGGTGTTTCCTTTTGGTGCTCTTGGCACTCACTCTCGAGCTCCGAATGATGAACACAACGTTCATCAGCGGTGACGATGTAAGCCAGAGATGCTTTGTCTTCACGGAGGAATTTTGCTGATAAGGCACAACGAGCACACATTCTATTCACATGTTGGTCTTCCGTTAGATTTTTTGCCACTCAGCGGGCACATGCTTTCCCCAAAATTCATCTTGTCACGGGTTATTAAATGAACTGTTCCCACACTTATCACCATATCCAGTGATCTATGCTCAATTCCCACTCTCCAGTCATCTAAAATCAACCCCTCGTCATGAGCAAGTTTGGGTAGAGTTAAAGCATTGACTGACTGACCATGCTTATGTCCTGATTACAGCCGTTCCACCCATTTGTAAACATTTGCACTCATGAAGTTGTTGCCATATTTGGAGCTTCAAAATGTGTAATACATTTCGCTGGTCTTTCCAGCCTGAGGGCATAAACACAAATTAACAACTCACTGCTCTTCTAATGTGTAGTTGTGCAACGGCGCTGCTCTCATTGATCACGTGACACGTTTGTCTGGCATCTCGCAGCACAATCTGGAGTAGATATTGTTGCACATGAGCAATAGTATCATACCGTGGGAAAATGTTATTGAAATATCACTAACATTGGTGAGAGAACAATTTTCTCCTTGATATAGTGCATGCATAAATATATAGCAGAAGACCTCGGGCCAGATGTTTGTACACTGCACTGTCTTAACAGACCTTGGTGGTTGGATGTAGACATTGCAAACAAGTGTAGGATCTAACGCAGGGGAAGAAGCAATTGAGATGTTGGTAACATCAGCCGTTACGGTCATAATGACCTCTTATCCTTGACCCTGACATTAGTATGCCATTTCATGACAGTTTTACTGCCAACTTTGTACAATTATCCATAAAAAAACTATAGAGTGTTTTGAATGCTCATTGCAGCTACACCCGTTCCCTTTCTTTACTCAGCTGGGAAAGATTCCGGTGGGCCAAACCGCTGCAGGGTGGTGCTTCGAGTATGAACGATGATTGGTCTTATACAATATTGTCTGCTGGGCCAAGAAAGGGCATGGTATGAGGAACAATTAAAAGCTCCTCTGGGCACCGTAAAATGAGACAATGCTTGATGTAGATGCGTCGAGGGCGGGCGGGCGGGCAGGCAGGCAGGCACTTCATTGATTCACTTCTTAAGTTGGGGCTGGAACGTAAAAAAGTGTTTTTCTTCGGCAAAAAAGAGGCAGGATGACTTAATAATTTCCATTTAAATAGTAATGTATATGGTAATTCCAAAATAATAAAAAAACACCAAATAAATCTGTGAACGGTCCCACGTGGTTTCCTTGAAATTTTTGTAAAATTTTACTTTATGTGGTTTTTGTCCAGGCAAAGCCGTTCTTTTTTTAATTAAAACCACGATCTGCAAACGAGCATGCTCCCAAGTTTCACGTATCTTGGATTTAATAGTGAGCGTACAAGCAGGCTTCTCTAACTCAAATAAACAAGAAACGTTACCAAATGAGTGCGTGCTATTATGGGAAAATACTCAGAGTGTGATGTAAATCACAGTGACATTAAGTGCTTTTCTACAATGTGTATTTCACAATAATATCATTAGAGAGAGACAGTTCATTATTGAGATTTTCAGATTCAAAGTGGATTATTGTTGCAAAACTGTGTTCTATTTAGGCACGAAACTATGATCCTCTTAATGTTGAGTAATGACCAAATTATAGTTTTTCTTCGCGTTGGCAGTAAGGAAAGCATCGAGGATGGAAAAGTTTCATTTCATGACTTTGCTCAGTCCGTTCACGCAAGGAGATGGGGCAGAAAACATCATCACTCCGTTTCCTCGGCCAAATTTACGTCTCCGTGTTTTTCCGAATCGCTTTGTAAAAGGGCAGCGTTGTGGAATAGGCCACGTATTCATGGTCGGCTGTATTTTTCCATTTCGTGCACAATTCTTCCGGCGAATAATAGAGAAAATGTAATTTTTTTGGGAATGTGGGGTTGGGAAATGAAATACGGTCTGCTAGAATGTTGTGTTGATCGGCACAGTTGGGTTTCTTGTTGAGCATTGGGCCCCAATCTGCAACTGCAGGCACAGCGTTTACACGATCAACACCAACACCAACCCGTGTTAAAGCACACCCCGCTGCGTCCAGTTGTGTTTTCTTAATCTTACTTCTCCAACACTGCTAACATTAAACCTCATTATGATTCATTGTAAATAGCTTAGGCTAAGTGAGCCAAACAAAAGCACCCAAGAGAAAACAGACGGGATTCTATTAAGAGTCACAAGGTATGAGACAGCTAGGACAGAACGGAGATTCTTGCACATGCCAGGGCTTAAAAACTAAAGAAATTATATGTTTTAGATTGCGTGGGATATTAACTTTCTGTGCCTTATCGCAGGAGCATAAAAATATCCTAATTTTGTCGCAGCATTTGGGTCAGAGCAGATCCCTCGAGGAATCAAGTCGGTTTTGACTGAGCATTATCTCGCCTAGCCCACACATTTTTAGTTAATGGAATGCATGCTGGGTTTTACCTAAATAGGAAATAACAGAAACATGTTTATTTAATGTTGTACATTTGGAATTCTGAAGATGTCTGTGGTATCGCAGAAGAAAAAGAAAATATGTTTAATTCAATTGTAAATTTTCATATGGAACGTATAATGAATATTTTTTTCGTGGATTTAATTTCGTTTACGAACGGTTTCTATTTCACAAAGTGCCGTGTCTGTGACTGCCGCAGGCAAAGCAGACGGAGTAATACCGTTTTCACGACCAGTTCTAAGCGGGCTGGAGCCATTCCAGGCTAGTGCTGTGCCACGGGCCTACCTGTTTTCTTGATTTGAGTGGACTTGTCGTACAAACAGCTGTGCTCAGCAATACAGCTTTTCCACTGGCACAAGCTAGTTCGGTCAGAGCAGAGCCCTCACGGTACGGGTAGTTTTCCCACTGGCTATTTGTCGAGCCGAGCCGGAACCGAGCCCACGCTGTGCTTGTCTCGCAAGCCGTTTGAGTCTGGCTCGGGACCAGGCAGGGCCATAGGCGGGGTTCATGATCATTTTGTTTCGTGCTCTGCGTCAGTCGGTGCACTTTAACGTCTGGTGCTGATGTCACATTGGTTGCGTGTGATGCCAGCAACACAACTTGGGTTCTGCAGTAGAAAAACAACTGCTGCTCACGAGAGCCGTGCCGTGCCAGCACTGTACGGCCCTGGCGTGGCTCAGTTGTCTAGTTGAAAAGAGGTACGAGTGAAATAACCCCAGGCACCGAGGCTGCCTGATGACACTAATGGTCACTGTTGTGTGGCCTTGACGGTACCACCTCATTTAGTCATTGAGCAGTGTTATTTGAAAAGCAAGACATTAGTAGTTTTGCACAAAAATTTGATGTTTAACGAATGCTATACCACCTAATTGTTGCATTTAATCGTGATTTGAAGATTTTTTTTTATATCTACGGAGTGTTACTCACCTGGTCTTGCTTACATCGCTACTCAATGAACGTGCACCCTCCCAGAGTCTTCACTCAGCTGCCATGGGCAGGGAGAATGAACAGGGTTGAAGTCAGGAGGCAGTGGTGACAGAAAGGATGTCACCGCATCGTGGATGACAGCACGAAGCAGCCCAGTTGTGGCTCTGACATGCCTCTGACATACTTAAAGCTGGTTGTGGAAAGTCAAGTTTAATCAACAGCCTCCTCTGAATTCGACGTGTCTTTCTTTTGCACCCCCCGCGTTTTTTTATATTCAGAAGCATCACGGAAGCCGAAGGTGGAGTGCAGCGTTGTGACGGAGTTCCGCGACCACATCTGCGTGACGATGGACGCCGAGCTCATCATGTTCCTGCACGACCTCGTCTCCGCTTACCTCAAGGAGAAGGAGAAAGGTAGCACGGCCGTCTTACCCGGCGTCTTGCCCTGAGACCGGGAGTCTCATCGCACCTTGCGCAGACCAGCGCCGCCCATGTTAGAAAATAAGCCGTGGAAGGTGGTGTCCCGCAGGACCAGCTCTGAGATCTCTTAAAGTGATCCCTTGCCCACACCGCGCGCATTGCACTCTGCCACGTGCTGTGGTGTTCTGTGGCCACATGCTGCTCAAACCGATGTTCTGGTTTTTTTTTTCTCGGAGCGAGATCTATCGTCAAGTTAAACACGTTGTTTGGTGGACTTTGTGTTCAGTCACAAGTGACTCGGCTGAGAACATCGACTCCCTGGGATGCTTCCGAGATTTGAACCCAGGGGCTGAGTGATGCCGTTTCGGCTCTCCGTGACCCACCCAGCCACCGTCGTTGCCAGGGATGGACGTACAGTTTAGAGAAGAAACGGCAGCGACTCGAGGCAAAGGGACCAGAATCCCTTTTGCCAGATAAAGTAATTTGTTAATGAAACTCGCAATGCTTTGTTGTTAGACTATCAGCAATATGTAAATCAGTTTGCATGGTTTCATCATTCAGTGTGAGGGTAATGGTGTTATATTTTAAATGTGTGTGCACCATAGCTGCTCTATATAACAGTTAGTGTGCTTTCCATTGGCAAGAGGGGTGCGCACGCTGGTGAAGACTTAGTGGGACAGCCTTAAAATCCATAGTTTCTATATGAGGTTTTTTTTCTAACTGTGGCGTTTGGAAATGTGAGTGTCTATGAGCTGTCCGTTGATTTTAAAGTGAGTCATATTGCATCGGACTTTACTGCACCGTATTCAAAGCTCTGCGAGATTTGACCCACCCGAGTTATGATTAATTTTGAATATACTTATGAAAACAGTAGCATTCCTCATAGGATGGCCCAGCTAATATATTTTTGTGCAAAAAAAAATGCCTTCGTATCTCATCACATGTAATTTTAAAAGTGTCCATCACTCGTGGTCATTTGTTCATTCTTCACACTTATGCTTTGCAACTCTCTTAAATGAACACCTCTGCGTCACATCCCACATTACTCGCGTGTTAAGCTGCACCTAAATATCCGTGCTAATTCGGTTCCCGCCGAAATCGCCGTGAGATGCTTCAAGTGTTCGTAAGTGCAAAAAGGTTTATGGCCACCTCCATAAAAAAAACATTCCGAAAGTATATTTTGAAAACATATCACAGATAAGGGTGGCATGCGTGGTAATTAGCACACACCCGAGGTACGTGGTGGTACATTGGTTAGCACGCTGCGCTGTGAACCTGGCGTCATTCCTGGCCATGGCCTTCGTCAGCTGCGGCTACGATCTGCACCTGCCCTGCTCGCCATCCTCCTCTACAGCAGCTCGACACGGCTTTTATGCGACTTAATAGAGCAGTCGATTTACAAAAGGCTTTTAAATGATTCTCATCATTCTTATTGTTATTGTCACAGGTGAACATCGTGAGAGAAACGTTCCGCTTCTTGGCGAAATGGCCAAAACCATATTGCCTTGTCATCTCTGTTGGCGATGACGTATCGAAACTTTTCGCCAAAAATCGGACAAAGGGGAACGTTTGTCAACGCGAGAATTGGTCCCACTAGATTGGCTTGACATGAGGAGTAACTCTCTGGAAAACGCTCACAAATCAGCAACATACCTTGCGGTTGTTCTCCACTTAAGAGTTTTGAGATATGTCTGTTCCAAATGCATTGATTCCCGAGTCCTGAAAACTTGCAGCCAATACTGCACCAGGTAATAGACTGTGGAGAATAGCGGGGAGTTTGTGCCAGGAGGCCGATTGCCATTCCGTCAAAGCAGCAGATCATTAATTCACAACAGAGCAGCACAGCAAAAAGGTCTGACGCGGTACGAGACCTCATTTCCGCACTGGCACCACATCCGCATTGTTTATGCGAGCAATGAGGGCATTATCATAAATCCCAGCACCACTAGGTAAGACCATAGCCTAAGTGGTTATTAAAAAGTGTGGAGATGCCTTTAAGCATCTTACATTTTTTGCTCCATGCATGTTAAAATTCAAACTCTTGAGGGCCATTTATTTTGTGTTCTGGTTACGAATGCTTTGATGACCTTTTTGAATGAACATTTCGCGAGAGTTTTGGTCGTTGCGCAGCAGATTTTTTGTGGACGTGTGACATTTACTTTCTCGATCCAAATATATACAGACGTGCACAAATCTACGCATGTACATAAATACACACACACACACTCATACTCCTGTCCACATTTATACGGTGCGCAGGCAACCTCCATTCCACTTAGCCTTATAGGCTATTCTTCACAGTTTATTACCTAGCCCTATAAACTGCCTTTAGTGAGTACTCGTTAGAACAGTTCAACACCCTTGTAAGAGGGTTGTGTGGTCAGCACCGCTCATGCCAAGCCACCTTTAATTTCCCAGTGCTCATGTTGACCACATCGTTGTAACGTGTATGGAATCTAGGGGAGTCCCTTGGCTATGTACTTTGCACTCCTATTGTGTTTTTGTATCGTTTGTTGTAACTTTATTACCCGCCCCTACTGGACATCTGCAGAAAAAAACAGCTTTGCAGCTCATCGGATTCCTTCTGCCGTCTAAATAACGATTCTGATTCTGTGTATGAATTGGCCACTGCAAGGTGACGAGCCGGTAATCACTCCAATATCAACCTCCATAATACAACGGCAAAGACCCCTGTTGTGGACGTACTTTTGTGCCCCTGGGAATCAAGCTTGTGTCGCCAGGATCATAGTGACTTGCACGCCCCACGATGCCACCGCTACAGTTACACAGATGCACACTGCACTCGCTCGCTCACAGGGTGACTAAGGATGCTACCGCTACAGTTACACAGATGCACACTGCACTCGCTCACACACGAGTGACTAAGGATGCCACCGCTACACTTACACAGATGCACACTGCACTCGCTCGCTCACGGGTGACTAACGATGCCACCGCTACAGTTAAACAAATGCACACTGCACGCACTCACACATGGGTGACTAAGGATGCCACCTCTACAGTTACACATATGCACACTGCACGTGCTGGCTCACGGGTGACTAAGGATGCCACCTCTACAGTTACACAGATGCACACTGCACGCACTCACACATGGGTGACTAAGGATGCCACCTCTACAGTTACACAGATGCACACTGCACGTGCTCACACACGGGCGACTAAGGATGCCACCTCTACAGTTACACAGATGCACACTGCACGCGCTCACACACGGGTGACTAAGGATGCCACCGCTACAGTTACACAGATGCACACTGCACTCGCTCGCTCACGGGTGACTAAGGATGCTACCGCTACAGTTACACAGATGCACACTGCACGCGCTCGCTCACGGGTGACTAACGATGCCACCGCTACAGTTACACAGATGCACACTGCACTCGCTCGCTCACGGGTGACTAAGGATGCTACCGCTACAGTTACACAGATGCACACTGCACGTGCTGGCTCACGGGTGACTAAGGATGCTACCGCTACAGTTACACAGATGCACACTGCACTCGCTCGCTCACGGGTGACTAAGGATGCCACCTCTACAGTTACACAGATGCACACTGCACTCGCTCACGGGTGACTAAGGATGCCACCGCTACAGTTACACAGATGCACACTGCACGTGCTCGCTCACGGGTGACTAAGGATGCCACCGCTACAGTTACACAGATGCACACTGCACTCGCTCGCTCACGGGTGACTAGCGATGCCACCGCTACAGTTACACAGATGCACACTGCACTCGCTCGCTCACGGGTGACTAACGATGCCACCGCTACAGTTACACAGATGCACACTGCACTCGCTCGCTCACGGGTGACTAACGATGCCACCGCTACAGTTACACAGATGCACACTGCACTCGCTCACGGGTGACTAACGATGCCACCGCTACAGTTACACAGATGCACACTGCACGTGCTGGCTCACGGGTGACTAACGATGCCACCGCTACAGTTACACAGATGCACACTGCACGTGCTCGCTCACGGTTGACTAAGGATGCCACCTCTACAGTTACACAGATGCACACTGCACTCGCTCGCTCACGGGTGACTAACGATGCCACCGCTACAGTTACACAGATGCACACTGCACGCACTCACACACGTGTGACTAAGGATGCCACCGCTACAGTTACACAGATGCACACTGCACTCGCTCGCTCACGGGTGACTAACGATGCCACCGCTACAGTTACACAGATGCACACTGCACGCACTCACACACGGGTGACTAAGGATGCCACCGCTACAGTTACACAGATGCACACTGCACGCACTCACACACGGGTGACTAACGATGCCACCGCTACAGTTACACAGATGCACACTGCACTCGCTCGCTCACGGGTGACTAAGGATGCTACCGCTACAGTTACACAGATGCACACTGCACTCGCTCGCTCACGGGTGACTAACGATGCCACCGCTACAGTTACACAGATGCACACTGCACTCGCTCGCTCACGGGTGACTTAACGATGCCACCGCTACAGTTACACAGATGCACACTGCACTCGCTCGCTCACGGGTGACTAACGATGCCACCGCTACAGTTACACAGATGCACACTGCACTCGCTCGCTCACGGGTGACTAACGATGCCACCGCTACAGTTACACAGATGCACACTGCACTCGCTCGCTCACGGGTGACTAACGATGCCACCGCTACAGTTACACAGATGCACACTGCACTCGCTCGCTCACGGGTGACTAACGATGCCACCGCTACAGTTACACAGATGTACACTGCACTCGCTCGCTCACGGGTGACTAACGATGCCACCGCTACAGTTACACAGATGCACACTGCACGCGCTCGCTCACGGGTGACTAACGATGCCACCGCTACAGTTACACAGATGCACACTGCACTCGCTCGCTCACGGGTGACTAAGGATGCCACCTCTACAGTTACACAGATGCACACTGCACTCGCTCACGGGTGACTAAGGATGCCACCGCTACAGTTACACAGATGCACACTGCACGTGCTCGCTCACGGGTGACTAAGGATGCCACCGCTACAGTTACACAGATGCACACTGCACTCGCTCACGGGTGACTAAGGATGCCACCGCTACAGTTACACAGATGCACACTGCACTCGCTCGCTCACGGGTGACTAAGGATGCTACCGCTACAGTTACACAGATGCACACTGCACTCGCTCACTCACGGGTGACTGAACCTGCAGGGGCAGAGATCCTTGAGAGCAACTTTGCACCTCGTTTTAGTAAAGAAAGGGGTTTGAGATTCGGGTTTATGACATTCACGATGCGAAATAGTGGAGATGGATGCTTTTATCAACTTGGTGGTACAGTCTGTGCCCCAGTGCCAAGGTGGACACTTGAGTTTGAAGAGAACAAATGTTTATAATAGAACATGGCAGGATGGCCTTTTGTTTCAAAATATATCTATCTCTGCTTGATTTCTGCCGTTCCTCTGATCGCTTCAACGTCCTTCACGTTCAGGTCACCAGATAATGTAAGGGGGGCACTTGGCCTTTTATTATTATTATTAATTCAGATCTGCTTGTGTTTGAAAATGTCCCCTTTTGAAAGGCTGATGCGATTTCTTCTCCCCAGACACACAGGGAGGAGCCGTGACCTTGCGATAGTGTGCTCTGGCAAGGTTACGAGGCTTCAGAAACGGCTGCACCGGGAGTAGCCGAAATGTCTGCTGTTGGGATCTGGTGCTCGTATAAGCGGGTGGCGCTGAGATTCAGCACGTTAAGCCATGGGCTCTTGATGTCTCGCTGCAGTCAAATTGCCAGCGTTTTGGCCATGCTGCCTCCTGTGCATTTGTGCTTCGTTTTGTGCTGGTTTGTTTTATAGGATTACCTGCCACGTGGATAGATAGGAAGATAATATACATTTTTTTTCTCTCAACAAGTTACCGGTGTAGTGCAAGCATTCATTTCATTTTCCTACGTAGAAATGCATGTCCTTACAACGTCTTACCTTGCCATGAGCTACTATCATGCAATATTGATCATTTGCTCACCGTTTTGAATGGTCACCAGAGGAAGGTGTTGCATCTCATTCCGCATTATAGGTAAATGTGTCAAGTAAATCACTTAAAAAATCATTTGGAGCGTCTTCCTGTTCAATGTTACATACTATGTAATGGTTTTGTTAGTATATGGATGACGGATTGGCTCTGGTGGTTTTTTTTACTTTTTTTTTTTAATCAGATCTTTACGGTCTTCCTATCATGACCCTCGTCCCCCTTGGAAGAGAAACTTCCAGTCTCCGCCTTCTCTCGGCCCTCCTTAGATGAAGATTACCTCCTTACCTTAAACAAGCAATGGGGATGTGCACATGTCTCCATTGGTGACCCAGAGTTCCGATGGCAAATTCTACATTTCCATGGCAGGGACCAGTCTGTCTATGGGATGACCACCGTTGACCCTGGAGGAACGTGGAGCCGAGTCAACCCCAACTGAGATGTCGGCTAGCACTGCTGGGCAATCGCTTCTGTAAACGATGAGAAATACCCATCAACAGAATAATAGGCAGGCCCGAAAAGCCGTGAGTTGACACAAAATCGTCAGAATTTCCTGAAGAGGTGCATTGTGGTCCACCACTCGGACAAATCACGCAGTTCGCACCAGCACCGTAGATCTTTTCCTGCCATCGTTGACCAGCGAGAGATAGTCCCCACTGAGTTGTTCTGCAGTGGAGAGCCTTGGCACCCAGCCAGCGTTTTCAACGCTTTACAATGAAGGCATTAGCTCCATCCGTCTGTCCGTCCACAATGGGGCTGGGGGGGGGGGGGCACGCTCATAATGATTATGCTGTTTAAACGAACCTGCAGCACAATGTTGCACTGCTATCAGCGACTTCACCTATTCGTTTTTATAATAGAGTGATACATTTAACATTTTTCCTTTTAAGGCAGCACTATTTGCAAAGGTTTCGTTTGTGCACGACTTGCAACGCAGTGTCATCAAGAAGATCTTTCAAAAGGGTTTGCTCAAAAATTAAAGACACAAACCAAAGCAAAAAGACAACTTGCTTTTCATCCCGACAGCTGGCCCCATCAGCTTCCATGCCACTCGCGAAACGCTTCCCGAAAAAGCGCGAGCGCTTTGGCCAGCGTGACATACTCCATGTGCGTGCGTCAACTTGTTTGTTTTTTCTCGTTTGCCCACGCGACAGCGATGTTCACGACGCGCGGCTCGCTGTCTCGCGGGAGCCAGCGGAGCCCCACGACGGCGAAGACGGCCGAGCGAACCCCGAGCCAGGAAGTGCCGCCCCTGCCCCCCCCAACGGGCGGGGACAGCCGCGAGTTCGTGTGCAACACCTGGCAGCTGGAGCCATCGCTCAGGTGAGTGGCGACGGCGGGGCGGGCGGAGGCAGGGTAGAGACGCCGCATCTTGCGAAACATCCCGTGGCATTTTACAGCTCCGGCACTTGCCAAGCTGGCAGCCACGCGTGCAGGTGGCACGTGGGACCGTTGTCAAATTTTTTTTATAAAGTAAACAATGCAGCTCTACAATTTGCTCGCTCACGCCGCTGATGGTGTGGGCGGTGCCCTCTCGCGTGTGGGAAGCTCAACACAGCCCCTCGAGAAGGTGTTTTGACCGATACGTCCACACGGGCCCAGACGTCTTGGAAGAGGTGGCAGTGCCCACTCTTAACCCCGCCGCACATGACGATCATCGGCTATATACAGAATAAATAAACTGAAACTTAATCGGCTGCGTACTCATTAATATTGCTCAGTAGACAGAGGGGAGGGGAAGTAAATAAACCTGGCCATTGTGTTATCTGGGATGCCGGGAGATGGAATCGAGCAAGCGACCTCTGGGTTGCAAGGCTGGTATGCTGACCGTTACACTCCGGCAGCATTGGGGGATCACTGTGAATACAATATCAACTCAATAAGTATTCCCACAGGGTTACTCAGATTGCTTTTATTGCATGTCGGCATATAGGATATGCATTGTCCTGTTGAATGGAGGAGACTAATGAACATGGGAGGAATTCAACGCGACAAAGGAAACGAAAACGTGTTTGCATTGGTGTACAAGGACAGGCCAAGAAAATACCTCGGCGACATTGTTCCCCAAACAGCCTTAGAACAGAGAAATGTGTAGTAGGCTGCTGCCGTGTGTACTGGGTGAGTAGTCGTCTGTATATGTGTTTTCCGAGGCAGTGATAACGGTGGCGCAGTGGTTTTCTACTTGAGAAACCCTGTTTTAAAGGTTTTACCCCCCTCTCGCCACTTCCCTGCCACCCTAGCCATTATCCATGTGCCTCCCACCTCGTCCACATTCCACGTTCCCTCTCTTCTTTACCTGTAACCTCCCATTACCATTTCCCTGTGGTTTATTTTCTCTTCTGCTGCACTCGCTCTCCCTCTCCCCTGTGTCACCTCCTCCTCGCTTCCTGTCCTGCTCTGCCTTATCTCATCTTCTAACACTGACCCTTAACCCGACTGTCTCCCTTTCCTCTGGAGTTCTCATGGACTCCCTCTGTCATTTCTTCTCTTTCCATTACTCCCAATCAGCCCACTGGCGTCTCCCACACTATGCTCCTCATGCATGTAACGTTTACCCACCACCCCGCGTCCCCCCTCCCTGCAGTGAATTGTCACGATTCAGTTGTTGTGATTTGATTCAAGGTCCATATTTCGTTCGGCTGTGGCAAGTGTAGCGCCTCTTGTGGCTGCACGAGTCACATGCAAAAGTTATCGACAATAACATATCGTCCACCGTGATCTACCCACTGCTAGATGAAGGCCTCCTCAAACTGCCGCCATTTCTCGAAATGAAAGAAAACGCCACTTAGCTGCTGAACATGAACTCCTTTCGTCACTCCATCTCCACGGTTCTACGTACTTTTGAGTGTCTTATCACCTCTAGCTGCTGCTGTCCGAAGTCTTGGCCGCCGACCTCCATTCCTTATTATTATTGTCATGAATATTACAATCAATATTATGTATATCGCTTAATTGAAACATGCTATTTTTCGGCGTATTGGTGCGTCGCTTCTCATTATCACGTTCATGTTTCCAAAAGCACTTCACCCTGCTATCGTGCAACTTTTTCCTTCAGAACAAAAAAAATCCACCTTCAATAACTCGTCCAAGGTCTACACACTCCGACATGTTTACCACCAGTCTCCCTCCGACAGATACCAGTTGCAGTTATTCATCGTTCACCAAACAACAACATGTACGATTACAAAACAATGCACCCTTATAGGTCGTGATGTCGCGAGCGTTAAGCATCGGTGAATGTACCCCGCATCCGTCGCACGTCTCAATTCCCGACCTCCACCCAGGCTCATCTCGTGGACGGGCCAGAAGATCGACCCCGTGGGCGTGGACTACATCCTGCAGAAGCTGGGCTTCCACCACGCGCGCACCACCATCCCCAAGTGGCTGCAGCGCGGCGTCATGGACCCGCTCGACAAGGTGCTCTCCGTGCTCATCGAGCGCCTCGTGCTGGCGCTGCAGCACGAGCGCGAGCGCAAGGCCTCGTCCAAGGACGAGCACGGCCCGAGCCAGCGCTGAGCTACCCCGCTCGGTCGCCCGCACGCCCGCGGCGACTCGCGTTCGCCCCCCACCCCCACCACCCCCTAGCCGCACCGACATCGCTGGGAGGAGCGGGGGAGTGCGGTGGCTGCCGGCGCCGTGCCGCCCCCCCCCCCACCCCACGCTAGGCGTGTGCCGAGTTGGTAATCGTTTTCCTCGTCGCGGTAAAGGTTCAGCCCTGCGTTGGCTTGCTCGCACCGCTGCTGACGGAAGGGTCTCCGCAGAAGGCAGCTCTGGAGAGAGCCTCTCTCGCGAGGGCATTTTGGGCCTACTCTTCCACGCCGGCCCATACGTCGTGGGAGATTTTGTCCGAGTGCGATGGCTTTCGAAACGAATCCCGGTTTTGTACGAAAAGCTGTGTCAATGGAGCCCACCGCGTACAAACCAGAGACGTTCACAGAACACATTTCCCTCTTCTGTGCTGTGTGGTTTTGTTATCTCTTCAAGCGACTGTGAAACTTGTAAATTGCATAAAAAAAAGTATTGGCTGCAGCGAGTGCTAAAAGGTAGTGGGCACTTAAATAAATAAATGAGAGCCAATTATTTGCACCATCCATTTATTCGTTTGTTATCCACAGTGGCATGCCCGCAGCCAGCGATTGCGATCGCTGTTTAGAAAAAAACAGGTACAAAGTTTGTTTTGCGACGATTGAACATGACCCATGTGTTGTGGTAGTTGTCGGTGACATGAGGAATGTGATATATAGTTGGCTGTGGAGTCTGAGATGTGTTCACAGTGGTGGTGTAACTTCACCGGCTTTATTTATCGCTTTTAATCACACTCGCTCGGAATTATTTACAGTTGAGGCCAACATAAGAAAGTGAAATTCATGGTAAAACTGGATTAAAACTATAAAACAAGAAAATAAAGTTTTAATATATAAACTAATGTAAACTCTTTGTCCCGTTCTAAACATAGCAATTTGTAAATTTGTTGAATTAAAATTAAAGATGCTGTTCTTGTAAAGAAGAAAACATTATTCTTAGATGCTACCTGCCAAATCTCTTCTGTGTACTTGGCACAAACCATCGCAGTTAAATTAGGTGTAATTTCAATCATAGTTTTACTTTATTCCTAGCTTAACTAATTTGAGTGCACACTTAACGCTTGGCGTGACCAAATGTCCATGCGGATTGGTACCAGGAGCACCTCTTTAAGCGTTTAATTGCCACGGGCAGATTAGAGGGCCAACCGAGTCACAGGCTGTAAAAGCGTAGGAACGCGAACCGCAACCTCCTTCTGGACACGCCATCAGCTCTTTGCCGCCTCGCCGTTGCCCCCACATTGACCCGCATTGCCAGGGTGTGCAGCGGGCCGCGTCTGACGACACGGGGGCCGGTTCGCTCCGCAGATCCGCGCCGACGTGTCGCGTGCGTGATTGAGCCGCTTGGCTTCGCTCAAATACCCACGAGGGAGGGCAGGTGACCGTGCCTCTCCTGCTGTGACCACGCAGAACCTAAGCTGCTCGCCCCCCCGGAGATTATGTGCAGATTTTTGGCTCGTCACCAGTCTGCCGCAGCTTTTCCTCGCCCCAGCGTGATGCGACGTGGGCGTAGAGCTGAGATTAAGTCCCCTGTTGCGCTCGGAGGGATCCGCAGTCAATGTTCAGCCACTTCCGTGGCGCCGGGCTGATTATCAACCGTTGTACATAGCCTGGGATATGGTTACATTCGTGCGTGTAGTCATCGCACCAGGGAATTGTAATTCGTTTGTATGTATGTATGTTGGACTTTGTAGCCAACCATGATAATCGGAGGTATATGTATTTATAATTGTATGCATATGCAGCGTTCAATATTGACATTGGTGTGTGTGATTGATCTAAAGATGTACCTTCATGGCTGGCTGCGGTTAGAGAGAATTTTTCCATAAAAATGTAAAGCCACTTTTTAATGTGGTCCTAAATAGGCTGCTCATGCTTTCACAACAGCAGGGCGATAACAGGTTCTAAAACAACCCAATAATCCGTTAGAACCCCGCTCGCTGTCCCTTGTGTTTATGGAGAAGGCTGTGAGAACACTCGTATCAACTCCTCGGTGTTAGCACCTTGCTTTTGGCAAGCAGCTACATCTTGATGCCATTGTTTTTCATTTCGTGTTGTTTACCGCCACGCTGCACTGTTGATTAATATTTCTTGTTGGACCGGTGGCTCGTGCAGTTGTAAATATAGTTGAGTGGAATTCAAGGTTGTTGCTCAAAGTTCGGAAGCTCAAATGTCACGCCATCACGCGAGGAGCAAAGTGATTTGAATTCCGTGCAGTTTCCCATCGGTCACAGAAAGTACAAGAAATGTCACTGTCGCCGCCGCTACCTTCACCGCAGTTGCGGCCGCCCCTCGCCGCGGTGCCTCGGCGTCGACACAACCTGGCATCGGGTGCAGTGTGGTCGCTGGAACGGCGCAGCGCCGTCAAATAGATCAATGTCGCCATGCGTGCGCGGTGAGATTCGCTCACATCTTGTGTACGCAGGCTCGTCGTGCAGGCGCTCAGTCGCCCTCTGGTGTGTTTTCGACCTGAAATTATCGAGGGAGAACGTGAGCTCCTTTAATTCAGTTCCTGATGAAGCTTTAGAGCTGAACTTTTGACATCGTGCCGAACAACGCACGGTACCACTCGAAGTCACGTCGGGGAGCTTCACGCCAGCGTGCGATTCTTGCCGCCGAGGCCTGGAGATACCCGTCGGCAGTGCCCCATCCCTGGGCGAGTCCGCAGCGGGGATCGACAAGTGCCAACGGGAGCACGGGGAACGTTCGAGATGGCATTGTGGGCGTGACTGACTCTGAGGGAGTTGATTGTGCGGGGTGCCGTGTGTTGAATCCCGTGTCATCGGCATGTAATCGAGACGCTAAATTGAATTTTCCACGTTCGCGTTACGGTGAAGGACCGTTTGGGAATCTGCGGTTTTTTTTTGCGTCGGGTTTCTCTCTCGGTCTGACTTTGCACAGCCCCCCCCAGGCCAGCGTGGGCCCCACCCCCCTCGGATTATGGGCCTGCCTTGCTGTGCGCGTTTACCTGCATCTTTTGCAAAGAGTTCTTTATACCTGTGGTTCTTACATCGCCGTTGCGAACGCGTCATTATTTTATTCTGTCTTTGAGCACATTATTCATCATCTCTCGTGCTTTGGTTGTTTTTAAACTCGGATCCTAATGCGTCCAAAATGTGAACATGCGTTGGAATATCTGTGCTGTTTTTTATTTTATATAATTGGCACAAAATCACAATGTAACCTTTTTGGTGGTTGTTTAGATGGAGGGGTGGAATGGGGGGGAGGGGTGTGTGCTACAGCGAGAACAAAAACCAAACACAAGACAAACACGGAAATATTTACATACACATACACGCAGGTGACAGCGCCGTACGTTACCTTGGTCATTATATCACATATCGTTGAATCGTTGACAACACTCGCATGAATTTTATTCATTTTATGGATGATGGCTGATTCACAAAGGGGCAGGAGGGGAGGCAGAGCCATGCCCCTGGTGCCTCTTTTCATTTTGCCGAGCGGAACAACATGTGTCTGCACGTCTGAAGGGTCATCAATACCCCTGCGTTGCTCCTTCACCCTCTGCACGTATATGATTATACCCCGATGCTCGCTCCTGCTTGTTTCGGAGCGGGCAGGCAGACACGACGTTGCTATTGAAATGGCATCCTCGTGAAATCCCACTCCACGGATCCCTCTTGGCTCAGCTGCCATTCGCTCTCTTGGGTCAAAATTGGGGCAACTTGCGTGGTCACACGCTGGCTTTTATTCTGTGGTGAACCGCTGCGAGGGGTTCAGCAATCGGGCAATCAAAGCGGGGAAACTGTGTTCCGACGTGTGCCTGACAGCGCACTAACGGAGGAATTCACAAGCGACTTCCCCTTGGGCAATGTTCACAGGCTAAACGTGCGTGATGAAATTAACTTGCAACTCGCTTGTGTATATATTTTTTTATTTAATATTTTCTTTTTGTTCATAAGTGGGTGTTTTTGGTAGGATTTAGTAACACTGTTTTACTGCTGTTTTTCTAATAGTTCTACCGATTATGTTGCCTTTAGCAATGTTAATCACGGGTGGTGACTCGTCAGCCTGAGGTACATGGGAATTAATGAGCCACGGATAACAGAGAGGGACCATCCTATAGACGTGCTTACGTCATTTAGCCCTGTTAATTTTAGCTTTAAGCCTCGAGCAAGGAGACACATGGATATCATATTGTCATTGTGTTGCGCATTTAAGGAAAGCAGGGGGTCCCCCCCCCCACCTTTCTGTAATCCTGCCTGCATCGGCCTCCAGTCTACAACAACGTTTCGCTTCTGCAATACTTCACACACTCGTGGTCAAAATGTTACGCAGACGTAAGCGCGTGCTCGATGGCACGCGCTCAGAGCTCGGTGACCGGTCCTTTGGGGGTCGGCCGCCAGTCACCCGCTCGGCCACTCGCGGACACTCGCGGCTTTAGTGCGCTCCCGAGCCACCGCGGAGGGCACGGAGTGTTGTTCACGACCCGCCGCTTGCGTCGCTTCGGCGGCCGTTTACTTCGCCCGCGGGCATCGCAGAGTGACGCTGGCTTCAACCGTGCACTCCCGTGTGTTTCAATTGGCCACTGTTGAGTTGTGTCTTTTTAAAACGCCTCGTGCAGCTTTTACGCGACCCTTAACAAAAATTGTTCAAATCCAAAAGCTAAATCACAGACCAGTTGGTTTCTTTAAAAAAGAAATACGCACGTGATTAAATAGAGGTTTTTTTTCTTTTTGTAAGCTTGCGCGTGCGTGTTGGAAAGATGGTCTGGTGCGTGCCTCTTCAATTTGAAACCTAAACGAGATGCCCTGCACTGGCGACCCCACAGGGGCCGACGCGAGCGGCGTGCGTCAACCTCCACTGAGCAGAATTCGTGATGAGCCCCGAGGCGAGCAGCGCTGTGCCCTGTCAGAGGGAGGTGGCAGCGACGGGACACACCACGTGGCAGAAGAGTCCTTCTGCCACGTGGTGTGGAAGAGTCCTTCTGCCACGTGGTGTGACGGCATCTGCTTATTGATTTGTTTGCACGAATGAGCGTTTAGCGTTTGCCTGAGATAACGCGACAGGTTACGTTGTGAGCACGAATTAATATAAAAAACAACGTTATTCTAGAATTAGGGCACGGCCAAGTCCACTCGCACTAAACAGAGGCCAGCTCTGGTGGGTGAACGCAAGAGGTGAAATGACTTGGTAAGCGGTTGTCAAGTCACGGTCTTCAAGACAACTGGCAGGGAGAGAGTACAATATTACTCGTATTAACACCAACTACATGCCCGCCTACCCCCCACTCCCGAGTAGTATGTACTCATGAGTCATCTCAACTCCTGGGCGACTTTGTGGGGGCGTTGGTGTTTGGCATTATTCCGTTTAGAGTTGCACACAAACACACGTGTGTGTGTGCGTTACCACGAGAGTCGGAATAAACAACACTCCGGTACCAGCGCTGCGTTCGTGTTAGGGGCACCCTGCCCTCTCTGTGCATGTAACTAATCAGTAATATATTACATTGGAATTGTTCTGCTTTTAAACCGTAATGATTTTTTTTATTTTGCCAAGATGCTACCTACAGTGACTACGGTGGTGGTTGAATACCTTATGGTTTTGATATTATTTTCCATGGATGTACGCTTGATACTTTATTTAATTTAGAAACAGCGTTGCTTTATAAACCCCGATGTGTAGAAAACCGATGCGCGTGGGACCGTGCTGCCGGGGACTGCTAATAAGCTCGGAATGTAGAATTTCAATATCCTAGTCCCACTTTTAATACAATGTCAGTTTTCTCTCATTTAGAGAGGGTGATTTGAAAGAGCGAGAGAACAAGAGGAGAGGGAAACGTTTTGGGGGGGGGGGAGTGTGTATGTGAGGGTGCGTGTGTGTGAGTCTGTGTGAGTCCGTGTGTGAGTCTGTGTGTGTCTGTGTGTGTGAGAGTGTATGTGAGAGTGAGTGTGAGTGAGTGACTGTGTGTGAGTCTCTGTGTGTGCGTGCGAGTCTGTGTGATTGTGTGAGAGAGTGTGTGTGTGAGTGAGTGTGTGTGAGTGTGATAGAGGGTGTGTGTGTGAGTGAGTGACTGTGTGTGAGTCTGTGTGTGTGCGAGTCTGTGTGTGTAATTGTCAGAGAGTGAGAGGGTGTGAGAGTGTGTGTGAGAGAGTGTGAGTGAGTGCGTGTGAGAGAGTGTGCGAGTGTGTGAGAGGGTGTGTGTGAGAGTGCTTGCCACCACCGCTGTGACGCCTGTGGCTTTGGATGGCAGGTTTTTTGGATCTGGCAAGTGTGCTCGGTGCAATAGCTGTACTGGCCAGTGTCCCGTGATGTTTAACATGTTATTAACAGACCAAACCTTGTGATGTGATCGTGCAAAACAATAATAGCGACTGGCGAACAAACAGAGCCGCCATTCATCACAAAACAAATGTGAATTGTCAACTTTGCTGCTTATGGAGCCTTTTGTAAAAATCATCTCTTTTTTTACGATTAAATGTATTTGTTAATTGATATTGCTGGTTGTTTCAAATGGGGTAAGCCACTTTGCGTGACTTTTTTAGTCGGACGGGTGCATTGCTTAACTACTGCATTATTGTTTGTGTTTTGTAATACAATGTGCAATTAATACGGGCCTGTGGTTATGATCTTTGGTGTTAATGTTTCTGAGAAAATAAAACATTCAGACATTACCGGCCCTGTTGTTTTTCCCATCAATGTATTTCCAACGCAAGCATGCGAGTGCAGACGAAGGTTTCTGTTGCCATCGTCTGGAAATTGACTGGGCAGTAGTCGCGTGATGAATCGTAGATTAAAATTGATTCTCCCACTCGCGATACACGCATCTAAGAATCAATTACTCTCAACTCGTGCACTCTGAAGCTGATGGTCAACACGAGACAGACGACACAAGGCGGACCATTCAAATGAGACGCTACATACAAGGCAGAAAATTATGAGTCCAATCTTGAACCCGAATCGTGACACACAATTGAGGGAGGGGTGTATAGCTCCACGTCTATAACGGTAGACTTGGCCTTGCCTCTTATCTTTGCCTGCAGGTCTTTCAATTGACGTCTACGTGGCAGTATGTGGTGCTGAATAGATTGCTGCAGGTGATAATGTGCATTCGTTCTGTATGGGTGGAGGTGCGTGTGTGTGTGTATCAGATGATGAACTTAGCTTGTCACGGTTGTTTTTTATATGTGCTGTACAGTACTTTTATTTCATATAACTTTGATTTATGTGAGGTGGTTTGTTGGTCTCAGTGGCAAAATATGTGCGTGTCTGTACACACTTACCGCTGTGCGTGCATTTTTTCACGTCCATGCATTTCCACGTGCCGCTATGCATGTGCATTAGTGGTGGTGGTGGTGTTGTGTGCATGCTTGAGCGTGTGGGTGTGTGTAAGGAAGAGGGGTCGTAAGATGCACTGCTGCTGCAATCCTGGTTGAGCCAGTCTTTGTTCCAGCTCATGCCAATTGACATCCGAATGTGTCCTGGGCTATCTCTAGGTCAACTCGGCCTAAAACGAGCACCGCTGCGCCGACATCAACATTGGGAACAACACGGAGGCGGCCGGGCGTGTTGCTGACACCCAACGCCCTCTCGCAGCATCGTTTCAGATCTCAAATGCGGGAGAGGTCGCAAACGGTGGCACCCCATCCCAACTATCGGGATAAATCGCGGTCCTACTTGCATGGCAACGAACGTGCACGTGGGCGCGTGCGAGCGCATGTTCGTTCGCGCGCGTGTGCACGCGCCGCAGGGATGTCATAAGTGAGCGATCCACTGTACGAGTCGGCATGACCCAGGGCATGGTGCCGCCTGCTTCTCAAATTGAATCTTTGTTTATTTATTTAATTGCTCTTTGCGTGCGTGTGTTTGTTATTTCAGTGCACTGGCGTTAATGTGTACGAAGGGACACATCGGCCGCCTTTTAGGCCTCTCTCAAATTAATCTAAAGTATTTATTTTGCTCTCTCGCTGTAACCAAATCGTCTACATTACTCATTCATACTGAACAAAAGTCAGAATTGCTGCAATGTGCTGTGACATGCTTTCTGCCAGTTCCAACTAGGAGCATCCGATGCATGCCCCCTTGAATGCAGTGTGCATGAGGGTTACCACCTTGCATGCAGTGTGCAGGAGGGTTACCACCTTGCACATCAGAAAGCGCCAGGTCACCTCTTGTCCAACGTGTGGCTGCGTGATGAAATTCCATAAAACCAAGTCACCCTTGCAATAACAGGTAATGCATACTCTTGACTTAAAGCTTTCGTGACTGCAGGAATTCATATTCTTGGGTCACGGAGATAGATTCAAAGAAAATAACAAAAAAATATTTTTGTTATTTTCTTTGAACCTATCTCAAATAACAGGTGATGGGGTGGTAGGAGGAAGGAACCGCTTTCGCGCTAATTGTAGCGTCGATTAAAAAAAACATGTTTTTGTATCAACGTTGATGGGTGAATTGACGACTTTAAAAACATCACTAACGTTATTATTTACAAATAAATTGTATGGATGTTTTCATGAGTTTTGCTGTACTTGGACTTGTGATGGCAGACATTTAAGCACCGTTATTCTGCATCGTGGCTTGAACAAAAATAAAATGAAAAATATTTCCCCCAAAAATCTCATGAATGACTGTAGACCGCCTTCAGATGCGGTCGCAGTGGGACGCTTCATTAATCCGGATTGTGTTGTGCGATGTTCTGGTATGCACACGGGTGTCAAGTTGTTCATTACAGGGATGGGTTCGGTGTCTCATCACCCCTTGTTAGAAGAGACGGTGCAAATCTTCACGATCGTCGCTGTTCGCCGCACACACACGCACTCACGCACACTCACACACACACGCACACACACACACTCACGCACACACACACGCACACACGCAGACACACACTCACGCACACACGCACACACACACGCAGACACGCAGGCTCACACGCACGCACACACACACGCGCACACACACACACGCACTCACGCACACACACACACGCACACACACACACGCAGACACGCACGCACACGCACACACACACTCACGCACACACACTCACGCACACACGCACGCACACACGCACACACACACACGCACGCACACACACGCACACACTCACACACGCACACACTCACACACGCACACACACACGTGCTTGTCGGTTCAACAAAGGCCACCTCTCAGTCACACGTGCCAATCACGAAACACCTCGCTGCCCAAATCCTGCCTCCTGCTTACATTGGGCAACTTTCACCGTTTTTATTTTTTGAAGCAGCGGATTTCAACGAAAAATCCTCCTACTCGATCATCGCAATCATCATCACCTGCATTGCCATGTAAGAGATATTCATAACCAGGTGACGGCCATAGCACCGACCGCGTTTCTCTGGCGAGAGATGTGTACGAGAGACGGGCCATTAGAAACTACGATTTGTTCGAAACGTCAATAATTAATTGGTGCTGACGAAATACAATGCAAGACAGCAAGCTAAGCAAATACTCGTAACCGTGACATGAATATTATCTTGTAAAAGGCAACGCTCAGAATCGACGACCAAAAACAACAACTCCTTACCGTGTCGCGATACACCAATTCTCTTCGGGCTCGACGTCACCATCGCGCCACAACTCTCGCTCTGCTCTGAAGCAGAGCCACCACCATCAGATCCATTACCACGACAAAATGGTTCAGCCACCAGGGCAGCATTAGCGAGGGCGGCGGATGGAGTGCTCGCTACTTGGTGCGGTGAAATTACGCTCAGCCGACAAATTGCCCCGCGGGATCAATTGTTGCGGCATTTTACAAAATTGGCGACTAAGACGCTTCGCTTGGTGCTCTATCTGATTGATCGACGGGCCGCGTACCCTTCCACGCAGACCCAATGCGATAGCTAACATGCCCAGACCTGCGTCCTGATGCCCCCCCCACCCATCCCAGCCCCGACATCCTCGTCCCTAATCACGCCGTTCTGCTCGTGCGCCTTGAGATGATCTGGGTGCGTCCTCTCTCTCCTTTTCTTCCTTCTTCCTGGGCGAGTTTGCAGCGCGCGCGCCCCGACTTGGATTGCTGCGTTTTATGGAGGGTTTAATCGGAGCCAGGCTCCCCCATGCACACCCCCACTCTCTCCTGGCCCTGTGAGATTCACGCGTGGCAGACCCGGAGGTCGCCACGTGTGGCCCAGGGAGAGGGGCGAGAGATTTACTTGGCCAGCTGTAAAACAAAACAGCGCAGGGCGTGAAGCTCATAGGGCGCGCTGCACGCTGAAGCTGGCAAATGATTGAGTTCGGATTCCTGGTCACGGATAACGTGGGCGGCGAGTGAGAGCGACATTTGAACCGATCTTGAGCACCCCCCCCACCGATTTAAAGCTTTCGTGACTGCAGGGATTCTTCTTGGTTCTTTCGGTAAAGTCACGTAGAAGGGAAGTAATAAAATAATAAAAATAAAACATCTGACGCTGTCTCCCCGACAGACCTGGTCTTCACCTGAGGACGGCTGCTTGCGTTGTGGCCAAAACGTCGTGAGAATTATTTTATTATGTTTTATTTTTATTATTTTATTACTTCCCTTCTACGTGACTTTACCGAAAGAACCGAGAAGATGCACCCCCCCCACCCTTTACTAACCAGCATGGTGAAGTATGGTTAAACAATCCCCATAAGACTTGCGCGGCATGGGTAGGCCCTCGTTCAGCAGTCGCTTGACAAAGTACTGGCAATTAGAGCTCCTGAGCCATCGTCATCGTTTTACTGAGGCCATCAATTGGTTATGCCATCTCGTACAACGGACACAACAATATACATCATTTGAGAGTGCATAATAACCAATTGTTTGTTTTATAAACATCTTGTTTGAGGGACATTCACCTGCTAGTACAGCTGTATTCATATTCTTAGGTTTTTTTCGGTAAAGACACGTAGGTAAAACAATTAAAATTAATAAAAGTAAAATAAAAATAAAATAAAAATCACGACGTTTCGGAAGCAACACAAGCTTCCGTCTTCAGGTGGAACCGTCACAGCACGATAGCTTTATTTTATTTTACTTTTATTAATTTAATTTTTTTTTACCTACGTGACTTTACCGAAAAAACCTAAGAATATGAATCCTTGCAGTCATGAAAGCTTCAAATCTAGAAATACAGCTGTATTGTTTTCAATTGTATTGGTTATCCTTTAAATGGACGCGCTTATTGTTGCATACATGCACCGCTTTGCAAGTGGACTGTCTTGACATTTAATATCAAGAGATGCAGGTTTGGCGTGCGGTTTTTAGATGTTACAAATTTCCAATTCCATTTTTTCCGCTCAGGCGCAATTACATTTTGTAGGATTCATCTGTCAGACTTCCAGCCAGTTATTTGAATCTTTGTAACTGCCATATGAAGGATGCAAGGAAACTTGACTTTTAAATGTAGCAAATGATGAGAAAGTGGTATTTGAAGACGAAATTGTGCCCTCGTCTTGACTGTAAATCCGCATTTTAAACTTGTACTGCACCTGCCGCATAAGCTGCCACTGGCTCTTGCTGTCTCGCTAAAAAACTCGACATCCTACAATAAGTCTTAGCCAGATAGCTCTGGGGGTGGGGGGGGGGTAAAATGTGGGTAACTATTTTGACCTTTCTGAATTGCCCCGAATTGAGGTTAAATGCTCGTTGTTTCACCATTAACCACCAACCTGGCGATGTTATGAAATGTTGCGATTAAAATTAGCGATTCGAATCACTAATAGATTATTTAGCCGCACTGAATCTTGCCTCCGCCCATGGCAGCAGGGATCGCGTAAATCCACGACACACAACGCACGAACAGAAACTACAACAAACCGCAGTTCGACACTCAGTGGTGGTGACTTCGCCATGGCACTTGTGCCCGGCTAGGTGCACTTTGTGGCCACGTCAAGTCTCGAAGGTTCCCCGCGGCAGGAAGGTCGCGGGACAGACCCATGTGTCGTGGGTTGACTGAGATAACTGGCAGATGCACCACCTGTGCTCCCTACTCTACCAACTCGCTGCGTTTTATCCGCCCGGTGCTCCGCACGTTGTTGTGAGCGTCGTTTCTCTGGCCTCCGCCGTTGCTAGAGTGCGACTGCCTCCAACTGCCCAGTAGCGTCCTTCACAGAGGCCGATCTTGACACCGCTGTTACCAGTCTTTAGCAAGTTCTCTCAGCTCCACATACTCCCGTACCGCATCAGTGTCCATCTCTTCTCCAACCCGTGCCGCGCCCGTTTAGTCCCTTCTATCTGGCCAAACAGAAGCTGCTTTGGGCATGCGGCGGCTGAACATGCGGGCTACGTGACCCAGCCAGCGCATCGAATTGCCCGTGAGGAGCCTATGGATCCTTGAACATTAACGATGAGTCACCTGCATTCTTGACCAGGAAACATTTTAAGCTAGAAATAAAGACGCCTGTCATGCTTTTAAACACCGTCGTAACAAATGTGCCACGTTTAGCTAAGATTAATAAGTGATAATACCACTCATTAAATGCTCCACACATTTGAGTCAATAGGTCAGTACACGGAGCACACATGAATTCTGTCAAAGTGATTCTTCCGATGGCTCCCCAGTCAGACATGTCACGGATTTTCATTGCGCGCAGATTTCAGGCCCGATCTCATCCCTTTTACAAGCAAGCGACGACATCAGATGGTTCCAGTTTTGTTCACAAGACTGTGAAGTCCCATCGAGGACTGCTCTTCCTGCCATCGATGGCATCGACCCCACTCAATGTGGCTCGCGGTGGTGAGATGTTAACTAGCTCGCTAGGTATACAGGAGGTCGCTGGTTTTGATCCGGACCCTGACGCCTGCTGTATATTTGGAGTTTTCATGCGGATATTTTTCTCCGGGTCCACCGGTTTTCCCCTCCACATTTAGAAACATGCGCTTAAGAGTAGTTGGCTGCTATATTAAAAAACAAGTTCCACGTGATAAGCCACATACGTTGAGCTATGATTTGTGGCCAGGTCTCTGCTGAAAAAGACTCACAAAGCTCAGTCGGCCGGCCGAAAAGACTCGTGGCTCCAGCAAATCTGTCGAGACACCGGCCTGCACTTTACTCAGCGAATCGGATAACACGAAAATAGACTGGGAGCAGAGGTGACACTCAGGTGTGCCGCTGGCCGGGAGGTGACAAACAATACGGGTTGGTAACAAGGTGTTATTTGAAAGGGAGGGGGTCGGTCCTGCTTTTGGGAGGCAGGATGTGTGACGTGGCCTGCGTGATCCGCAGCAGCGAATATCGTTGATTACACGTTTAATCACTCAGCCAATCGTCGCAGCTCTAGAATCAATGCGTAAGCTAAATTTTAAAACACACACGCGCGCATGCATGCGAGAATGTAAGTCAGCAACATCACCGGCGATGAAGCTGCCGGCTTGATGCAGCCTTCAACCAGGCATCGACGTCAAATTGCTGACGACGACGACAATTGTGATGATTCATGGCGACAAAACAATGCACTGTACTTCCAAAAATGTTTTTACACTTCTGAGAATTTTCAACAATAACACAAAAAATGTGCCGCCTCCGGGCTTTGGAGAGACCACCTGGAGAAGTTTAGAGGCACGCGTTGAC